GTTCCTCACTTCGGAGACAAAGAGTGCACCTATCACACCACAAGCTCTGATGCCAAAGAGTCTTGTTTTTAGCCCTCGGATTCAGTTCCACGAAACATGGCCGAGTGGAGAGTACGATCGACGAGGTGACATTGCAACATGTAACCGGTTGACTCCACTACTTGCCCAGCAAATCAAGGAAGAACTGAACAACTTCAAGATGGTGAGAACCCCAGCACACCTTGCTGCTTCAGATTGACGTGGATTGAATACTAACTTGACCTAGGAGATGGAGGTCCATGAGACATCAAAAATTTATACTCACTTCCTCTGAGTCGCTGCATTTCGAATGGCGTTCTTACTGCGTGTCTTGTGTTATTTACCCTCAGGAGGAGTGTTGGATCTATCAACGGCATGGTATTGAGCCTTGGTGGCTTCTAGACCTGTTTCCTTTTCACTAGAGATATTTTGGTTTCCGTTTTCAGTCCGGCCCCGACTCGGTGTTTAATTGTTCGCCGAGTTGGCGGATGCGACCGGTCGCCCTTTTGTTGCTTTTGCTATGCGTTCTGGGTGTTATGGCGACAGCAACTATCAGGTCTTGGTCTTGTCACTTTTTTCTCTTATCTTTTTTTTCTCTTTCGTTTTTCTGCGCATGGCGATTTATGGGGATTCTACCACAGCAAATGAAGAATAGTGGATCGGATGTTGGAGGCATCGCCTGTGAACCGTTTCGGATCATTTGGCTTCGATCTACGTCGCACCCAGGATTTGGGCTCCGATTTACTCTTGCACTTTATCCCCCGGCGGCCCGGCACGTTCATGGTTCCTGGTTTCTAATCTTATCCTTCTACTCCAGGCCCGTCCCCTGGTCGACCTTGCATCCGAGCCACCGAGCCACACCGTCTTTTAATCTCGTTTTGTTCTGCAAGCGTGAAAATTGGGCAGCATCTCTTTGCACATTGTCTCATAGTGTCATAGTGAATCCTTCGTTTCCTGTTTTGCACGCCCGATCCCTTTGTCGATGTGTTCTCCGTGTACAGCTTTCTGGAATTGGTCACGCAGTGGAGGGCTCACCATTACCGCTCAGCATTGGCTGGCCAGATCAATGCAATACCTTTTTGCAAGGCTTCTCGAACACCTGTCTCCGAATTGTAGACGCTTCATGGGAGTCGCATGTTTGCGATCCTAGCGCCTAGCAAACGCATCCCTTGTAGTTGTAGGTTCATAGGGTTGAAGTAGCCCACTTGCCCCTGGCTTGGTTGCTCTACCTTGCTATCCATCGTGACTAAAGAAAGTTTTTTATTGAGGATTGTACCGTGGCGGGAGGAAATTGAAGACCAGGTGAAGGGCGAGTGGCCGCACTAAATAAGGGCTAAGGGCCGAGGACCCCCACGCTTTCCACGGTTGAGGGATCGAATGCAACGCAGCCCCGTTGCCCTACCACGCGAGAGATCCCGAAAGTAGAAATCGCTCTGTCATCTGTAAGGTCTGAGGGGCCTGGATAGCAAACTGGAACCCGGTCCTTGCTCTCTATTTTGCCGAGGTGGACCCGATGAGGGTAAATGTTGGCCGGTCACGCAGGGTTAAAAAAACTCTCGGACTGGGGGTGCCATGTCATCGGACGGGGGAAGACGTCCTTAGCTTCGCACCGGACCCGGTATGACGGGATGTTCTTCGCTAGCTAGGTAGGTACTTTTGAGCCGTGGAGTTATCTAGTGGGCTGATTTGTTGCGGGTGTTGGGTGTTGGGGACCGGCTATATGGACGCTGATGATCAATCAATTAGCGGTGACTCCTGCGAGTCCTGCGGCTCCTGCGTAAAGGAAGGGATTAGGAATGATGACTGATGACCAACGAGAAGCTCCACGGTGGAGGCACCTATCATGTTTTATCCTTGAGGCCGGTTGAAGCCAAAGCCGGGGGTGAGGTAGGGAGGGATCTTCCGCTCTCGAGCGTCTTTCGGGCCGGGCTTCTTGGCTTTCTCGGGGCCAGTCTGGGGTTGCGCGAGCTCGGCTGGTCCGTTGATGTGGATGGTCTCATACTTTAGTGACTTTTAAGAAGCGAAGCATATCTAGTAAACAACGGATAAATATGATTCTGATTCGGACCAGCCACACGACGACGGAGATGCAAACAGCCGGCGAGGGGAGAGAGTGTGAGTGGAAGGAAGGAAGGAAGGACCCCCCCGTTGGCAGGGACCAGATCACGGGAACCCCCACGTTTTCCCTCCGCTTTTTTTCATCTTCTTCCTGGGCTTCACATCCCGGGTCTCTGCAATCTGCATCATCAGACATCAACATCATTATTCTCCTACCACTTCGGCAACCCCCACGCCAGTCGGGCCTCTCCACCGGGCATCCCACCAGTCGCGACGGTTCCCCTAATGATCCTGATCTCATCTCCAGACTCTGCCCCATCTCCCTCGTTTTTCCCCGACCTGTCTCGCCCCGCTTCGGGTTCCCCCATTGGCGGGGTTGGCATCTCTGCAGCTGGTCTCATTCCCGATCCCTTTTGCCATGTTTCCAACATGCGGCTTTTCCTCTCCCCCCCCCGGTCTCTGCCTCCCTTCCTTCGGGACCTTCGTCGGCTTGTTGCCGCTCGGTCTGCTAGTCCTCACACAAAAAGGTCCCTGATCCCGACTTCAACTGGCACCATGTCCCCGTCGATTTCCCTCCTCTTCTTTCCCATCTCCTTTCCCTCCTTCCCGTCCTTACTTCCCTATTCTTCTCTCCTCTCCTCCGCTCTTCTCTATCTATCTCGCGTTGTTCTTGTCTCTTCTTCTTGCCTCTTCGTGGGCCTAATTACACCACCCTAGACAACCATGTCCCCTAAAACCTCTCATGATATCGAACGGGATCTCGACAAGAGCCATGTTGACAACGTTGAGGTCGTTCCCAATGCTGTGGCCAACGCCGACAGGCCAAATCCCAAGAAGGAGGCTCCAGCCTATGTGGCTGGCCTGACTCCAGAGGAGCGTGAGAAGGCAGAGAGGGCCCTGGTCCGCAAGATCGACCTTCGCCTTCTGCCCATGATCATCATCATGTACATTCTCAACTACCTGGACCGAAACAACATTGTAAGTGACATATTCACCGCATCAACGCCTCTGGCCCTGTGCTAACTGTCTCCGGCTTACTAGGCAGCTGCCAAACTGGCCGGTCTTGTGTCCGACTTGAACTTGGTGGGTGTGGAGTATCAGACCTGCGTCAGTATCCTGTTTGTGGGGTATTTGTTGATGCAGAGTAGGTGCAAGCCACTTGTCATTGATATATTGGATACTAACGATAACAGTTCCATCTAATCTACTCCTCAACAAATTCGGAAAGCCTGCCCTCTACCTTCCCGGTGCGATGATGCTATGGGGTATAATCTCTACTTGCACAGCTGGGGCTCAGAGCTATGCGGGATTGGTCACTGTTCGCTTCTTCCTCGGTTTCGTGGAAGCTGCTTATTTCGTACGTATTCACCGACACGAAGAAGAAGAGTCTTCCAAAACACCTTACTAATTCAGTTTACTGTCCTCTAGCCTGGCTGTCTCTACTTCCTGAGTGCCTGGTATACTCGCAAGGAACTTGGATTCCGGACCGCAGCCCTCTACTCCGGCTCCCTCATTTCAGGCGCCTTCTCCGGTCTTATTGCAGCGGGAATTACTGAGAACATGGACTACAAGTTGGGTCTTCGAGCTTGGTTAGTAAGCCTGAGAGAAGCGCACTTCTACGAGGAATATAGATTCTAACTCTAGTATATCAGGCGCTGGCTCTTCATCATCGAAGGTGCAATCACTATCGTCGTCGCCTTCCTCTCAATCTTCATTCTGCCCAACTTCCCACGAACCACCGGGTGGCTCACCGAGGAAGAGAAAGAGCTGGCCGCTTGGAGGTTGGAGGAGGATATTGGCGAGGACGACTGGGTGGACAGTGAGCAGCAGACTTTCCTGCATGGAGTCCAGTTGGCTTTTACCGATATCAAGACTTGGATTCTGGTGAGTACATATCCAAATAGGGTCTCATCCCACGTTGCTTACCCTTCTAGATGCTGCTCATCTTGTGTATCGTCTCCTCTGCTTCCGTGACAAATTTCTTCCCGACCGTCGTCAAGACCCTCAACTACGGCAACATCGAGACGCTTCTTCTCACGGCCCCTCCGTACTGCCTGGCTGTAATCTGTGCTTTTGCCAATGCCTGGCATGCCGACCGCACTGGCGAGCGGTATTTCCACATTACGCTCCCTCTATACTTCTCTGTAGCAGCTTTCATCATCGCTGCTACAACCACCAGCATTGGCCCGCGTTATTTCTCCATGATGCTGATGGTCCCATCACTATACACGGGCTACGTGGTAGCCCTAGGCTGGATCTCGAGCACCCTTCCTCGTCCGGCCTCAAAGCGTGCCGCAGCTCTGGCAGGTATCAACTGTGTCAGTAATGCCAGCAGTATCTACGCCAGTTATATGTATCCCGACAGCGATGCCCCACGATACAGTATGTACCACCCTCAGTATCCCATGTCACCTTTTCCTTTTTCAATTTTCTGACCATCACAGTCACCGCTATGAGTGTCAACTGCGTCACCGCCTTCGTAGCCATTCTATCTGCAACCGCCCTCCGCTTCATCCTCGTCCGACTGAACAAGCAACTCGACCGTGGTGAGGGAATTAGCGGTGCTGTCTCCTCCGGAGGCATCCCGGGCCAGGCCAGCTCCAGGGGCTTCCGTTTCTTGGTTTAAAACACTTCTCACGTACAGAACCAAGTTGTTCTGGTTCGCTTTATACCCCGATCCGAGCAGGTTATGCTTTTGGTACATTACACAATATCCCCTGCTAGGACTTGGATTAAAGTAGTTCGCTTTTATGATGAACATGCACGATGCAATGTGATGCAAAGATTTTGGTTTGTCCTTTTGGATATTGAATGAAGACATACATATACTATATATATTACAGTGTTTGATCACACTACCCAAATCACACCTGGATTTATTTGAAGATAAACTTATTCATTCATACCCCCACTAACTTACACAATCAAGCATACTTCAGCCTCTCCTCACTCCACCCAGGCCGCAACTTACTCGTCTCCAACCCAGCCACATCCATCGAACTATCCGCAACATAATTCACCTTCCATCCAACACTAATCGCCGCTCCCGCCTCCGTCTGCGCCCACACCGCAACTCCAATCGTATTCTCTCCAGTGTAATCCAAAATACCCACCGGAACCGGGAAGTCAACCTGGTTGCCAATGTACGGATTAAACCGACCATACTGGTACCCGTTCACGAACAACTGTGCCCGGTACGCATTACTCGGGGCATTGGACGGAGTTCCAAGAACAAAGGAGATCGACACGTCCAGTCCCCGTGGAATATCCAGGGGAATCGTAGTGCGGAAGAATTTGACCGTCGCGCCGGTGAAGGAGAGGTTCTGTGCCGATGTGGACGGCCACGCGCTGTCGTCGAAGCCGGGGAGATGCCAGCCGACGCGCTCGGCGTAGAGTCCGTCTTCGTTCCAGGCGCCGCGGACGGGGTCGAGGTTGGATTCGCCGCCTGCGGTGCCGGCGACGCGCCAGTGGGTGAAGGCGTTGGAGTTGTCTGAGCTGAGGAGACGGGCTTCGAGGATTCCGCGGGGGTTTAGGGCCCCGGTGGTTTCGTCGTGGCCTGTGTCATCGTGGACGATGAGGAGGGTGTTTGAGGAGGTTGGGAGGGTGGCGTTGGGGAAGACGAAGGTTTGGTTGGCTTGTTCGATTGAGGCGTTGCCGAGGTAGGAGCCGATGAAGTGACCGTTCAGCCAGGCGGAGAAGCCGCTGGTTTGTGTTAGATGCTATTATTTTCTTGTCGGTTGTGTGTTTGTAGGGAGGGGGGTGCTTACAATGCGCTGCCTCCTTGGACGTTTAGGAAGACGCCGGAGGCGGTGCCGTTGAAGTAGCCGCGCCAGAGGCGGACGCCGTTGTGGAAGCCTGCGTGAGTGAGTATTTTGGGTTTCCTGCTTGGGAAGAAGAAGAGCTTACCGTATTCGTCGGCGTAGAGAACTGGTAGTGTGGCGGGTGGGCTGGGGTTGGCGGTCGTCATATGGTTGGCATCTTGGTCGCAAGGTTAGTGTCGCTCTCAAGTTTGAGTTAGAGTTTGTACTCACCAACCCACGCTGGACCGGAGGCATCGTACGTCGGGAGTACCTCCGGTAGGCTGTCGTTGACTTTCCACGATGAAAAGGTCGGCAATTGAATGGAAGGAGGCGCAGCGATAGTAGCCTTGAGACTACCATATGAGGTCTGAGACGTCTTCAACTGCTTTCCGTTCCATGTGACGGTTTTGACCTCATCGGATGCAAAGGCTTCCAGAGTCGTTTCATTGATGGAGTCGCCCTTGATTTCAAGTGTCGACGTTTCCAAGCTGACAGAGCGAACAAGATACGGACCTTGTATGAGGACTATCGATGGGTAAGCACGAGTTGATGAGGTAGGGAAATAGATGATATTACCAGCCTCATCCTCTGGAACGAGAGGGTCCTCAGTGAGGGCAGGGGCCCAGAAAGTGTAAGCTGCAGTCCTGTCCAGAAGAACTACTCGAATATCGCTGTCGAGCTGCAAGATACTCATGCCCTCGGACTGAGTAAAACCCACAGTGAGACTGTCACTTTCTGGATGGAAGTTGATACTTGAACAACCTTGACATTGAGCCACAGATCCCGTCTTCGCGCCCTTCACAGCGAATTCCCCGGACTCGCCTGTCGGCACCCAGAGTACAAGGGTCGGCTTGCCGTCGATGACGGCGTGAGTGAGGACTTCAGCAGTAGAATACAGGAGAGTCTCCGAGCCAAAGGCGAAATCAGTCACAATGATCTTAGACTGATGACCATTGAGACGGATTACGCCTCCAAGTCTGGGGACTGTTAGGGCCCCCACAGACGTATTGACACGCAGGTTGAAAGTCACGTCGGTGCCCACGGTTGAGTCTTGATGAAGCGTGACATAGAACCCAGCATTGGTTGCGGGGTTGCGCAACTCGTAGGCAGTGACAGCCGTGTTGTTCGTGTACTGCGTTCCATTACCGATAAGGTCGGTCATTGTCAGGTCTGGTGCACTGCGTGTAAACAGTGACAGCAATTTGGTCTCATAGTATTTGGATGCAATGGAGCGGTCCTCGGAGATCGGAGCGGAATAGTCATAGCTGGTTGCCGTCACAGGCGCAGCAATAGCGCCCCAGCTTGTTCCTCCGTACACCATGTAAAGACTCATGGCCGTCACCCGCTGGGCAATGTTCCACCGATAGAAGAGGTTGACGAAGTCCGCACCAGTGTCATCGCTGCATCCTCCCTCAGGGCCAGCCCATGGGTTATAAGAGCCGCCCTGGAACTCGGGCATGAATGATGGCACCGTCGGCGAGAATTCGAGGAAATAGTCGTAGTATTCAATCACCTGGTAAGCCACATACTCTCCATTCGTAGAAGTACACTGGCTAACATCACAAGTCCAGCACTAGAAAGGTCAGACAAGCCAATATTTGATCGCGACAAGCGACTCACCGAAGGATAGGAATCCAGGCCAACAACGTCGACGTTGCCTCCAGCACTGGACCAATCGCTACCCCAAGACATCGCATATAGATTAGGCTCATTTGCCGTAAAGGGCACAACGATACCGTTCTGGCGGGCGCTACTTTCAAGAAGCTCCATGTAGGTGATTGCGGTCTCGTTGGGATCCCTTTGGCTGGGGTCGCTGAGCCATTGATCGCCATATTCGTTCTCAATCTGGTAGCAGAAAGTATTATGACCATTTGTGATCTGGTACTGACTGGTGATCTCTGACATTTTCTCAAAGTATGGTTTCCATGCCGCAGTGTATCGCGTATCGTTGTTCCGCAGAGTTCCGTATTCGCCAGTCGTAAGCCAAAGGGGAAATCCGCCCGCGCTGGCTTCGGCGTTGATATAAGGACCAGGGCGTACCATCACATACATCCCAAGCTCCTTTGCAAGATCGAAAATCGGCGTAATATTACGAGCACCGGTGGAGAAGTCGACAGTGTGATTGTTCGGGGAATGCCACGCCCAGCTCGAGTAGATGGAAAAGGCAGTAAAGCCAGCAGCTTTGATCTTCTCCATGATATCTCTCCATAGCCCAGGGACCGGTATGCGCCAGTAATGAAACTCGCCAGAGAAAACGAAGACCCTTTGGCCCTGAATCATGAAACTGTAATGATCCCACTGCACGTCTGTAGTCAGGCCGTCATCGTGAAGTGGCCATCCAGTTTCTTCTGACTGATTCTGAGTAGCGGCCAGAAAGCCTATGCTTGAGAGCAGAAGAAGGCATAACTGGATGATTCGCGCCATGGCTGAACCTCACGCTTACCGTATGCGGGGACCAGGAATGGATGTCCTTCGAATATCGCGAAGAACGGACCGGGTCAAGAGGATCAATTTATAGCCCGCCGGCGCACGGCAAGGGCAGATTTTGGCATCAAATCTCTCAATAACCCAGGCCCCCGCCCTCCAGCTGGAATTGTGGCGTAGCGTTCATAACCCCATGGTCATTTCCAAAAGTCTCTGCAAGACCGAACGACATCGTCCGTACTCGGCCGCTACGTGAAGAGACTAGCGAGAGCCGAGCGGGCTCAGTGAATCCTTTAGGTGCGATGGAAAATGACTGGGCCGCAAAGCCGGATACACTGGGGAAGTCATCACGGACTGGGGCTTGAATGATGAAATGGTGCCGATTGCCCCAGTTTGACCAAGTGATGGTGAGAGTTTGAGGTGGAGCCAGGTCAGGGACCAAGGCCGTTGGCCCGGCGGAGTTGTCAGCCAACGTGGGGTGGACGTGTCTGTGGGGTGAGCTAGCCAGGGTTTTTCCTCCATTCACAGCACTGGCCGGGGGTGCAATTTTCCCGTGGGAATCCGATGGCTCGACAGCTGCCTAGAGATTATCTTCAGGGAGGTGGTGTGCCGAGGTACGAATGAGTGGCCATCGCGACCAAACTCAAGAACTCAGCATGTCAAGCGTGCAAATCCCCTTGAGTAGATAGATACACCTCCAAACGATGCGATCAAGAACGAGAGGCCCTCATTATGCGGGCGTGTTATCTGGGGAACCCGCGGGGGAACCAGAGCCTTCGGAATTGGACTGGGAAAGACGGAGAGGAGATGGAGAGAAGACGGACCCGAGATGGAGGGAGCCGGGCACATGACCCCACCCCCCCCGACGGGGAACTGGAAAGACCAGTCGAAAACGTGCACTTTCTATCCTTAAAATCGCTCAATTCCAAACTATTTATGACATTGACATAGGTTACAGTACTTTTCCAATCCCATCCTAAACCCCTAACAAAAAGCCTCCCCGTCCAGCTGAGGGTGATGTTCGAAAGAAGTGTATATACACACCACAAGGTCGGAGGGGATGATTATGAACAAGAACGGCGCAAGCAAGGGCAAACAATCCAAGAGGAGCCGTTCAGTGGGGGAGAATAAATACATTACAAAACCGTATACACCTGGACCCAGGGGTAAAGTCAGTACAGTACGAGGCTGCTGTCTGACGGAGGGCCGGCCAAGGACCAGCCAACCTCGCCGGGGCCCGGCGGCGGAGAGCCGCGGGGCTGGCAGGAATGCAGCATGGCCGAAAAAACCCGCGTGAGCAACCCGACCGACATATCATACATCACCGAACCGTCACAATGCAAGCATGGCCAATGCAGCGATTCGGCCCGAGGCGGCATGCTGCCCAGCCCCGAGAAAGATCTTCAAAGAGTATTTTAAACTTGGTTTCGAGTCCCTGACAAGTGACCCAAAACCAACGCTGCCGGGTCTTTAAGCCGACCGGTCCAAGACCTCGTAGGGGTTGGAGTCCTTGGTGTCCACAACAATGGCAGCAGAGCTCTGAATCTCTTCCTTGGTGGTCCGCTTGGCGCTCTTCTTGCTGGCAACGGTCGAGAAACCCGAGTCGGAGTCTTGATCACTGTTGCCGGCACGCGTCCTCTGCTTGGCAGCGGTAGCGCGGGTGCGGATGGGAGAGTTCTCGGCAGTCTTCTGCTGAGCCTTGGTCGCCCGGAGAGCCTTGACCTTGTTCACAGACTCATCCTCCGTGACTTCGCTGGTCTCTCCGCTCATCTCAGCCGCCTTCCGGATCTCGCGGCTCACACCCTTCAGAGCATCCAGTCCGGCTTTCTCGGCCGCGTGCATGTGGGTAGGTTGACGGGGACCGGGTTCCTTGCGGTAGAGGTACGAACGAACGAAGAAACGGGCGAAGAGGTAGGTCAAAGGCAGGAGGTACATAACATTGAGCCAGATGGCGAAACCCTGACCGCTGGTGTCCATGCAGGTAACCATCGGACCGACGTGGAGCACGCGAACAGCAGCAGAGCCTTCAGTGGCGCCCACATTCTCAGCAAGACCTTCGGCACCGGCAGCCCGGAAAGCAAGCTTCTTGATCCACGGCACCAATCCAGCGCCTGCAGCGCCAACAGCCACACCTGGGGTCTCAACAGGAGGGACAGGGGCAGACTGGCCCACGGGGAGCGTGTAGCTGAAAAACAGATAGGAGGCAGCCATGGCGGAGCCAATGACGAATTGAGTGATCTGCATGGTGGTCAAGGATCTCTTGATCACGGTGGGAATGCGAATACGCAGAGCAGTGAGGGTATAATAGGTGTACTAAATTCGACAGTCGGAATATATTAGCAATGAAACTAATCTAGCAAGAAGGGTGCGTCACACATACCATCAAAGCATGAATTCCAGAGTTGACCAGGGTGAAGATCCAGATCGGAGCCGCGACGTAACGAATACCAGCCCACATGCACATCATGGCACCGGCGTGGTGGTAAGTCTGCAGAGTCGAGCTCTTCTTACCCTTGGCCAGGATAATGACGGTATCGAGAACCTCGTAGAACTTGGACAGGTAGAAGATCCAGCCGAGGAAGGCCAATCCCTCGTTCCAGAGACGGCCGAGATCCGTGGAGTCCGGAACACCTCCCGCACCCAGACTGAGCTCCGGGTTGCGGAACATCCACTGGTCGGCTGTAGGGTCGTACGTGGCGGCATTTCCGTAACCACGGGGCCCGTTGATCTTGCACAGCGTATCGGCAACAGCCGCGACATAGTTGGGATCATCCCGAGTCGGCCACGAGTTACGGAAGGCCCGAATCATGCCAGCAAAAGTCCATGCGGAGTAAATGGCCAGGAAGACATTGTGTAGGATGACGAAGAGCTTAAACAGCCTAGTCTGGCTGAAACCCCATGGCTTGTATCCTCGACTCTTGTTCAGGCGATTGACGAGGACGACGGTCACGGCGTAGACACTCGCGATTGTGATAGGAACGCGCACGTCCAACAGCTGGTTGTAGAGCTCCGAAGGGATGTTGAAGGGCTGGTACCACGTCGGCTCGGAAACCACAGGAGCAGGAACGGTTGCCGGGAGCTCGCTGGGAGGGAAGTTCAGGAGGGATGCAGGAGGCAGGCCGACGCGGATGACGGCCGGGTTTGCCTCGCCGCCGACAGTGAAGTCGTACATGGTCGGGGCGCGAATGGTGGAGATTGAAATGGCCTGATGGTGAGGAAGGAGATAAGAAGCGTAGTGGGACCGATTTCAAGGGAGAAATAGAATTAACCGGACACCTTTAGAATCAATGGTGTAGACAAGCAGACGAGGCGAAAAAGAAAAGTCCCCAGGAAAATTTAAAAGGCCAAGTCCACACGCGCGACTGGTGGGAAGGGAGGCGCAAATCCCTCTGTGAATGGGGATAGACAATAATTGAAGGCGCGACCAAACCTTGCGACACGGCGAAGAGCAGGAGGAGAGGGAACGGTTGGTCAAAAGAACCGTGATCGCTGGCTACAAGAAAAAAGCAAGGCCGGACTGATTAATTCATAATTTCAGATCAGTCAATCTCCGGATTGCTGCGCCGTGGATCAATGAGAGTCGTGATGATCGCGGCGAGTGGAGCCGCGCAGCGTTTTGTTGGGAACTCGGCGGTCTTCAAACCTCGGCCCAACAAAGCATTGCTGGAGAGCTGAGCTCTGGCATGCTTGTGAATGTGAAGACGTGGCAGGCAGCGATAGAGAAATGCTGGATTATCCTGGTCGATAACCGTAGATGATAGTAGTCGAAATGGTTATCCTCGGTCCGCCGATCCTCTTTGATGCATGCCTTGTCTATAGTACATAGTAGTATCTACTCTATACTTCGGGTGTTTGTTTGTTCCTCACCTGACAACCTGCCCGTCGAATCCATTGAAAAAAAAAAAAAAAAAAATGAAATCCCCTGGAAGACGAGTCAGGGTTCAGCACTGTGTCCAATCTAATGGACCTCATGCCTCCTTACGGAGTATCTACTTATCAATCATCCACTATCTATCGGGATTATGCTGTCTTACAAGCATGACATCAACCGTCGGAGTTGACAGCCATCCAACATCATTGGGTTTTTCCTTTGCCCGCAGGCCAGATCCAAACTTCCAGAAGCAGTCCAGTGGATCCCGTGACCGCCACATGACTCGTGCGCTGACTCAGCACCTGACATCACTCAACCATCATTGATTCGAACAGGGCATAAGTAATAAAAGGATCATTATAGTTCCAGTGCCCTCGAAGGCGTTTTCTAGCGTCAATCACCATATTGTATCGTCACCGCAGACTGAGATCATCGATACTTCCCTCTGGCGGAGTAGACATGAGGTCATTTTGAAACGGTGTGATTCGTAACATGTGATGGAATTCCGGGGAAGTGGTAGGGCTGATATTGCATATCGACAACAGATATGCGTTCTCCTTCGGATATGTAGGACTGACTATAGAAATATATATGAAACAATAAGGCTATGCAATTGTACATATGCTAATGATACACGCTGACGGACACATCAACCCAGACCTCCGCTCAACGGGGTTTGGTGTTCAGTGGAAGCGGCGGCGGCGTCGGGGCTGTCCCGGCGACAGGCGTGGAACGCATCCCTGCCTTCTTCGGAGGAGGTGGAGGCGGGGCCTTCTTTTTAGCCAACGTATCCGTATCAACACTGAACGTGGAACGGTTTGCATTCGGATGCGGTGGCACTGGGGGTGCTTGATTTTTGGGGGCCTTCTGGTCATCAATGAATTTGTTGACTCGCTGGGAAATCCCGTACTTCTCATTCAGCCCATTCAGCTTCTGCTTTCCCGCTTGGATCTTATCGTTGTGCCGCTCCCGGAAATCATTGTAGGTAGACGAGCCACTTCTGGGGTCGGAGGCGGAAACGGATGGTGGCTCACTGCCATTTGTATTTGTTCGAGCAGGTGGGGGAGGCGCAGAAGCCGGAGAGCTCGACGACGAGGTCCTCAGTTGCGAGAAACGGCTTTGCAATTCGTTCACTGGTGCTTGACCGACAGAACCAGCAAGAGTTGGAGATGCAGAATTGCTATCTCGCTTCCATTGGTTGCCGTTGTTTCCTATTCCAAGAGCAGGCACCGAGACACCAGCCTGAGATATACGGGAAATAGCAGCTTGGTTCAAGTATCCCTCGGCTTGCGAGGGTGTCTGGGATTGTGGAGAGTAGGCCGGGGGTGGGGTAGGCGGATGCGGGGATGAAGTGGAATTGTTTCGAGAAGGGAGCCTAGGCGGAAGGCTGGGTGGAAGGCTCGGTTTTGGCCCGAGACTTGGAGAAGGTATGCGCTCTGCCGGAGAATCCATGCGTCTGACTGGGGGCGGCGGGAGATTGCTGGTATCTAGACCCGTCCGGTTCGCACGGTATGGCACCGGTGGAGGCGCCGGCTTTTGAGCCTCCTCCTCCTCTCTTTGCTCTTGCTGTTGCTGCTGGGCATGTTGTTGACTAGTCTGCTCCTGTGATAGCGGAGCACCTAGTCCTCTCCGATCTGGGGTCACCTCGTTGGGCAGAGCTGCCGCACCATGGTACTTGATATGTTTCGGCGGTGGTCCAAAAGATGCCGGGTCCTTGAGCGAAGATAGAGGTCTGGCGACACGTTCTTCACGATCGTCATCCTTGTCCTTCCCTTTCCCCATCCATCCCGCCTGCAGTCCGGATACAATCGTGTCAGCTAGGGACTTTAATGGTTGCCTGGATGGATGAGACAGACCACTTGATTGATGCCTTTGAAGTCGTTCCTCCAGCTCTCCTTCTTTCCTTCTCGGCCCTTAGGGTGCCAGCCCTCTTTCATAACACCTTTGAATCCACTCATGATCTGTAACAAGGTGTCCGACCAGTGGAGGAATACGTTGCAGCGGTGTGGAATGGTAGGTACTTAGGTTGTCGGATGACGCCGATCCGACCGGGACCGGAGCGAGATAAGAGCGAGAGGCAGTGCCGCCGTCCCCGCGCCTATCCAGATGCGGCTAGATCGCATGTCGGCGACTATCTCCAATCTCCGGTGTCATGTGATGATAGTCCTTGACCAACTGGTCAAGTCTTGACTACTTCTCTATTAACTTAGTTAATGATTGTCATGCTTACTCTTCTGACATGCTCTATTCTTAAAGATTATTTTCTAAAACATATCGGCTGGTCACCCGAAATGTGCGATGATCTTACCTCATCCCCATCCCCACTGGCTATCTGCGACGGTCAAAATCCTTCGGCCCCCATGTCGGGGCCACGCAACGCTGCTACGTCTCTGGTCTCCAACTCGGCGAGCTAATGCGTCGATCAGACCAGCGGACCGGTGATTGGAGCTAGGCTGCACTCCCAGGGCTATCAACTTAGCGGCCCTATGAGCACCACCCGTCCGCCATGAACCAAGGAAATTATTTGAATGAATGTCAGGCGCGTTGTTCTTTGTTCCCATAGGGCGGACATTCAACGGTCCTGGTCCACGACAGCGCTAGATGCGACCCCCTAGACAGCCTGGCGGCGCCTACCATATGAATGGCTAGGCCTCGAGGGGTAGTTATTCGTTTCGTCTAGAGATGCATGCGTGTCGTGCCTTATGGTAGGCAGCGCTTCGTGCTGGACTACCCTCTGCTGATTGGCAGTGGGCGGCCCTCCGTCCGAGGCTATACTTGGTAACCCTAGTCGTCCTTCACTAGAAGCTGCTGCGCCATGTCAGCCTTCCTTTGTGTTAGCTTGGGGGGTCTTTCTCCCCGTCTTTATTTCCTGGACGGGATCCGTACTTTTCTTTCTTTTTTCGTCGTATACATTTTCCCCTTCGCGTACCCATGCGTGTGGTCTCTGCCTTGTGACCGGCATGAACCACATCTACTGACATAACTTTGTTTGAGCCTGGAGAATCAACCTGAGGCTCGCATACCGTTGTCATACAGTAGGTTAGTGTGCTTATTCTCAGCCTCCCGTATTCGATGTTAACCATGAATATAGTTGAGACCAATCGGTCATATACTGACCACCTTGTGTCACCACACACATCACAATATACCGTCCATTGCAATTCCACCCGAGAGCTTATAAACCCATCACTGTGCTACAACACATCCGCGGAACAGGGTCAGTCAAGCACAGGACCCAGCAACTGGCAGGATGTCTGGCATGGACCAGACCAACGACAGACCTGGTGAATACTACACCACCGAGGCTCCCTGGGACACATACAGTACAACAGCCGAAGAATATGCCACTTCAACAAACGAGGTGGAATGGGGCACCACACGCGCCACGACAGCAACAACAGAACACTATCCCGGAGAAAGCACCACCACCGCACATCAATGGTCCCCATTCGTCACCGAGACATCGACCAGCGCTCAGCCCACGACCGCCACCGCAAGCACATCTCAATCATCCACAACATCGACAACCACCTCCTCCGCCTCCTCCAAAAGCAACAGTAGCAACAACACCAAAACCATCGCCATCGCCGTCCCCGTCGCAGTAGTCGGAGCAGCTATCATCGCGGCCCTACTCTTCTTCATCTTCAGACGCCGCCGCCAACGCAACCAACACCATAACCAACCCATCCCCCAAACCGACATGATGGCCGTCACCGTCCCTCGCGATATCCAACCCCCACCCAACAGATCCTCAACCTGGGAATTTGCCCCCACCAACTCTCACGATATACCCTTCTCAGGGCCCATCCCCGGCCGACCCATCACCACTACCACCCCTACTACCACCGACCAACCCCGCAACCTCGATCCGACCTCAAGCACCCACACCAACACCCTCCCTACCGAAGACCCCCTACAGCAGGAGCAACATCTCGCACCAACCGACTCCCGACCCGTAATTACCCCCACCATCCCCGCCTGGCCCGATCAAACCCAACCCCAACCCCAAAACAGACCCACCTCCCCCTTCGACCATCCCCTCGACGACGCTGTATCCGAGATCTCGCGCCGATCCAGAGACTTGGATGATATATCCTCTGTGTCGTCATTCGGGGAGGATGACGATGATGAGCGTCGACCGGCGATGCATCGTGCTTGAGATTTGGGTGCTTAGTTGGCGTTAGATGTGGATTATGAATGAATATGAGTACGAATATTATTGTGGATCTGGATTTGGATTTGAATTTGAATTATGGGATGGGTGGGTGGATCTAGGTAGTAGTATGTATTATCACTCGCTTTACATTTGATGAAAAAGACGAAGAAGAACGGTTGTTCTGTGAGGGAGAAAGGGTTGCATGCATATCATACCATACCATATCTACTGTCGCTATTGTACATACATGCATACATACTTACATAACGGGTTAGGACTAAATCAGAGGAATGGCAATTGAAGATGTTTGGGAGGGATTTATGACAGGGAGCTCAGGAGGGATATATATCTTTCTTGAAAAAATATCATGATAAGGAGGGAAATAATACAGGGAACAGAGGTAGTAGGTCTGTAGGGTGTTTTTTGGCCGATTGAGCATCTATATCAGAGTCGTAGGTCTACGCTCGCTCATTTGAAGGGATGGAAGTTTTGTAAGATGAAGTTTGTTCAAAATCTCAATGGCTATAATTGACAGCATATATACATAGGTTATGGATTATTTATAAAACCAACCACCACGAATCATCTACCCTTACCAAAGTCAGGCTGGTAGGCCTTCACCTTACCCCGAGACAATTCTCTCAAAGCCATAGTGGCATATTGACTAGATCCGAGCTGGAACTTGAGCACGATGGCGACCTTGTCCTGAGCATCGGAGGAGGACTGGGCCTCAGCAGGGGTTTCGGTCTTGCCCTTGAGCTTTTCCAGGTCGGTCTGGACGAATTGCTCGTCGTCTTGGGTGTAGACGCTCACGTCGACGGAGTAGTCCGGTCCTGGGCGGTTAAGCAATTTCCGGTAGCTGCCTGTTAGGCTGACTTCGCGCCACTTGCGACGCATGTCGAACGGGTCGAGACCGCCGCCTTGGGGACTGGCCATGAATTCCTTGTAGAAGTCGGTCATCTTGTTGGCGGGGTAGAGGACGTCGTAGCCGGGCATGGTGAGGACGACGTCGAAGATGCTGTATTTGCCGCTGGCGGCTTCTTCGGCGGTCAAGGCGCGCGCACGAGCGATTCCTTCGGAGACGTAGGCGTTGTCGCCCGCCTGTGGGGTGATGATGACTTCGCCATCCGCGTCAACTTCGCCCGCGGCGGCGGCGGCTTCGTTGGCGGAAGCCTCCTTGTGGGTGTGTTCGTGCACCAATACCAGGTCACCCTCCACCACCTTGTCGCCGTATAGGCGCCAGCGCTCACCAGCGGCAAAGTTCCACACCAGGGACTGGTAGGCGTGGACATACATCAGTCGCAGGTTACGTGGGATGGCTTGGAGAGCGCCGAGATAGTCGTTCTGGGCACGGCTGAGCTGACGCAGGACGGTTGATTCAGCCGAGAACTTGCGAGGCAGTTTCTCAAGAGTCTTGCCAATGTTGCCGGTGGTTTCGAAGATGTTGATGGCTTCCGCACGGGCCTTGTCATCCGAGCTCACGAGGGCCGTCGAGTTCTCGCCCTCCTTGGCTGCAGCCAAAGCATGAGAACTGTACTGGAGGATGGCGTCGCAGGCGCCCTTGAAGTCACCCTGGAGCATCTTGACGCCGACAGTATCGGTACGGGTAGCGAAGGTTCCGAAGCGTTGCAAGCCAAAGTAGTTGAAGTATCCTCTTTCGCGGAGGTTACGTAGTGCCGTTTCCACGAGCTCCTTTGATTTCGCAACGGCAGCCTCGCGGTCCGTGAAGTCGACTCCCGGAATATCGCACTCACGGAGAGTGATGACGAATTCGTTACCATTCAGATCTCCCAGGTCAAGCCCGTGCTTGCAATACTCGAAGTCGCCGACTGCGGCATTGCGGAGGGTAGGGTTCATCTTTGCGAGACGATCGGCCTGCAACCGGTGCGCACAAGCCCTCTGAACAGTCACACCGCGACGGTCCTTGGTTCCAGCAAACTGGAAGTTCTTTGTGTTGACCTTCAGCTGACGCGAAATGAAAGAAAGAACCTCCATAGTATCCTTGTTCTCCTTGTAGAGGGTGAAGTGCAGGTAGGGGCCGCCCAGCTCATCCCAGTTGAAGGGCACACGGGCGCGTCCATTACCACGCTCACCCTGCGCGTTGCGATTATTGCGGTTAGGCGCAGCCGAGATAGACATCATGCCTTCGCTATCGGTCTGGGACTCGAGTTGAGAGTTAAAGATGCGACGGATGGCCTGGTGCATCTTGATGCGGAGGTCGCGGTCGTTGACGACCACAGTGGGAAGCTTACCCAGATCACTCGGCTTCGACTTAGGGTTGGAAAGGGCGCGCTTGTTCAGCCCCAGAATCCGCTTGGTGGATTCTTCACCGAAGAGGGATTCCAGGAGCGCATTGTCTTCCTCTGAGATCTGGAACTCCGGGGTCTTCTCTGCGCTTGGCGTGACATCCTTCTCGGCGGACTCTTGCGATTTCTCCTGTTGAGTTTCTGCAGGCTTCTCCGTGGGCTTCTCGACAGGCTTGGCCTGTTCTTCTGGAGCGGGGATATCCTGTAGGTGCAGGACTTGGCCGGACGGCACGATCTCGTTGACGAGGAAATCGGTATATCTATCAGGAAAAGGTCAGTAAGCGCTAGGTTTGGCTCACGGTAAAGATGTCCTCACCTCTTCTTCAGAATTCCCGAGAACCCTACGTTGTCCGCGCTGACGAAGCCGGTGATGCCGACTTCGAGTTCCCTCGCCTCCTCCGCGGAGAGCTTGGCCGCGTCCGATTCCGCAATTACCTCGTCAGGGGACGGAAGCGTGGCATCATCGGTAACAGGGGCATTGTCGGTCTTGAGACGCTTCCGCGGCGACTCGATGATATCGGCGCCTTCCATAGCAACGGTGGTAGTGAAATCGAGTTGCAGTTGCAGTCAAGTGAAATCATGAACAGCCCCCCGGATTGAAAAGTTACCGTCACGGTTTTGCCTGCCCGCATCGGGTTAGAGTGGGGCTAGCCCTAGGGAGAATCCGGATTGGGAAGTCTGTTTACTTGATTATAGTAGTTACATCGAATGCGATCAATGCGTGTTTTGTGTAACACATAGAGAATAAGCGCTATTGCTGTAGCTATAATGCCCGGTATTATCCATGTATAGATTACCACCATCCTTTCTTTTTCCAGGTGCCTCCAAACCGATGATTTACACATGCATGCTTGCTACTGAATCCCTCTGAACCACTATGCCTTTGCCCATTTCCCCATACACTGATGGGCAACACACAGATACCACCCATTGACTTTCAAGCTATAGCTTCTTCAGCACTCACACAGACACCCTCTCTGATCTTATGAAACGGGGCCCAGGTCACCCGTCTCTGAACCGCTTCCCCAGATGCAGGGACAAGATCTCCTATTCCCGCATCCGCATCAACAGAAACGTTTACCCAGTCATGCGCCGAAGGAAGTGTCTCCGACAAAACGTCAAGAATAGTATCTGTAAACACCCCAGGCCCAGTAATACCCAGGATATCCTTCTCATTGTACTTCAATCCGTGAAAGAACCGGCCCAGTCTTTTATACTGTGCCGAATGCGCCAGAACCCGAACAATGACTTCTCGAAGCAACGGACTGAACCTTTTAGGCGCGAACATGGTATATTGGATAAAGCTGTAGGTCCTAGTCCAATGCCACTCGCGCATCATACGGGCCGAAGCATATGGTTCGTCGACTTCTATTCCGACGACTAGTGAGAATGTTGGGCCTGGGTGTGCCAATCTTGGGAAAGAATGGCTCGAGGTCTGGACATGCCTTGATCTGCTTTGCCAGGTATGTGTCAATGTCTGCGTAGTAGCCCCCGTGATACCAGAGTAAGAGGTATCGAAGGAGGTCTGCGCGAAGGACGTCGTGTGGGTAGGACGTATATAGGTCCTGAAGATCTGGCACGCTTGACAATTTGGCAATGAAGGCGTTGGCTTCTTTATCTGTTATGAGCTGTGCATTGTTGGTAAGATGTTCATTTTGAGCGGTAATTGTATGCATGTATTTACATTGTATCTCCACTCAATATTGTCCTCTTCGAACTTTATGGAGTCTTTTCCTCGGCCGTGATGGCTTACTTTCTCCCCAAGCATTATCTGCCAGATTACGTCATGCGCTCAATCGGCTCCCCCGTCTGCTGCTAGCATGGCTCGCTCTATATTACGAAGAGCATCGGATATCCTTCTTCCGTATTCAAAGTCGGGGTTTTGTCGGAAGGGAGACTGATAGACAAACCGAGGTTTGTCCTCGATATTTTGACGAGTGCGGGAACGGTCTGCGCCAGCGTTCTTCTGAATGTTGAGAGAAGCCGCTTTATAAATGTAGAGGAAGACCAAAAAGGCAATTAAGATCAGAAGAGGGGCCCGGCGACGTCTTGTAAGAGAGTCTACGTCTCCGCCGATGCTGCACGATCATGGCGATAACAGAATAGTTAATCAGCAGCCATCGAGCCGAGACGACATCTCAACTTGGGAGACTCAGTGTGCAGGGAGTAATAGGTTCTTTGTGCAAACGGAGGAAGAAGAAAACCACCCACACAGACAAAGTAGCGCAGGGCCCTTTACAGGGTTGTTCTTTGACCCAGGAAAGCCGTTCAGCCCAGAACCTGCATCGGCATGATCATCCCTGAGGGCCGTCGGAAATCAGGCATCTAAACCACTGAAATGATTTGGGTGCGAAAAGGGTTTAATGTGCTTCTTATATGCCTTGAGGTTGACTATTGAGGTGGCTGGGATGGTTAGTAGGCGTTGGGCTATCTTGTTATCTGCTCTCGGGGTTTCTGCGTCTGGCTGACATAAACAAATATCAACTTAGCCAAGGATGGTTAGCATTCTCTATGTTTCATTGTGGGGGGTGAAACTGGAGAACTGTATGCTTCTAATGAGATCTATACGATCGGATTCGCTATATGTTAGCAGGAAATGATACTATCACTCAAAGCCCGAGTCGGGCTCTATGGGATTCATCGAACCACTCCACCAAACCACAACGACAGGGCCGAAAGTCGGAGATAATCCAAAGAGGTTTTCAGTCCAATATCCCGTGGACATACCGCTATAGGTGGTTTTTAACATGGTGTCAGCAATGAAGGCCGCTTGGCCGCGGGCAAGGAGGATCCCATCGGGTATACAAGGATGAGTCCGGGATAATAGCTTCCATCCCGTCTGTGACGGAGGTGTCACTTGGTCACACTGGCTACCCAGGGACCTACCAGAAGGCACTACTATCCTCAGTGGTAATGGTCTCTCGAGTAGCAGCGACCTTGGTCCGACCCACCTTAATCCCTGCACATACTCGCTCTCAACTGTCGGGTTGTTATGGCGCAACAGCATCCCAGCAGTCGTACAAACTCTTTCAACGCTATTATCAATAACGAATCATCACCCCAAGAAGCAACATCTCTCTCGGGACCATTACCAGGAATGGCCGAGTCAATGACGGAGAACGACATTCGGACCTGAGAGAGCTCGTTTCCCATGGCATAGTCTTCCAAAACGAGGACAATCTTGATGACTATACGATCTTTGAAGGGATCGAATTCCCCATAGAGGAAATCAAGGCTATATACCCTGCATTTGACTTAGCGCCTGACACAACGCGTGAAAGTCGAGAGAAGTCGCACGTCGACTTCCCCGCCAATGGATCGGATTCTGTGAGTGTCGAGTAAGCGATGGTCTGGGACCCGATGGGGCCAGAAGTACGACTAACCTGAAATAGGGACGTTTTGTTCTGGGAGTTTGTCTATTGCGTATGTGTTTTTCGGTTCATCTTCTGGAGTCAAGACTTTCGTGATCAGGAAGATTGTTAACATGGTCGTTGATGGCTTATTACTAATTAGATCTGTGGCGCCCATCGACGGTATCCTTGAGAAGAGCGTCTATTGTGAATTCAGTGTGGAACTTTCCATGTCGTCTACATCCGCTTTGTGCTACAGCGACGAGCACCCATTCTGGTTACTGACATACTCGAAGAAGAGTGTCGTTGATGCAGGAGATGTCTTGGAATTATAGACTCTGGTATTAGCTCGGGCGTCTTATATCTATAGCTAATCTAATCATATATGTCTCGTATTCATCATGCTTCTCATAGTACGCCAAACAAAACAAAACGCTGGAATCATGTGAGGTGTTGCGACCTCACACATATTGAAACGTTAAGCCCAATCCAAATGCAGCCAACTAATTATAAAAAGGAATCACCTAGGGCCTGCCTCGTCTATCTTCGGTGGGTGCATTACTCACAGTCGATTGCGCACAGTGAGACAGTCTGTTGACTCGACACGGCCACCTGCCCAGGTGGACTTGATAGCCTGAACCACCCCCCTTGTCGCATTCCGAGCCTGATCGCGCGCCTTTCCGGCCTTTAAGAGCGATTCATATCGAGTATGAGTGTGTCGAATATGAGCCTCAACGGCCAGGTTCGCCTTGCGTTCATCCGATAAATTGGAGACCCGCCCAACACGCCCAGTGCCCTTGAGAAAGGCATGTTGGAGGACAGTGTCCAACGACTCCTCCGGCATCAACGGAAAGTGAGTGCGCAAGAGCTCGCGGGCTCGGCCCGAGTATTTCTCGTCACGAAGCTTAACAGCGTGGGCGCGAGACTTGGCTGTTTCAGCTGCAGATTGGAGAACGGCTGCATGAACATCGGCGGGGACACGGAGGCCAAGAGTGGTCTTGCCTCGATTATCCTGTGCAGGGTTAGCAACTGGCACCAGGGTACTAAGGGTAGCTTCCATCCTCACATAAACCACATAGACGATCTGACCCGACTCCTTTGTCTTAATTCGGCAATGGCGAGTAATGTAGACATCTCCCTTGGGGACAAACACATAGTGTGCAGGAGACACCTCTCGTTTAAAACAGTTCTGCCCACGATCTGGTGTTAGTGTCTAGTGATTGGCAGCCGGGGTTGCGCTAGGACATGCAGGCAAAGCAAGGGCAACGGGCGCATGGGCGATCAAAACCCTGCTACGGTACAAAGGAAAGAGGGACTCCAAGGGACCTCGACTCGAATACTCACCTTTTCCTGGGGTTCGGTCGATGGTGGAAGTATACTCAGTCTGGCATACCTCCCTACTTTGGGACTTCCGCGCTCAACAGGCTTGGTCTTGTTGCTCGTTGCAACGCCAGCCAAGTCGCCACGATCCCGTTTCTTTAGGAGGCTGTTCCTGCGAGCCTGGGCTAAGATGGACCGGGGCGATCTCGGCGTGATCGCACTCCTCCCAAGGATCTTTTTGCCACGGTTTATTCTTCTGGCGGCCCCGGACCGGGAGCCTTTCTTTGGGGTGCGCGACATCACTAGGGTCTTATAGAACGAAGGGAATGCTCATTCAGATAGGACTCTAGAACGATAGTATAACGGCGAGGAGTAAACCCAAACACGATCCAGACTTGTATGGTACACTTGTATTCTGAGGATGATGATGAGGATAATGATGCAATCTGGACTAGGTACTGGCTGCTTCTTTCTGGAGGGGCCAACAGTGGGTGAAGTCAACAAGCGCTTTGCAGGTGTTGGTGGGTCTTATAGGAAGGGGTAGTCAAGGAAATGGCCATAGTTGAGAGAACAATGGCGGGAATGTCCTTTTCTTTAATTCAAGAATCCATGCTGACCGGGAGTTTGCTTTGTAGTTTATTTCCTGCTTGACAGTAGTTCTGGCTGAAAGAAAGGTTGGGATCGATCCCGATGCCCAAGGAAGGAGTGACTTGACATAGCACAATTACGGTGGATAGAGAGCGAAGGAGCCTGAATCCACGAATGACCGATTCGGCATTTCCTCCTCCTTTTGGCCGGTGGATCTTGGCGGGGCTGTGGCGCCGCCGCTGTGGCTCAGCCGAAGGCCTGCAAGATCAGGCACTCAAGACGGATCTCCCCACAGGATCTATTACATGCTTGCTGTGTATTATTGTAGGTCTGCTTTTGCTGAGTATGCTTCGTCTAGATATAGTGAGTAAAACTTGCATGATAGGTGCTCTTACCCGTCTGTTACCTAGCCTATGCCGCTATGAAGCAACTAGCCTTGGGGTCTTTCAAGGAAGTTGTGTGTCTTGGCGCCGAAACGAAGATGTGGAGTAAACGGAGAACTCCCCATACTTAGCTATATTTACTTGAAGGCACAAGTATCTCTAACGTGGGTATAACCGAATAAAAGTCGACCCGTAATCAGAACAACAGGTGATGTATGCCAGAAGCGTCTGTAGAGGTATCATTATTGCCCCTCCACTTTATGCACCAGATGCATGGCATTGCGAAGCTACTGTAGGATTGATCGCATCGGTTTCGGACGGAATACCCGCTAGAGACCCATATCACCATGGGAAACCAACACGGTCCGTAAAGGGTGACCCATATATTATTATTGATTGTTGTCTGTGCATACTGCATGGAACGGAGCAGTATTTTTTTGCAATAGTCATAACCATGACTCTGCCCTTCGCTGGCATAACAGTTAGGTCATCCGCCGGGGCCTGGATCATGCGTACCATGAATAGCAGACGGTGATTATAAGGTACTACAACCTCATGTCATGCATCGCCAGAATCATGTGCAAGTACGGAGTGTCTACACTTGACTTTCCATGGGCAAGAGATAAGCATTGGCATTTTCCGGGGTGGGATCGAGTGTAGGTAGGCGAAAGGGTGGGAGGGGATGCTCAGCCCTTGCTGGTGTCTCCAACTTTAATCCGGCCAATGGTTCCTGAGGAGCTGCAAGATGGACAGCCTGGCAGGCACCAAGCCCGCACTACATCGAGATCATGTCAGGGGCTCTCTGAAATACAAATAATCAATGCGAGAGGGGAAAGACTGCCTACTAGCTGGCTGGATAGTATCGCGGTCGGTCCTGCGGGTTACACCGCAGGGCGTCTAACTACTACTGCAGGTCCCGTTGCTCGCATGCAGCTCTAGTGGCTGTGACGGAGGGGAAATGCTGGCTCGATCGTAAAGGGGGTGATGATGATGAAGAAGGTGAGATCCCGACCGATCATCACGGTAGGTGATTGAACCTCGGAAACGGCTTCCACATCTCAGGCGGATGCTTCAAAGTTCAACCTGCCCGCTAGACAATAGTCCCAGGAGATATCTGTACGAATGAAAATGAGCTCGGAAGAGAGGAACGGGATAGTAGCCAGGTACCAAGTACATAAGTAGGAGGTACTTTGGTTTAACCGACCGGGTGATTTCTCTATCGCCTGTCATAGGTTCCCCTATCCCACAGGAATGGACCAATGACGGCCGCGACGGACCACAGCATTGAAGTTCACATTAGAATAACAATCATCCAGATAGTCACTTACGACTACTATAGTGGTACTAGTAGTCTAGACTCAGTCCAGTTGGGTCGCCTCACGTCCGATCTTCGTGGCCCAATGAACCGCCGGGCGGGTCGCGGTGAACCCCCCAAAAGGGTTATATTACTTTGTCCATGCGACAAAATATTTCACTCGGGGCTGAAACACCCTCTCCGTATGGTCTCGACAGGTCGGGTGCGAGTCTTGGATCAGTCGAGTCTCCAATCCAACGGTTTCTAGAGGTGACCTCTTTTTGGGGTTGTTTGCCTACGTTTCCTGTCACCTCGCCTTTCCCGAAGTTGAAGCATGGATAGCTGCAGCGGGTGTAAATAGTGTCAACATAGCTCAGGAGCTGGAGGGAGGTAGGGATTAAATATTAAATAGTAGTAGTAGTAGTAGTATTATGGTTTATTTACTTGTACCAGAGAACACGGAGCTGATGGGTAGGTAGGTTTTAAAGAGTGGAATAATGTCGTCATCGGGTTGGGTCTCAAGCTCAGGAGATCGTAATTATAATTACGGGGAGCTATTAATATTCCGGGCAACCTGTCGCGACTCGCGAGAGTGAGACGTGGGATGGATCGAGGCTGGAGCTGAAAAAAGGCCCCAGTGGCCTCTGCCTGGCTACTACTACTAGCTTAGCGGTCGTCGTCGTGGCCGGAGTCGGGGATGAGGGACGAGACCCCAGGGCGTCCGAGGGTCGTTAGTGTTGTTGGCGGTGGTTGCAAGGCTCAATCTCCCGTCGCCCAATGCGGCCTGGATCGACGCTTTCGTAAGGGAGTCTTGCTCACCTCAAAACCTTGTTGGTGGATTCATACTACTTGTACGGAGTACGGAGTAGATAGACTCTCTTCATCGTCAGTTAGGGTTGACTGGTAGGAATCGATCTAAGCCGTAGTCCAGCGTAGTCCGGATGGACGGCGCCTTCAACGGATCGGGGCACTACATTTCTCGAGCCGGCCCCCCAGGAAGAAGTATCATAATGAAAGCAATAATACTAATAATGATTAGGATAGATACGGGGAAGAAAACAATCGAAGACGGATGCAGGTCCAGAGCCGGTGTCAGCACCAGCAACCAACCGATCACGCTGGAGACTGTGATAGACGACCCACGGAAATGGACCGCTGTTCCTTGTTCTTGGGACCACCGCTGGTGCCTTGAAGCGCGGTTGACTAGTCTTGGATTATGGATACGTTCGGTGGCATAATCTCGCTGAAAGGACCAGTCTCGCTCTTAGCTTCCATCGGTCCAGCTGGCTCGTATGGGATTCTCCGGGATGGAGCAGGATGATGATAGTGGGTGGTTTAGCACGAACCCAGGGTAACGTCTCTCTATCTACGGAGTATACCTACATTGATTACCTGGAGAGTATTATTGGGACTCTCCATTTCATACTCGGAACCAGAACCACTGAAATTTGATAGAACCATTTGGGATAAATACTAACACTTCATTCAATTTTTTTCATAGTTTGCGTTACAGTCCGGGGCCATTTGTATCCATCTGGTGCGTCATGATGGTCTCCGACGGAAAATCAGGTCGGTCGTGTGCAGCCGTGAAGGCCGCGGCCCATGTTCCCAGTTCATCTCACCAATCTCACCAAGGCCGAATCTCCACCAGCCAAAGTGGAGGACGATCGGGACGAGGCAAGGTGATTCGGGAGGGCCTCGATGGACAGGACTATAATGGCGGGGGTTTAAGATGGCAGGATCAACGACGATTATTCGGAGCAGCCTTATTTGTCACCAGAAGTGAAGGTACCAAGTCCTGGTTGCAGCAGAACCGGATCTTGACCCTCCAGCGAGCGTAGCAGTTCATACATACTCAGGAAGTACTCCGTAGTAAGAAGAAAAAAAAAAGTCCCCAGCGGTGGATCTGCGGATGTAAGTAAAAAGGAAAAAGAGGGCAAAAAAACTGTCAACTTATTACCAAATTACAAACAGAGGAAAACGAAAACACAAAATTTCCCATTCGGCTTCGCTTCCTTTTCTCTCTCCTTCTCAACAAGCCTATCTATCTATCTTTTGAATCCGATTCTCCTGATCTCCCTTTTTCCTTCCTACTGGTCAAGGGTGAGGAGAGCATCAAAGACAGTGAGCCCTGATCTAAACGCATTCCGCTCCTCCCTTTGTTCAGGACAGCTCCGTCGTTCTTGGAACCTTCATACTACTGCTACCAACCAACCAACCTTCAATCCCTCGAATCCCGACCTGCCTCCTCGACTCCTCTCCTCGACTCCTCCCTCTTTTTCTTTGTCTCCTTCTCCCGACCAGCCGCTGAATCCCTCCTTGAGCTCGACCATCGGACTATGTGCTAGCGGCCTCCCTTCATCCATCCCATCCGCTCCTTCGAAGGGTCACATCAATCCGTCTCTTGTCTGAACCTACCTACCTACTACTACTCCGTCCACTAGTTTTGGCTTCAATGACCCTGTGGAGGAGGCTTACATTCGTCGGCACAGCGATCCCTACCGAACCAACCCCTCCCATCTGACATTCCTGACGACCCCGAAGTATCTGGACTTCCTACAAGAGGGTTGCCTGGCAGCTTGTGCATTGTATGGTTGCTGGGATCACAACGTTGCTGACATGAGTTGGGATCAACCTGTTCACAGGTATGTCGGCTGAATTTCCTACACATATTGAATCACCGGCACAGGCGGGGCTATCTCTCTATCACCACACATCTTACTAGCTACCATATCTCTATCATATCGTTCCCCTTCCTTTTTTTTAATTTTTTTTGACCCTGCCAATCTCGAATTCGCTTATGTGCACATATATTTTTATACACCTTGGACCTGTGTGGCCGTGAATTCTGTGGATTGCGGAGCTCCTACCGAGCTCCGACCTTCCAGTGATAGCTAGTGTGCAACATGATGCTGACCGAACCTTCTTTCATGCTCAGCTTCAGCTATCCAAATGGTGAACCTCAGACCCCTACGAGGACCCCTCCAACCACCACAATCTTTGGCGATTCCGCTTTTCAGACACCCAAACTCGAATCTAGCTTCTTCGATCCCCGGGTAACGTGGGATACGTCGGACCCCTATGCCTCTAGCCCCGAGTTCCTCCGCACGCCGCAGAAGTTCGGGCTGAGCACCCCTTCCATCAACCCCCTCAGGTTGCCGGACACAGTTCCCGACCGACCGACAAATACAGAAGGCAATCTCCGGAGTGCCAAGGCGGAGCAGGACACGGATACGGCCAAGAGACGTCGTCCGTCTAGACCACATGGGCATTTTGGGGAGGATGGTCCTCGCACGGTGGATTCAGCCAAATCGGCAGCCACCATCCAGACACCCCCACCCAGCAGTGCGTCAAGGAAGAAGGTGACGGGACTCGACGAGGTCGCTGGTACAGGCCGCCGGCCGTCAGCCTCTAGTATGGTGGGTGGCCACTTGGAGACTCCAAGCCGATTACTGGGGGCTTCTCCGCGGCTCTTTGGCGACCTTGAATCGTCCCCCGACCCGTTCCAACTGGCATCCCTTGATCCGGTCACCTCACCTTTCTTCCCACAGCAGCGGCTATTCTGGGACCATGATTTCGATCACCATGCGGGCAACATGGGCCTGTCTGCCAGCGACATGTTCGATCCCCACGCCACCGATGCTTTCCACCTCAGCCACACTTCCATCCAGGACCCTCACATCCCCCAATTACCCACAATCGAAGGCAACATGGAACTTCCCGAATTCCATGGCAATGCATATAACCTCTCGTCGGGAGTAACCACTACTGACGCCGCCCTCTTCCCTGCTCCCTTCTCCACCTCCCCTCGCCGCCCCATCACAAAGGCAGAGGATCCAGCCATGTTTCTGAGCTCCCCTGCACGCCGCTTTGGAGGGCCTCAGCCGACCCCTGAGAAGCGGCTCTTTTCTAGACCGACACGCCAGCCCTACCATCATCAAACGGAGGAGTCTAAGAGAGAGGAGCTCCGCCGCGCTCGAAGTGTCAACCACCACATTCCAGTCTATGAGGATGAGGATGACGACGACTACACCCCCCGTCAGCCTAGGCCTACTCTGACTCGTAGCCTGACACACACCGCTATCACCGGGTCTGCTAATCGAGCGGTGTCTGGCTGCATGGCTTCTAGCAATGGAATCCGGAAGAGCCCATCCAAGGGTCGCTCATCTCCAATCAAGCCCGTTCGTCATCAGCTTTCCCGAGCCAATTCAGTGACTGCTAGCCTTCCTAGACGCTCCCAGTCCGTAGTCCTCAAAATAGGCAGAGACGGTAGAGCCAAAGCGGAGATGCAAGCCGTGGCCGAGTCATCTACGGGCTTGACGGACCCCATCACCGGGATGGATCTGGACGGATCCACCACGGAAAGCGAGTATGACTCGGTGGACTTTTGTGAATACCCGACGATTCCAAGCCGCAATCCCTCATTTGCCTTCTCTGACACTAGTGGAACGATGATTGCCCGCAGTGACTCTGGCTCGCGGCCTCATTCGAAGGGGTCTTATACCTCCACCGCTGCTTCGTCATCAGGACGGGCATCCCCTTGGGCTGGCGCCTGTCGGGGACCTTCTCGTCGACCACAATACAAGTCTACTCTGGATGACTGGAAACGGACCCCGAAAAACCAGTCCACCGTGTTGCATTCGGACCTGTCATATCTCAGTGCTGGTTCGCTCGGCGAGCCGTTTGCTGATCCGGAGGATGACAGTGGTGATGCCCAGCATGCACTCCGGAAGGTGCTCCAGGAGAAAGGCCGGATTGCTCGCCCTCACACGGTCAGCTATGGCTCACGGATCAGCCGGTCTGCACGCTCCCTCGCGCACCTCCGATCGTCTCCACCACGATTCGGTGCGGAGCTTGATCTCGCCTCACGAACCACCAACACATCGCCCACGACCATGACCGACCCCGATCTAGCCACACCTATTACGGACCGTTTCAGCAATCCAAGCAACGGGACCCGGTGCGTCTGTAATTCTATGGACAACGGTGGCCACCTGATGATCCAATGGTAAGCCCTGGTGATGACTGTCGATGAACAGGTACTAATTGATGGGCAGCGAATCGTGCAGTCACTGGTTGCATACCAAGTGCGTTGGACTGGAGCGGGCCAACCTGCCATCCGTGTACGTGTGCCTCTTCTGCGCCCAAACCCCGACTCGTCGGAATCATCGGATCCGGGGGCCTGTCGGTGCGGTTGGGCATGCACCCACGTCGCCCTTAGCTCATAAATCCTATCGATTTCGATGAAAGTAATGACCATGGCGTCCCACTGGCGTCTTCCCATTCTTCGTGTACCATTCTCGCAGAGTTTCTGTACGACTTGGCCTGCTTCCCGGGTGGGCTTTTTGCATTGGGTCTTGCCACGGAGCAGACCAGCGCCTTCATTCCCCTTTTGCCGGGTTTCCTTTGTTCATCTGTGTGCCAGAGCTTAGACATACCCCTTTCCTTGCGACGTACATTTTCCCGCTGTGGCGGCATGTATTCATCCCAGCTGCGACTACTGTGGATGTCTTTTCTAATTGTCCTATTAACTGTGTGGCGAGGGCTTTGTGATACCTGTATCGTGTATGTAGCCACTACTATTAACCGATCACGATCGATGACTACTATTACTACTGCTCCATCCATGTTCTATATACTTGGTATTCTGTGGGAATGATCTTATCAAGCGGAGCCAATGGGCGTTTGGTAACGAAATTACAATACAATCTTCAGGCGGTGAGATGTGCCTGGCGACTTCGGAGATTGACACATTCCGATTGGTGGACCTGGCGCTTATCGGCTCACCGCCCGCGATAGCACGTGGTTCCGCTGAATGATTTTCGCCTCCTCGTCGATGACTCCTCCGATCCTCCTCCTTTTCTGAGCGTCTCTGTCTTTCTCCTTCACGGCTCTTGATCCGCTTTGCAGATGTCCGCCTCCCTCCCCGGCAGTCGGGACCTCCCTCGGTCTCAATATGACTTGACAACCTACTGGGGCCGCGTGCGCCACGCGGCTGACCTCTCCGACCCGCGGTGAGTGGGGGAATTCGCCTGCGGTATTGCACTCGTGCTGACTTCTCCAGGATGTTGTTCGTATCCTCGTCGGGTCTGGAGCAGGCCAAGGCGATGGTCTCTTCGTACAAGCAGAACCATCTTCCGACGATGACCCCGGAATTGTGGCGTGCGAAGAAGGTGGTTGATTCCACGCTGCATCCTGGTGCGTACTCCCGCTGGATCACGAAATCCCAATATACTCATTACTCATCTGATTGACAGACACCGGCGAGCCGGTCTTCCTTCCCTTCCGCATGTCCTGCTATGTTCTGTCGAACTTGGTCGTAACAGCTGGTATGCTTACGCCCGGCCTGCAGGTAAGACACCAGCCCTGGACTGCTGACCTATGATTTTCAACCTGACCGTCCCCCAAGGCAACCGGTACCCTCCTTTGGCAGATTGCCAACCAGTCCCTCAATGTCGCCATCAACAACGCGAACGCGAACAAGTCCACCCCCCTGTCCGTCTCGCAGATGGCCAAGTCCTACATGATGGCGGTGTCGGCTTCTTGCTCCGTGGCCCTAGGTCTGAACGCCCTCGTGCCCCGACTGAAGGGCATCTCGCCGAACACGAAGCTCATCCTGGGTCGTCTGGTGCCGTTTGCGGCGGTGTCCAGTGCCAGTGCGCTCAACGTGTTCCTGATGCGCGGAGAGGAGATTCGTCAGGGTATCGATGTGTACCCGGTGCTGTCGGAGGTGGAGAAGAAGAAGCGTGAGGAGACGGGCGAGCCGGTGGAGAGTCTGGGCAAGAGCAAGAAGGCGGCGACGATCGCGGTGGGCGAGACGGCCATCAGTCGAGTGCTGAATGCCACGCCCATCATGGTGGTGCCGCCGTTGGTGCTGGTTCGGTTGGAGAAGACGGAGTGGTTGAAGGCGCGGCCGCGCATGATCATGCCGCTGAACCTGGGATTGGTGCTGGCAACGTCGCTGTTTGCGCTGCCGCTGGCGCTGGGAGCGTTCCCGCAGCGGCAGGCGATTAGCGCGACCAGTCTGGAGCCGGAGTTCTGGGAGAAGGGAGGAAAGGATGGGCAGGTGGAGTTTAACCGGGGAATGTGATACCTTAGCATTGCGTTAGATTGCTTAGACGGATAGATTGCATTTATCAACCAACTTGAAGAGTTCACTAAAATTCTTGCGTGGTTGCTATGCAGCCCGAGCATCATCAGTGTAGCCAGCCCTATAGGTAGCCAGCCAGCCCTATTAGGGTATCATCACTTACCCCCAACAGCGATACTTCCCTTCAATCTTCATTAAAAACTTATCCTACGAACAATCTACAAATAGAACAACACCATGACCCACATCCAACCTGGAAACTAAATAAATAACTACCAGCCACCTGATTAGCTGTCCCCAACGTAGCCTAGAAAAACCCTCGCCCAGAGAATATGGAGTCAACGATATGACTCACTCTAGTCTATATAAACTACCTGCTTACACCCTCTACCCTAACACTACTACTAACCATCACCACCATACCAAAGACCCAGCATTCACATTTACCTCCTACCGAACCCCAAACCCAAATCAGACGACTTGAAAGACTTGAAAAAACCTCAAGAAAAATGATCCACCCAACCACCTTCACCACCCCGCGTCTCACCCTCTCTCCACTCACCCCAGAAGACGTCCACGATCTTCACGATATTCGTAGTCGAGATGAGGTTATGAAATGGAGGTATGTACACCCCCTCCATCCACCTACCTACTTCCCTCCCTCCCCAAACCAACCAACCAACCAACACCCAAAACCTAAAATAAGATAAACAGTCTAAAAGGCACCCCGGACCCCACCCCCCAAACCACCCAAGAATGGCTCACCAGATTCCTATCCCCGGAGATCAGCCCAGATTTGGGTCCGAGGATATGTTACGCTATTCGCATCAACCCTACCACCACATCCCCACCCCCGCAAGGAAAAGTAATCGGCACTCTAGGCCTTCACACGGAACCGCACCCCACCACACCATCCAACAACCCCAAAGATATCTTCGAATTAGGATACATGTTCCATCCGTCCGTATGGGGAAGGGGGTATGCGAGTGAAGCCGTCTCGGCTGTCGTTGATCGATGGTTTTGTGATCCTGGGGCGGAAGATATACGCCAATTAAAGGAATTGCGGGAGAAGGAGAGGGAGGGGGTGGAGGTTGAGAAGGGGTTATTTGGGATTGTCAATCAGGGGAATGAGGCCAGTGTGGGGGTTTTGAGGAAGGTGGGGTTTACGGGGCCCGTGGAGGAGATGGTTGAGGGGGATGGAAGGAGGAGTTTTGTTTATTGGAGGGAGTTTTGATAGTAGTTCATTGTTGTTTGCTATAGGGGTGTATATATTAGAGGGAATGAATGGGGTTAGGGTTTGGAGGGAGTACTGTGTATATATGAGATAGTATGTAACTAAGGGTATCTATTAGCAGATGAGTCATACTCCCATCCCATTCGTAATGCTCATAAATAGCTATATATATACATCGGTAGTATCGTACAATGCACGTCTATCATGCATGCCTCATCACGGCCAGTGACAAGACCGTGTATAGCACGCACACACTACCTCGTCGAAGAGAAGTCAAATCATAGTCAACCCTATGCAGAAGATATTCCGTGTCATGTCACCAGCGCCCGTAGACGGTCAATAAGTCCGAGTATGGAAAATTCACATCGACGATGCTGAAAAGGAAAAATAAACGACGAAGCACAAATCCCACAAGCCCATCAGTCCAGGCCCCTGGACAATAGACGCGATAAATCAAACAAACGGGGGTATTTCCCTCCGGTAATAGATATGTCGTACTGCTTTTGTCCTCGCCGGGACCGACATGCCCCGGCCGACGTTGCGCTGTTCACAACACAACGGAAGCGTGCAAACCCCATACACCTGCCCGGCTGCGGGCAACTCCGTAAATCCATCCCATGTACCCTCCACCAATGCCATTACCCAGTCATCAAACGGCAGCTCGATTGCCGTCACTGCCATCCCGGAGGTATTATTCCAAAGTACCAATACTCTATCGCCTACCTGTACCCAGACAGGGCCGACGTGGCTCCCCCAGTAGTAGAAGGCTCGGCAGCGTCCATCGGGAAACTAACTCATCCTGCGCACGCAACTCCAACTAGTGGCGCTGATTATTGCGCTGCAGCTGCTCCCCAATCCGAAGGGCTTCGGTGCCGTCATCCACTAAGGACTCTTTGAACCACGGGTGCTTCAAAGCTTCCTTGGCGGTGATGCGGTTCTTCGGGTCATACACGAAGATCTGCTGGAGGAGATTAAGGAACAGTTTATGAAACTTGGTGTTGGTGGGGATGAATTCCTGCGCTTGGTTAGCAACCTGACCGACAGCTCGACCGTGAGGTCACATACCGGAAGCTGCTTCATCGCCCGCACGTACTTGCGGGAAGCCCGAGTCGTCTGCTCGTTCGGGTATTCGAGGCGATTGCGGTTGAAGTACCTGGGGATGGTCAGCGGAAACCCAGATGGAAGTCATGAATAGACAACATACTTGGCGGCCTGGTTCTGCCCTGTACCGCGTCCCCCCTGCATCACCTGCCTCACAAGGCGGGTGTCGATCCGATCCCCAATGACAGCTTCCATCATCGCTAAATGCTCCAGGTTGTCATGGGTTTGGAAAAGGGCGTCGCCTGTGAAGAACTCCACGAGGATGCAACCGATGCTCCAGATGTCGCAAGGGAAGCTCCAGCCCAAGTTCAGAATGATCTCGGGGGCCCGGTAATGCCGGGTCGACACGACAGACGAGTGATACTCATCATCGAACGTGGCAGACCCGAAATCAATCAGACGGATCTCGCTGTCTAACAGCACCCGTCTTTGACGAGCGCTCCGAGAAATGGCATGTGATGAAGAGGGGATGGTACGGTTATAGGTAAAGGTCTGGTAAGCGTTGTTGACGAGGAGGATATTTTCAGGTTTCAAGTCGGTATGGATGAGGTTCAGGTCGTGAAGGACTGCATCGGTCAGAAGCGAGCCTATATCAGGCAGAGAAAAAGCACTCACAAGCTACACTGGTAAATAGTTGCCGAGCAAAGTTCTGGATCTGGCTGCTGGGAAAAGGCACAAAGCCGTTTCCCTTGAGGAAATCGAAAACACTCTGCCCGAGCAGATCTGTCACAATGCAAATATGATTGCGATAGTCGAAACAGTCTCGCAGATGGATGCACTTGTTTCGGTTCTGCTTGTCATTGGAGGCCAATGTGGAGAGCACTCGAAGTTCGATTCGCGAAGCATCACGGTACTTCTGGATGGAGCGGATGATTTTGACTGCGCAGCGGGTCTTGCGCTGCTTGTCAAACGCCTCAACCACCTTGCCAAAGGTACCTTGTCCCAAGAGTTTGACGATCGAGTCTGCAATCACGTTAGTGTCAGCCCAAGGGATCAGACTTGGGCATCACTCACATCGGTCGGTCAGGGGTGTATTCGGATTGACGATATAGTGGCCATCGTCATCATCAAACTTCTCCCCGCGGCCGGCATACTGCACTCGCAGGTTAGAAGGCAACACACTGATGGCTAGCAGTCCAGTACTTACATCGCGTATCACAGGGACCGGGACGTCCTTGGCCTTGATGGGCGGCTTAGGTGGCGGAATGTAACTCAAGAACGCATCACCCGCGTTCTCTAACTCCTTTCGTTTCTGTTCGTCTCGAGCGGACTTTCGGGTAGTGACGCGTTTCCGTTTCTGGCCGACATTGGCATCTTCATAGATGATTCCATTGCTGGCTCCCGAACTTCCCTGCGAGAGGGAGGTGGGCGCGGTCGTATGTAGGGACGTAGTCCGATCGGTAGAAAGGGAAGCAGCCGAAGACTCTTCCCCATACTGTTGTGGATTAATCGAGAACGATGGCCGATCATAGTAACCAAGATCGTAGGCAGTATCGATGCCCGTGCGCCGCCTCTTGCCAGCGGGCTGAGGCACGGTGCCGTTGGTTGCTGTGGCCGTGGATGCCGTCGCGAGACTGCGCGAGGGGCCCTTGGACTGATCCGGAGGGGGGGTGTCGTCGATGACAATCACCTCCTTCGGGATGCCATTCTTGTAGAACTCGCCCCAGTTCGGCTTCCTCCTCCGGCTTGTCTGCGCTGTGGACCCAGCGCCCACGGCGTTGTGGGTCGGGGGCATTGTGGTTGTCGTGCTGATGGTTGTGGTTGTCGGGGTGGGTGCGGTAGGCATAATCTTTGGAGACTGGGTAAAAGGAAGGGTAGGTGTCGGTGCGGGAACGGCGTAGGGATATGAGGATGTGACGAGGCGAGTTGTGCCTGCAGCGGACGTGGTCGGAAACGATGCGTTCGGTTGGTAGGGTTGGTGATGGGGGTATCCGTAGTGTTGCTGATGCGGATGCGTCGCGGTAGCCGTTGAAGGGGTGGACATGATGCAAAGAAAAAGTATAATCCAGCCGTGGGGACAGACGGCGGATTGGGCCAGGAAGAGAGGAAGGAAGGGGAGGAGAAGTAGACGAGGAGGAGGGAGAGAGGGAAGTGGAGGGAAGAGGAGGAGGAGGTGGTGGTGGTTCACAGTCGCCCGGCTGGTAGTCGGCCGTCCGAATTGTCGTAGAAACAGCGGGCAGATTGTTGGAGTAGTAATCTCTCTACCTGGGAGCAGGGGACTCGAGCCAAGCCAGGTCGGATACCCGGGGGATTCTCGCGTCGATCCTAGCCAAATGATCACAGGGGATTGGGGCAATTGATGGGGGGTATAGGATAGAAAGAAACGGATTGATTGCAAAGAAGAAGAAGTCCAGATGAGAGAAGGAAAGGAAGAGGAGGGAAAAGAGGAAGAAGAGGAGGCGTGCGAAGATGGAGAAGATGGATGGCGAGGCGGTCGGTCGGGGTACGGTACGCCCAGTACGGTACGGATGAGCTCACGAAGGTCTCATTGGGTCACCGGTCGAGCCCAAATAAGAACCATTGAAGTGTTGCCGGATGGAGGGCATCGGCCTGGAGGGGATCAAAGAATGGAGAGGAGCGATGAAAGGGGGGGCAAGCCCGTGGTGGTCACCGTGGTGGTGCGAGGCAGGAATTTGCAGAAGCCAAAGACAACACGGCCTGGTGACTATCCGACACAGGCCGACAGATGCCAAAGAAAGCGAATAAAATGGGGGGGAAAGGAGCAGACAAAGGAATAGAATGAGGCGCGGCAATAATCAGAATCCTTTACTGAATTGAATTGTGTTGGCCTACAGCAAAGCGGCTACGAGGAGTATAACACTGGATGGACATACAAGGAGATTCAAGATCGAGACGGGAGGGAGAAGGCAGCGCACATCCTGTGTGCACGATGACAAGAGTCGAACACAGCCAGATACCGGACCACTAACCAGACACCGACTGCCAGACAGCCAGACCGGTGGCCCTCCTCACCATCAAGGGTCATGGTGGATGATGGCGCCTCGCCGCACGAGCACCAGAGAAGGTTCTTCGGTTACGACACACACACCCTCTTCATCATCCATTCAGTCAGTGTCATTGGGCCTGCTGGATCAATCAATCCTCCGAGCCTGTCTTCGGCTGAACACCCTCTTCGACTCCGTCGGTCTCTTGCCCTCTGACTGTCCCCCTTTTTCCGGTCCGTCTGGTGATCCAAAGTGAGCGGGATCATCTTATTGAGGGTGGTTCATAATAATCAATAGTAATTCCAATCCCAAACAACGATCTGGCACGGTTTTCGTTGGCGCAGATCGCAAGGCTCATCTAACCCAACCAGCCCCGGAGGCAAAACATAGCGCCGGAGTTGGGGCGAGTCTAGGCTTCCAAGCTCTGGATGACGCCCACCGGTTCAGTCCTTTCTTCCGCGAACCGAAATGTCAGATGTGAAACGCGGTGCACACTCCTCTCAGGGAATCGCGGTGGTGTCCAACCCATCCTCCCCATGGCTTGTCGAATGTCGACTTGTCTGGAAGGCATGTGTGGTGGTGCTGGTGGTCTGGTGGCAAGGCCGTCGTGGCCAAAGTTGCGCCTTGGGCACCTACCGACGGCCGCAGAGGGCTGCATGACATGCATTTCCCACCTCGTCGCAGCGCGCGATGCTCGTACCGCGTCCATCTTGCCTGGGAAAAGGTTTAATAATAACCCGGAGGAACGATGCTCTGGGTGATGACGCCGCGGGGGTGTGATTGGATTGGCTGCGGTGAATCTCCGCTTTTCGGCCTTTTCCCCCTTCCTTCCAATTCTTTAGTCCCTGATCTCTGACATCATCTCCCGAAGTTCATCCTCCCGTCTTGAAGTTGGGGTGGTATTCCGGCGGAGATGATCGTGCTCGTCCGGACCCCGCTTTGCTGCTCTGGCCTGCCGAAGGTAATCAATCAATCGTTGGGACTAACAGTAGTAACGAGGGGCGACAACGTGACGGGCACCAAGTGGTGGTGAGATCTGGTAGGAATCTTATTGGCACCGCCGCCCAACTCAAGCAAGTTCGTCATCCAGTCCGGCTGAAGGAGGCCTGCGGGTTTGGTTCCACCCGACCCCCGGAACGCTCTAGCGTCAACCCTAACCGAACCGGGGAAAGCCAGGCTTGGCATGCAGCCAGATGGCCTCAGGTACTAACCCGCTCGATATCTACCACTACGAGGGAGGCTATAGCATGCCATTCTAGATGTATTGTAGATGAGATGCGGTGACCGGACAACACGGAACAGTGCGGTTTCCATATCGTTTCTTTCATTTCTTTTCGTTTCGTTTTTATCTCCTCGTGACTCGGGTAGTGCCCCAGTTCCCTCCAAACGTCAGGTTGTCATCCTCCAAGCGTCAGATAGCACCGACCTGTCCGACAATCTCGACAGGCCGCAAGGACTGTTGTCGCCTCCTAGCCTTCTGAGCAGGAGATGAAGCACTCGAACCGCAACACCCTGACTTCCCTCCGTAACACAGGGGTATGAAAAGTAATACAGGCAAGATCGTGAAGACCCATGGCAATTAAACAGGGTAGTGAGAAAAGAAAGAGGACATCGTATGCAAAAGGATGACCCCGATAATAATCGGGTAGTCTCGATCGCATGGGGAAAGACAAGCAAATGCACATACAATGAATGGTAATCACGGATTGAGCGCTGCCGAGTATGCCACCTTGCCAAATAACCACGATCCTGCGCAGTTATCACGCGGAACCAAAATGGAACCTCAAACGCTGAAACGAGATGCCAGGTACTAGTGTCAATCTGCTCGGTCCTCCTTCACATCCTTTGAGTACGCTTTTTGGACGTGCCGGGGGCCTCTGCCATCCAGCTCAAGCATAAATAGGACGTCGCGGACCTGGATGCCGGCGCCCTTGTCCTTGTCCTCCCGCCAGGTGCCCAGACGTTTCGCGGGCGCAGCTGCGGGCTCACCGGAGCGCCCGGGCTTGTCGGTGCTAGCAGGCGGCGTGGCAGTGTTGACGCGTGATGGCGTGGAGAATCCGCTGCCGGTTGCTGACCCGCGATTCAGCCAAGAGTAAGATTTCTTAGTTCCGAACATGCGACCAGACAGCATGCTGTTGGTAGCCAGTCGTGCGGTCTCCACCGACTGCTGATGTTGCTGGGCCTCGCTGGCTTTCGCATCAATAAGCTTCCTGGCTTCCTTCTTGGATATCCCCTTTTTATCAAGACTAGGGGCCCTATCCCCGATCGGTGTAGAAGCACCGGAACCTGGAATCTCGACGGATTCCGCCCGGCTTGCTCCGCCTTCTCCCAGAATGGCACTCGCACTGCGCTTAGCACGTTTCGCAGCCCGGGCATCTTCGCTCGAGTTGTCCTTGTCCATGAGCAGGCGGTACCTCTCAGACATTGATTTGGTACCCTGTGGCTCAGTTGCTGATAATGGTCCTGGATTCTGGTCAGCTGGTCTGGAGTACACGGCGGGTGTAGTGGGGGTGCCTACGCTTGGCTGGAGTGCTTGGATTTTCAGCATTCCCATTGACAGCATTAGCCGTAGCCGCCACGTCCTTCCAATCAGCGGGAACAACTCCGTGCGAATGTGCGCGTCGACTTCTAGCAAGTGTTGAAGAATAATCGACCACCGTTCGCAGCCGCTCCTCACACGAAATAGACATCAAACTAAGGATATCCAGTAAAGGGGCGCCGGTTTGGTTCAAGATTGTCTGTCCAGAACGTATGATAGATGATCCATCGGGTCCAGTAACTTCGATGGGCTGTTGGCGGCCGGGTACGGGATGGTACAGGCCCTCTGCCGGGATACGAACACCCAGTTCAAACCCACGCTTCTGAAGCTTTTGCTCCAGAACTTTGGTCAATAGAAACGAGTGTTGTAAATGATACTGTGCGCGCCTAGCTGCTTCAGTGTCCTCTCGCGTTGGTTCATTGGGGTCTTTAAAAGGAGCAGGAGGCTGGGGCGGCGGCTCTGTGTAGTAAGTATCTTGTGTTGTAGGCGGCTTGTATGGCAACGGTTCGCCGAAACTAGGGGTGGTAGAAACGGTTCCGGTCGTAGATGCTTGTGAGGTGAAAGATGTGTTCACAGCGGGCGGTGGTGGCTGCTGTTGCGGGATCGGTGGCTGTTGAGGGCGAGGTGGTTGTTGAGCCTGCACGCCAGGGCCAGAATAACTGCTTGTCAGATAAGCCTCCTCTTCCCGGACATCAATACCCGATGAGGCCAGCACGTCAGTCAGCTCAGCAGCATCCGTTGCCTTTTCTGCCGGTCGAGATGGGGGTCCCATTGCGCCTGGAGGCGGAGGTGGAAGAGCCGGACTTTGAGGCATGCCGTTCATACCCATATTGGCTCCATTCATGGGAGCGGGTTGGTGCTGTGGCAGCTGAAGAGTCCCAAAGCTAGGTGAGGCATAAGGAGACTGAGACTGAGGAAGAGGTGAAAGGCGCTGCCGCTTGAAAGGTGGTGGGACACCTCCATTCACTGGCGACGGGGCACCAGGTGAAGGTGAGGAGCCCGGCGGGGAGAAGGACTGGGTGAGGTGTTGTTGTGATTGTGGCTGAGCCATGGTGACTGGAATTTGCAGCTTCAAAAAAGTGTCGATATTAGGAGGTCAACGGCCGAGTCAAGTCACGGCTTTGGACGCCGGATGGGGGAGTTTCGCGTTGTAAGTATATCTAGAACCGGGCGGACTGCTTTAACCGCCACCGCCACCAACCGGAACCATTTCAAGTCATCGGATGCGACATGGAAATCGGATACGAGGTCGTTCGGAATGTCCTGGCGAAGAGTCAAGCGCGGGTGAGAGAGAGAAGTCAACCGGGCCAACGATGTTGCTCTCGCGAACGGGAAGGGGAGCTTCGAGGTTTGCTCGTCGCGGCGATCCGCTCGGGAGCATCACGTGGCGGGCTTAGGTAAGGCCGCGCCGCCATGGCGGACCTGCGCTTCTTCTTTTTCGATCTCCGTGTTGTTGTTGCGCTCATTCACTGGGATTGTGTTAGAAGCAGAGCTTTCACACAGTCCGGATTGTTGCTCTAACCATCGCTACGGTGCTTGCTTGGCTGGCTATCTGATTCCCACCCAATCTTGGATTGTGCCCTGTGCATGCCATGCGCAGCCAATCCCGCGTTAATTGATACACGCCATACAGAACAGAGGCAGCTACTTGGGAGCACCCGTGCTTCTTGACTAACTTATACCTACGTGCGCCGCTGCGCTTGCTCGCTGGGACCTGGTACTTATACTGCTTGGCTAGTTCTAATCACCTGAAACCTCCCATCATGGCAACAAAACGGAAGGCGTCGGCTTTGAATGCCACTCTGGATGACGAACCGGTCGATCCAACAGATGAATTGGCCTTCTATTGCTTAGGTGGCGGAAATGAGGTCGGACGGTCATGTCATATTATCCAGTACAAGGGGAAAACGGTCATGGTGTGTGGTTCTTCACCCTGTTGGGTCTATATGTGAACCCTGCTGACTCCAGCCTCCTTAGCTTGACGCCGGCATGCATCCTGCGAAAGAAGGGTTCTCGGCTCTGCCCTTTTTTGACGAGTTTGATCTGAGCACGGTGGATATTCTTTTGATAAGCCAGTATGTGGGACAGTCTCTCCTTTGTTCTTCGAGTCACCCCTCCGTCCCTCCTGAGCAGCCACTTTTGTTCACCTCGGTGGGCGACATTCTATACCACTCTTTCTTCCATTTTACGTCCTTGGAAGCAATACTATTCAGTGCCGATATAGCCCCTACACCCGCTCATGTACTGAGAAACACAATACAATATATGCTAGCTATCCATCTTGTTTCATGCGTTGTATCGTTGCATCCATGCATTCCATGCAGTCTGCTCTGCTGTTGCATTTCAGCTCTTGCTCGGCGATCTTAATCGGACAGTCGGCTGATAGATATTCTCCTCGACCAATAGTTTTCATGTTGATCATTCTTCTGCGCTCCCTTATGTGCTCAGCAAGACCAATTTCAAGGGTCGGGTGTTCATGACGCACGCCACCAAAGCCATCTACAAATGGCTGATCCAGGATAATGTGCGTGTGAGCAATACGGCATCGTCCTCCGATCAACGGACTACGCTATATACCGAACATGACCATTTGTCTACGCTACCATTCATTGAGACGATCGATTTCAACACCACGCATACGATCAATAGCATTCGCATTACTCCCTTTCCGGCTGGCCACGTCCTCGGTGCTGCGATGTTCCTGATTTCGATAGCCGGTCTGAATATTCTCTTCACCGGCGACTACTCCCGTGAAGAAGACCGGCATTTAATCCCGGCCGAAGTTCCCAAGGGTGTGAAAATCGATGTGCTTATTACCGAGTCGACGTTCGGTATATCGTCGAATCCGCCCCGTCTGGAACGTGAAGCGGCCCTGATGAAAGCGATTACCGGTGTCCTAAATCGTGGAGGCAGAGTCTTAATGCCGGTGTTTGCCCTAGGTCGCGCTCAGGAGTTGTTGCTCATCCTTGATGAATATTGGGAGACCCATCCCGAACTCCAGAAGATTCCCATTTACTATATCGGAAATACGGCTCGCAGATGTATGGTCGTGTATCAAACATATATAGGTGCAATGAACGATAACATTAAGCGACTCTTCCGTCAACGTATGGCGGAGGCGGAAGCCAGCGGCGACAAGAGTATCAGTGCAGGACCCTGGGACTTCAGGTTTGTCAGAAGTCTGCGCAGCTTGGAACGTTTCGATGATGTAGGAGGATGTGTGATGCTAGCATCGCCGGGTATGCTGCAGACGGGGACAAGTAGGGAGCTCCTGGAGCGGTGGGCACCCAATGAACGCAACGGCGTTGTCATGACCGGCTACAGTGTTGAGGGCACGATGGCCAAGCAGATCCTTAACGAACCTGAGCAGATTCCTGCGGTGATGTCCAGAGCAACAGCGGGATTGGTGAGGCGTGGTATGACCGGAAATGAAGAGGAGCAGAAAGTCATGATCCCCAGAAGGTGTACTGTGGACGAGGTCAGTTTCGCAGCCCATGTAGATGGCGTTGAGAACAGAAATTTCATTGAGGAAGTCTCCGCCCCGGTCGTGGTATGTAGCCCTGTTAGATGGTTTGTGGTATACTCAGTTCACTCACCCTCCTTAGATCCTCGTCCACGGCGAAAAACACCAAATGATGCGCCTCAAATCGAAATTGCTCAGTCTTAATGCCGAGAAGACCGTCAAGGTCAAGGTCTACACACCGGCAAACTGCGAAGAAGTCCGCATTCCCTTCAAGAAGGACAAGATCGCGAAGGTGGTCGGTAGACTGGCTCAAATCGCGCCTCCATTGGAGGAAGACGATGGTCAACTTATGGGTGGTGTCCTTGTACAGAATGGATTCAACCTGTCGTTGATGGCACCGGATGATCTCCGCGAGTATGCCGGTTTGACAACCACTGCCATTACATGCAAGCAGCATATCACGTTGAGCTCTGCAAGCATGGATCTGATCAAGTGGGCTCTCGAGGGTACCTTCGGGGCCATCGAAGAGGTTGGCAACTCCCAACAGGAGATCATCAAGAAGGAACACGAAGGCAGTTCCGAGAAGCCCAACGGAGATGGGGCTAAAGAGGAAGCTGCCGATGAGGAGATCCCCATCGAAGGCACACAAACCTACCTTGTCATGGGCTGTGTGTTTATCCGATACTATCCTCGCACCCGTGAGGTCGAGCTTGAATGGGAAGGAAACATGATGAATGATGGAGTGGCTGATGCAGTAATGGCGGTTCTTCTGACTGTCGAGAGCAGCCCTGCCTCAGTGAAGCGTAGGTGCCTTTTGGATCTCATCATATATTGATTGCTAACCAACGCATATACAGAATCTGCGAAGCAGAAGCATCACCACCATCATCATCATGACGACACTATCCAGCTCCCTAACCCTCACTCACACCTAGGGCCAGAGGGGCGTTTTAGACGTCTCCTCATGATGCTCCAAGCACAGTTTGGATCGGAAATCGTTGCCATTGAGCGTCCACGACTACCTTCAAATAGCATCACAAACGGCAATGACGGTAAAGCTGAATCCGTTGAAAAGTCACCTGTGAAGGTAGAGGAGGACGAGGACGAGGACGCCTTGACGGAGCTGGAAGCGGTCGAGATTTCTCGTCTTCAGGCACTTGGCATTCCATTCCCGGGACTCGAGATCAAGGTTGACAAACATGTTGCCCGTATATGGCTAGAGGATCTTGAAGTGGAATGTGCCAATCCAGTGCTGAGGGATCGGATCCGAGTCGTCATTGAAAGAGCCGTGGAAACCGTGGCAAGCATGTGGACCGAGGGACCCCCGCCTGCGACGGCCACCAACGGAGAGAGCAAGGAGCAGGCCAAGGATGCTTCAGAGATCAAGGCTGCTGCGATTGAGGCCCAAGCTTGAACGAAGCCGTGGTGTGTAACATTAAATCTCCGTCTTTCCACGTTCATCCAGTCATACTTTTTCATAAGGCGAATCCCTAAGACTATACCCGGCTGAAGTTGCTCGGCATGCACAGGAAACAATAAACATAATGAATATACGTTGCCACTGCCATCAAGCAAGAAATATAACATCCATAGTCCGTATTTCATAAAACTCCACCAACCAATTAAGCCGTCTTCAACTTGGCAAAAACCACATCAACCACCTTCGCCGCCGTATCCACAATGATATCAATCTCCTCCTTGGAGACATTATACGGCGGCGCCAAAATAATATGATCCCCTCGCATGCAATCCACCGTCCCATTAGCAGCATACAACGAGACGCCAAACTCCGGATCCAGCCCCGTTTCCTGAATCTGAAACGCCACTCCCAACTCCGGCCCAAACGGCTCCTTAGTCTCCCTATCCTTAACGAACTCAATCTGCACCATCCACGTTAGCCCTCACTCACCATTATCAGATCAATCATGAGAACTTACCCCCCAAAACAACCCCTTCCCCCTAATATCCCCCACATTCGGATGCCCTCCCAACCGACTCCTCAACCCCTCCTCCAAATACTTCCCCATCGTCCTCACATTCTCCAGCAAATTGTCCCGTTTAATGACCTTCTGCACCGCCAACGCAGCAGCACACGCCACCGGATGCCCCTGATACGTCTGACCGTGTCGAAACACCCCCGTGCCTTTGTCCATCACATCCACGATTTTCTCCCCGATTAGCAGACCAGAAACGGGCGCGTACCCGCCTCCCAGTCCCTTACCGATAGTCTGGAGATCAGGCACCACGTTCTCTTGTTCCCACGCGTGGAGAGTCCCGCAACGACCCATCCCGCACATTACCTCGTCGAGAATAAACAATGCGCCGTGTTTCTCGCAGATGGATTTCATGGCGGGGAAGTATCCGGGCAGGGCGGCGACGGCGCCGAGGGCCTGTATTCATACTTCAGGTTAGTCGCTTGACCTCGTGCGCTGTAGGGAATTGGTAACGTACCGCCCCAACAACCGGCTCTGCGATGAACGCGCAGACATTCTCTGGTCCGACGCGCTGGAACTCCTCGTCTAGTTCTGTCGCTAGTCGGGCGACGTATTCTTCGTCGGACTCGCCCTGGGTTTTGCCTCGGTAGGGGTAGCAGGGAGAAACATGGGATGTGTTGCTTGACAGAAGAGGCTCAAAGGGCTCTCGACGAATCATATGTCCGCCGACTGATAGCGCGCCTAGAGTGACACCGTGGTAGGAGGGCTTTCGGGCGATGAATCGCGTGCGTTGGGGTTGGGGGGTGGGGAGTTCGAGGAAGTATTGCCGGGCTAGTTTTAGGGCTGCTTCGACGGCTTCGGAGCCTGTGGTGTATGATTACGGTTAGTAGGTCAATTTATGGAAGAGGAGGGGGTGGACGTACCGGAACTAACGACGAACAGCTTGGACATCTTGCCTCCTGTCGACTCGGTGAGAAGACGAGCGAGCTCTTCGGATGCCTCTGTTCCGAAAAACGCCGTATGGCAGTAGGATATCTGGTTGATCTGGTCGATCACGGCCTGGCTGACTTCCTCATGGCCATGGCCTAGACAGGATACGGCGGCACCGCCGGTCGAGTCGAGAAACTTGGTGCCATCTTCGAGGAAGATGTAACTGCCTTTACCGCCGATGGCTTTTTTGGGGACGAAGCGGGTGTTCCGGTGTAGGACTGAGCTGCTGGTCACGGAGTCTAGGTTATTGTTAGTTAGTTGAGATTGGGAGATCTTATCGGTGTCTGGGTTGGGGGTTTAGGGCTTACCTGACATGGTCATATTGAGGGTACTTGTGCTTAACTACTTAGAAGAGAAAAAACTGTAATCAATTTGAGAACATGTAACTGGAACAGTTTATCAGAATCCATGGTGAGAGCAAGTATTATGCTATTTATGCCTGCGATACGCACAGGCACCTTGTCTCCCCAGGCATCACCCTGTGACTCGGTGGATGTGGGGAGCGGCGGGGAATCGGCATGCCGATGGAGATCCCGAGAGACTGGTTGGCTGTCTCCGCCGACGGGGCCGATCGTGGAGTTGTGGTTATCGCGGCTGCTTAAGTCGTCGAGGGCTCCATCATACTACTACTATCTGCAGTAAGTTTCGGCGTATAGAAGACAGTAGATGGAGATAGGTCGAGTTATCTTATCATCTGTGGGAGATGGCTATCTCAAGGGCCCGATACAACACTGGTGTCTGCAGTTGATAGATACGGTGGTGACTCACTTTTGCAGCCTGCCATATTGTGCTGTCTGACTGCCTGTCAATCCTTTTTGGTTGGATGTGGTTATAGGACATGGACTACGGGTTATAATCTTGTTGGGTTTGTTAGCTTAAGGAGCTCTTTGTTCTTGTGGCCATTGGACAGTATACAATCATTCTATCTAAGCTTGTTCAACGAGATACTTCAAATCTGTCCTTTCTAGAATAGGAAAAGTTATCATCTTTGAGCTAGTTAGGCCTATACATTTTAATTGTTTGAGAAATAGATAACAGAGGTGAGCTCGCCCTTACATATGGCGGTGATTATTCCCGAATTGGCAATGACTATTCTCCGAGCAGTTGGGAGACAAAGTCTTATCTAGCAATGAAGCTAGAAATTGTGCATATATCTCTACAGTAAATTAAGATACAGCTTGTCATCACATTCAAAGCAATTCCTGACTGCATATAATGATTGTCTTCGAAATCAGCGACGATAGTACATCGCCAGAGCAATGCGGGCGGTGGGCAGCTCTCCGCTCCGCAGTGGTTGGCCACTAAAACTCCATTCCGCACAGAAAGGCCAGACTGCTTCACCAGAACGGCCTCCTGCTCAACCCCCCGCTTTCCAGGCTCATTGCCGTGTCTCGCCCGCATTATTCCTCCTCTCCGGTCCATTCACCCCCATTGAATCATCACCATGTCACGACACGCCCAAGTCGAGGAGGTTTACGACTCCGACCCCGAGGAGGTTGCTCCCTCCGACTCCTCGCCCGCCAACTTCCCCAATGAATCCATCCTCTCTGGTGCCGGAATCCCCATGACCGGCTCATTACCCATGAGACCCGCCCCTGAACCTCAGCGCGAAATCCCCAAACACTACCAGTGCCTGTATCCGATATATTTCGACAAGACGCGGTCCCGCGCCGAGGGCCGCAAGGTCGGAAGTGAGCTGGCGGTCGAGAACCCGCTGGCAAGGGACATTGTCGATGCGGTGCAGATGCTGGGCTTGAATGTTGGGTTCGAGCCGGAGAAGCTGCACCCGAAGGATTGGGCGAATCCGGGACGTGTGCGGGTGTTGTTGAAGAATGAGGAGGGGAAGCTGGTTAACTCGAGGATTAAGAATAGTAAGTTTATCTGCCCTCCGGTGTAGATTGAAGTCGCTGGCTTTGATGCTTGGGCCCTTGTCTAACCATTGCTACAGAGCACCATCTCTACGTCCTCGTGGCCCAGTACCTCAAAGCCCACCCCACCACCGAAGAATCCCCCTACCGTCTAAGAATCAGAGGACTCCCCATGCCCGAGAAATTGCCCGCCGCACCTTCGGCTCCTCGTGGATGGAAGATTGGGACTATTCTCCCGATACACTCTCCGGCTTACAGTGGTGGCGGAGTCAGCGATAACCCGCTCAAGGACGCCATGGCCGAGATGCAGGGCATGCAGGGCATGCCTGGCATGCCCCAGATACCTGGAATGCCGGACCTGGCTGGCTTGATGGGAGGAGGTCCGTCCGCGGCACCTGTTGAGAAGAAGAAGAAGGATAAGAAGAAGGGCAAGGCGTGAGGAGCTTCCTGATAGCTCTTCATGTGGTACATAGGCTTCTGATTGCATTGGCATGGGCGAAAGGCGTTTGTTGCTTCCTATATCGAGGGCATCTCTGCTGTTCTCTGGATACCAAGTCGAATGAAATGATATATGAGTGAGGTGGTCCTAATGTAATGCTTAATCGGTAGCACCCATAGCCTTCTGTAAACCCTCGTAGGACACTGACAGGGGAAAAATCAACTCTGTTAAAAGTCCAAGGTATCCAATTGACGCCATTGTTCGGCTTGCGTATATGGTCGCTGTCATTGGCCGAGGCGGAACCATCGCCGATAACGCTGTTTTACCCCAGAGTCACATCAGCATCACCCGATGTTCTTCTCAGCTTCATCCACGGCGCTGTCACTGCAGTCTCGCTCCCTCAGGTGACAAATCATCCGACCAGGACCCTACCTGTTTAGCCTCCCCACATGGGCTGAGACTCATGCACACTTCCCCATGAACCGCCCGCTCAGCCCCGTCGATGGATTACAGAACCCCGCCACTGCGACCGACGGACCATGAACACAAGCGCCTCGAGCGTTCTGTCCGGCTACGGGCAGACGAATGAAGACATCAAACCGAAGTTTCTTCTTAACTACGACTCCTCGCCTGCATCAGCTCCGTCCTCCACTGCCTCCAGGACCGGGAAACCTGGGAGTCGTCAGATCACCCGCAATCGCGCCAGCTACAGCTGCCATACCTGTCGGAGACGGAAGGTCAAATGCGACAAGGTACATGCACCCGAGTTTTTAGAATTGATTGGACTGAACTGAGTACTGGAATACTAGGTACATCCGATTTGCGGCAACTGCGTGAAAAACGGAACCGAATGTGTCTACGATACCGCGCCACAGAAGAACGTCGAGTCGCGCACCGGCCAGCCTAAGGATGGACATGGTGTGAAACGGAGGAGGGAATCCTCGCGACCAATCGAGGATGATATCAATGATATACAGTCAATTTATGGTCATTTGAGGCAGGATGGGGCTTCCGAGCAGCGGTCGCAAGCGATCGAAGCGCGTTTGGATAAACTCACGTCGATGATCGAGAGGCTCAGCAAATCCAACCAGCCATTGGATCCAGCAGAACGGCAATTGCTCGCGCAGAATATGAATCATGAGCAGGCAAAGGGGGATCCTCGCTTGGGTAACGCTCCGACCTTGAAGCCGCCCAGTGAGTCTCGTTCGGATAGTCCGCGTCGCGCGGCGGAGTCGAGTGGCGATGAATTCCCCATTCCTGCTGGCCACGCGACGGACTTGGTGGACCCCGTGGGGAGTCTGAATCTTGGTCACTTGAGTTTGGAGGATGGAGGAAGGTCGAGGTATGTGTTTTGTGTTCGGGCGCAGATGAGTTTCGGTGTAACCGTGGCATAGATATGTTGGGACGACTTATTGGGCTTATATCTCAGATGAGGTATGTGGAGCTTGCCCAGGCACTTTTTTCAAGCTCACGCTAATGGTTATTAGATCAATGAGCTCAATCAATTGCTGCAGGATCAAAATCGTTCTCACAATGAACGACCATTCAATCAGAGCCCCGCCGACGATGCGGCGGCAGAACCCATGGCTGCTACGCCGAGCCGTCAGTGGAAGGCATCGAGTGATGGTGTCCATGAATCGGCCGAAGCGAAGCTTACCAGAGGACAAACGTTCCAGAAGTCTGTACTGTTTCCCTCGAGCGAATCACCTTCGGTCAATGACAAAGTGGTTGAGCCAGAGATGCTGGAGAATATGCCCACGAAACGTCAAAGCCATATACTATACAAAGGATTCATGTCTGGAATACATGCCATTACCCCCGTTATCCACCCACCGACTGTCCTCAAGGTGTACAATTCCTTCTGGGATTGGTATGATTCCAGCAGCTACTCGGGAGAGCCCTGTCCTGACCCGTCATTCATTCCGTTGCTATATGCCATCTGGTATGGCGGGTCCGTCACAATATCCATCCGGACAATCAAGGCCGAGTTCAACGTACCCTCCCGCTCGGGGTTGTCGAAAGCATACAGCGAGGAAGTAACCCGGTGGCTGTCCAAGATCTCTTTCCCTCGGAGTCCGTCTCTGCAAGGACTGGCTGCGTATCTTCTCGTCCAGACGATTCTCTCCAAGGAAGAAGAGCCTCTAACAAGCAGTCTCTTCGTCAGCCTGGCCATGAGAGTTGCACAGACCATGGGCCTGCATCGAGATCCTGCTAATTTCAGCATTGGACCCTGCGACGCAGAGACTCGTCGCCGGATATGGTGGCATATTGTGCACATGGATGGCGTTGTGGCGATGTCTAGCGGTCTGCCCCCGTTGGTCAGTGACGATAACTACTGGGATGTTCGTGAGACTAGTGAAGTGAAAGACACGCTGCTTGGTAGTCCTGCTGCTGAAAAGTATGAGAGGCTTGTAATGACGGGCATGAGGCCACCGGATAATCCCGATGACCCGACCATATGTGGAGGACCTTCTACGGTGAACGTATACTACCTCTCAGCCCGGGGCAAGTATACGATGGCTCGTGAGTTCTCCGTGGGAGTTGTCTTAACTCTGATATCTAATGGATCACTGCAGGTGCTGTCCGCCGGATCATGAAGATCCAACTTGGTACAAAGCCGGTCACGCGGAGGGATATGGAAGAGCTGAGGTCAATCCTAGTCGATTTGCAATATAAGCTAAATTCGATTATCAACCGAATCCCGGAGGCAAAGTCCGTCGATACATCTTCTGTGTCATCTACGAGATCGTGGTCTCTGTCCTCACCGGCAGAGGTTCACACAGAACTCCCGGCAGATGGGCCCAACGGCTGTTTAGAGCAGTACCATTCGCCTGTCCTTGTATCCTTCCACAAATGGGCACGAATTCTCATGTCTCTCTTCATCGATAAAGTTAGTATGCCTTGGAGTGTGCTTGAACTGCTGCTAATTCAGTTCGCCAGGCTTTCTGCGTCGCCTATCAACCTTTTCTAAAGAACGCCAAAAGTCGGATCTGGCCAGCTGCAAGACAGAGGTAAGATTACCATCATTGATCTCAAATCAAATCAAAATGCCTAACAGAACACAGCGCACTTCGTCACTGTCATGGTTTCATGGAAAAATTCGTCTCACTTGCGACCGACCCCGACTTCCAGCCATTCCATTGGAGTTGGCCCGGGAATCATCAACCGATGCATGCGACCATGATCATGCTCATCGACCTCTATGAACGGCCCTATAGCCCCGAGGCTCCAAAGTCACGAGCGTATATTGACAAAATCTTCTCAATGACCGGCCCTGATGGCGGCGTTGTTGGTGGCGAAGATGGCATCTCAACCCAACGACCGCTGAAAGACGGCGGCCGTGAAGCATGGGACATGATCCGCCGACTGCGTCAGAAAGCATGGCAGAAAGCCGGCCTTGATCCTCACAAGCTGTGGTCCGAACAGGCGCAGATCCAAGCCGGCGTCACCTCCATCCCCGAAGACCATGCCAACGACCCCTGCTACTCCAGCGGCACCCCAACCGCCGCTTCACCCTCGATATACCCTGCCCTCCCCTCCCGACGACAACTAACCGACTTCTCCAAGACATTCTACAACATGACCCGCTCTCATCTACTCCCCAACCCAACCACCAACCTCCGTCACAGCCCTCTCCGCTACCAACTCCCCCCTCCAGCCCCTCCCTCCATCCTCCCCACCCCTCAAATGATCCCTCCTTCCCAATTCTCCCAATCCCCAACACCCCCCAAACACCCCATGGACACCTCTCCCCTCGCCACCACCCCCATCTCCTCTCCCGAAAGCATACCCCCTCTCAACCCTACCATCTTCACCAATACCTTCCCCCAAGCCCAGCCTCCCCCAGCCACTAATACACTCCCAGCGCCTCTGCCCTCCTTCATGGACACCACATCCGCCGCCGCGCTCTCCCCAACCAGTCAACCCATCACGGGGGTCCCCACCCCGCCGTCAATGGTGGACCCGAACTTAAACTTCGACTGGGACCAGTGGGACGCCGTTTTCGGCCAACACCTGCCCGTGGCCGACGAGCTTATGGAACTTGACCCCGTCACGGGATTCGAGTTCGGGGACCTGGGCAGTGCCGCCAGAGTGGTGCCTGGGGCGAGAACGGGGAATACTAGTTTGGCGGGGAGTGAGGCTGGGATGAGTGAGGTGCATGGGTCTGATTGGGTGGGATATTGTTGATTTTGATACTTGTTTGACTGAGCTAGCTGGTGTTGGGATATATCCTTCTTTTGGTTTATGTATATATTAATTTTTATTCATTTTGTGGGTCTTGTTTTTGGGAGGGTTTTGAATGAGGGTGTGCATATCCTTCTTTGTATAGAGTGATATTCTCAAATCTAGGTTTGAAATTTACGGATTACGCATGACAGAGACCTTAGAGCTGCGATTCTGGCAGTACGGCTTGTCGTGAATTATGGATTCAGACGGATGACACCATCAAGTAATATGAAGAAAAAAACGTAGTTATGGACTTCATGAGGCGTGACTTAATCAAGAAGGACGCAGCAAGAAATGCGACGCAGGAGCGATATTATATCGAGGTATGGGGATTAGAAATAGCCAGAAGTTGCAACGGAGATAGGGACATCTCCATCTTCACGCCCTGACGTCCACAACCCGTGGGTGCTCGCATAAGAATGATCGCATATTCTGTGTGTATCTCTTCTTATCTTTTTGATTCATGACAACAATTCTCCACATTTCTGTAAGGAGAATTTAGACCTTCATCTCCTCGAGACCGTGCTTCCAGAGGGTGGCGTAGGGGGTGACACCGTCCTCGCGGAAGTCAATCAGGATGTGCCTAGGTAGAGGGTTAGATTGAATTGCGGAGAGTCAAAGGTATAGGTGACATACATGGCATCACCATCCATGGACTGGCCCATGAGGACATCGTAGTTGTCGTAGTTGGCAAGGATCTTCTTGACGGCACCGGGGGCACCCTTCTTGAACTCATCGATGGTCTCCTGGGGAGCACCCTTCTCGGTGAGCTTGGTGAGGACCTTCTTCATGTAGGCTATAGGTGGAAGCATTAGCATGGAAGAGCATTGGAGCTAGAAGTAAAGAACATACTCTTGAGGTGAGCCTTGAAGGCATCCTTGGAGGGCTTAAGACCCTCCTCGACCTTGAGCCAGTTCATACGGAACTGGTCCTCAATGTCGTGGACCATGACGGACTCGCCCTCACCACCGGCATCATCATCACCACCCTCGGCGGAGGGGTTGGCACCCTCAAGCTCGAAGTCCTCGTTGGCCTTCTTGAGGTACTTGCGGCAGTCGCACTCGTAGAGGACACCGTCGACGGTCTTGATGTTGTAGGTATCGGCGAGAACCTCGTCATCGGAGATGATATCCTATCAGGAGAGGAATGTTAGTCTGTGATGGGAAGTGAGGGGTTGACGAAGCAACCCCGAGACGCAAACGGCGAGAAAAATGACAGGTAAGAGGCGAGGAGACCCCCAGGCTGCAGGAACTATGCAACTGTGGATGGTCGCATCGAGTGGGGTAAGACGATGGGACAAAGACGGACCTTGTAGATGATCATTTTGGCGGGTGGTGAATGTAGATGAGAAAGGTGGTATAGAAGGGAAAAGACAGATGAGGAGAGAGACGGAGGAAGAGGAGAAGAAGGGGGAGAAGGAGGAGGGGAAAATTGAAGATTAATATTTAGTGGCGCTTTTCCCTTCCAGTTTCTCGTGGTGGGGTTTTTTTCACGGTCGATTTTCCGTCGCTCGAGGGGCACCGCCGCGCTAGCCCCCTTTGGGCCTGGTCGACTCGTCTGGCCCAAAGCCCAATCCTTTGCCTGGCGACCATGGCAAAATTCAGGCAGCGGGGGCAAAAAAGATAAGGAAAGAAAATAGTAAAAAAAAAAAAGAAGAGAAATAATAACAGGGCTAGAAGTCTAGCTTGCCAAGCAGCAAAGATACACCATTGAAATCAATTCTCAGGAGGTTGCAATGTTGCGGGTTGCTCCAGCTCGGCTGACAGGCAGGACTAGTAGTAGGTCGATCTTCCAATCTTCCAATCTTCCAACTTACTCCGGATATTTCTCTGCCTGAGGCATCACTGCTGTGGCTAAGCGGCTTCCGGTATCTTACGGGCACGTATTTCCCATACCAAACGGCTCGGGGGCTGCAGTGCTGGTTGCAGAGCTGCCGCAGTCATACGGTGCAGTGATACCGTATGACTGGAGAGCTTACCAGGGCGGTACTATCATGCAGCTATCGGTCGGCCTCAGCAGCCCGTGGCGCCACTTCTTCCTTTCCGCCCGTGACTTTTCTGCTCTTTCTCTTATCCTTCACCACGCTGCTGACACTCCTTGGGTTGCTTCTATTGTTATTGTCTTCCGCGTTGCATTTGCCTCTTCTACTCTCCCGGCAGATGGTCATTGAGGCTTTTGGCCATTCTCTTCTGCCTCCTAATTAATCTCTCACACTACCCCATCGGTTCCTCGGCACTTGGTGCCATTGCGTCCCCTGATTTTGGTGGGCCTACTCGGCTTGGATCCCCGATCAGATATCTCCCCATCACCTGGTCACATTTCTGCTGTCCCACGGGCCTTAAAACCTCTGTTATATTTCTAGGTTACGTCCGGAGCCACTTCATCATTATTACATCTAATTCTGGTTTCGACTCTGAATACTTCCCTCTCGAACCGCTCTCGTAACCTTCAATCTCCGCAGCCGATGCGGTAATTCTTTCTAATATCCTTCACTTCTTGACTTGCGCAGCACCTGTGATCGTCTACATCCTACATCATGGCCACCAACGCGTCGGTCATTTTTGACCTCCCACCCCTCCCGACCTATTCCTTGACTCCGCGTCCTCCGGTCCTTGCCCCCATACCAGACAACATTCTGGCTCTGATGCTGCCCATTGTTGCCTACTGGGCTTTATCGATGGTGTATCACTACATTGACGTCAACGACTATTTCCCTCAATACCGTCTTCACACGCCAGCTGAAGTGCTGAAACGAAACCGGGTCACGCGCTGGGAGGTGGTGAGAGATGTCATACTCCAACAAGTTATCCAAACGATCGCGGGCTATGCAGTGAGCTATTTCGACCCTCCCGACTATCTGGGCAAAGAAGAGTACGACATTGCTGTATGGGCTCGCCGTATCCGCCTCATGCAAAGGGGCCTGCCTCACCTGTTGGCTCTATTTGGAGTCGATGCTCTGGGATTGGGGAAGAACCTGTCGCACAATGGTTGGACAATGCTGGGAGGAGCCATTGCAGGCGGGCACTATCCTGCCTTTACCCAGTCTATCATTCTGGATAGTGGTGTAGAAGCGGTGGCTCCCGCTTTCACGAGGTGGGAACTTTCGACGGCCAGCTTCATGTATTGGTTTTTTATTCCGGCGCTTCAGTTCATTTGGGGCGTCTGTGTCGTCGATACCTGGCAATATTTTCTGCACCGCGCGATGCACCTGAATCGGTGGCTCTATGGTAAGTGGGCGGTGCTCTTCCTCGCTATTCTAACCAGCCATCCAAGCTTGTGGACGCCGACTAATAGTTTCCCAGTTACCTTCCACTCCCGTCATCATCGCCTATACGTTCCGTACGCGTTCGGTGCCCTCTACAACCATCCCGTCGAAGGATTTCTCCTTGATACCGCTGGCACCGGCGTTGCATTTTTGACGGCTCGCATGTCCATTCGTCAGAGCATGTGGTTCTTCACCTTCTCCACCATCAAGACGGTTGACGATCACTGCGGCTACGCTTTCCCCTGGGACCCACTGCAGCACGTTACTTCCAACAATGCTGCCTACCATGACATCCACCACCAAAGCTGGGGGATCAAGACCAACTTTTCACAACCTTTCTTCATCTTCTGGGACCGTTGGTTCGGTACTCAGTGGCAGGGTGAAGTGAAGCTCCGCTACGAACGTTCTCGTGAGACTGCTCAGAAGCAGCTGGACAACGATGCTAGTTCCGCCACCAATTCTGGCGTTGACACTCCCGTGTCTGGGAGTGTCACTCCTGTAAGTGCTGTCCAGGAAGCACCGTCCGAGTCAGTCTCTCGCACCCGGCGCAGAAAGACTGTTACTCTGTCCCCCCATGTCGACGGCTTCAAAGGCGTGAACCACTCCGTCGCTAGCAGTGTCCTATAGCGGATGCTTCTTTCTTCGTCCATAATTGCCTATAATAATTCTCACCTTTTGCCTTCGCCGCTCAACGGGGGTCTTTGGAGTTGCAGGACGTCTCCTACTTCCGAATCCGCTGTCTGTTTATTGCTTAATTTTACGCTGTATTAATAGTCAGGTTGATGAGAACCTGTTACGGACCTGTACATTGTTTTCTTCCTACTGTTCGGTTTATCTGTTAATCAGAGCATTCCGCATGACCATGAAGATTGGAAATTGATGAGCACTTTCTTCTGTCTATTCCGCTCAACTTGTCTTCACCGATATGTACAAATTTTACTGATTCTACGGCTTACATCAAACTGAGTAATCTGCAGGCAAGGACGTATGTTCGACACAATGAAATGGCATTCTCATACGAAAGATAAGGAAATCTGCCAGCAGATCCCTTGTTAACTCTGTGTCCACCAAATCAGGTCGAAGCCTTTCTTCACGCTGGGTATTTCAACATCGGTTTCTTTCGTGTCGCAAAAACGATCACAGGCCCAGAAACGCAGCCCAGGAGCGCCGGCTAGACTGCGCGTTATCTTTTTCGCTACCGTGGTCTCCATCTTGGTGGTTGTCGTCTTCATCGCTATATTCGCTGGTATCTTCGTCGCTACCTTCATCGCTACCTTCGTGGTCTCTATCGTCGTTGCCATCTTCGTGGTCTTCAGCTTGGTGGTCGCCATCTTCATCACCATCCTTGCTGCTATCTTCGTCGCTACCTTCATCACCATCTCCGTGGTCTTCAGCTTGGTAGTAGCCGTCTTCATCACTATCTTCGCCGCCACTTTCGTGGTCTCTGTTTTTGTGGTCACCGTCTTCGTGGTCACCGTCTTCGTGGTCACCGTCTTCGTGGTCACCGTCTTCGTGGTCACCGTCTTCGTGGTCACCGTCTTCGTGGTCACCGTCTTCGTGGTCACCGTCTTCGTGGTCACCGTCTTCGTGGTCACCGTCTTCGTGGTCACCGTCTTCGTGGTCACCGTCTTCGTGGTCACCGTCTTCGTGGTCACCGTCTTCGTGGTCACCGTCTTCGTGGTCACCGTCCTCATTGCTGTCTTCGTCACCGTCCTCGTCGCTATCTCCCTGGTAGCCATCGTGGTGGTGGCCATTTTCGCAGTCACCGTCCTTGTCGCTTTCCTGGTCTTCATCTCTTTCCACTGGTCCATCGCTTACACCACTCTCGCTTAGAAGCAATAGATCTGACACGCTATTCATCAGTGGCTGGTATTCTTCTGCTGGCGCGGTCAGAATCATTTCTTGCCACATGGAATCATCTTGAAGGGTAGGATCTTGCGACTCAAAATCCCAGTGTTCACCAGAATCGCTCGATGTCAACGACAGCAACCGTCCTTCGCCACAGTTGACCGCCAATGGACGGGTGAGTGGTATACTCTCGACCGAACTCACTGGATCGGCTTCATCCGGGGTATAGCAGTACTTTGCGATAATACTGTCAGCAATGGTGTCATAGCTCTTGGGGCGCTCTCCCTTCGGGCATCCCAGGTCTTCCAGGAGCTCTTTTTGCTCACCCACGGTTTGATGGGGGGTGCTTGCGTTCCAGTAAATGACAATAGAACGGGGGATCTGCCTGCCAGTGCTCTCTCTTCTTGGCAGTTTCCGTCTTTGCGCTTTGGCGAAATTGTACGCTGCTTTTCTAGCGGTTTTGGCACTTAACGCCATGGCAGTGCTGCAACAATACAGCTCGGAAGCGGTTGCGTAATGTTCAATCCCCGCCTCAATTAGCGCAAGAAGCCTCGGGGGCCGATGGCTTCGTCTCGTTTGCCCGCGACTCAACATCGCGGCACGGAGATTTTGCAGGCTGAGTGGCGCAGTCACGATCCTTGCGATCATGCAAGCTTCGCATTTGTTCTGCTGGAATTTGTCTAGTTCTTTGGGATGTTCTGCCTTGGAATGGGGGGTTCCCCACATGCCGTTGATAGCGTTGAGAGCGCGCGTCAATGCCTTGATATCCTCTGTGAGATACTCTACGTACCATTTCAGGATGGCCAGGCGACGTGTGACTTCGCGCTTGAGGAGGTAGAAAGCATCGTTGATGATGCAAGGGTTCAAGTCTTCATGGGCATCGCAGAGGACAGCGGGAAATAGCTTGGATTGAGGGACCCACTGCATGATCATGCTTCGGCGTAGCTTCCAGGGGAGATTTCGGATGGTAGTTCTGACCGAGCCCGTGGATACTGCATCGCAGCCTTCGCCAAGGTCATGCGTTACGGGGGCGTTAACCTTCTCAGTCTTACTGTCGTCAGCCTTGTTGTCGTCAGTTTCATCATCCATGTCTCCCATGACTAGGACGCTGATGATCGAGTCCAGTTCATCCTTGGTGAGTTCTGTTATAGATAAAGGATACTTCTGTATCTTCGGCATTCTCGGCAGTTTTGGCATGGCGTTCTAGATATGGCTTCTTGGTGATCAAGAAGACGGCATGGGATCTGAAATGAGATAAGTCTAGGCTGCTTACATTTGAGGCCATTTTATAAGCCCCTCGGTGCGATGCCACCGAGGAAATCGGGCTGCAAAGAGGCACAAAGCGACATGACCCAGAGTTTTAACCAATAAAGACAGGGACTCATGGATATGCCGGGGATGCGCGAAGGTTTCTATGTAATCATATTCATATTGCGCCTTTGTTTTTGATAAGAGCAGTTGATGTCGGTCTGAACGGGGGGGCTTCACGTCCAGGGCTATGAGTATAGCACAAATAAGGTTTAGGCATGGGGTCTTTCTGACAATCTGCTGAAGATGACGGATCTAGGGACGTGCCATGATGCTTGATTCGTTGTGTTGTGGAACATTCCGCTTAGTGAGGCTACTGAACTATAATGATAGGATTTAAGCTGTTCTTCATGGAAAACTTGCTGGTACGTCTAGCGCATGAGATGGCACAGTCCAAGTATAGTGGTTATTCGGGTTGCTGCTGCTGCGCGTAAAATGGCATTCATCGTAATTGGAGTAGTCATCATATCGGTATCCGATGTGCTAAGCCATTGCCTATCAGCGGTGGTTATCGCGGATGTCACGTTTGATAGCGGGCATTAGCCTGGCCTTAGTGGCTGGGGCACGGGCTTAGTGTTGCCCGACAGCCAGTCAGAGGCCGTTGAAAGAATCCCAAGGAGGGGTTTGCCGATGCGCTCCCGTGCTTGTTCCTCGTGGATAGACAGTCATGGAGAGTACCAAGAACAACTCGTTGAAGGTTGCTCTGTTGTGTCGTCCACCAGGGGGATTGGCAGTACTCTACTCTGTACGGAATACAGCACAAGCAGGATAGCTGCCTCAGGCAGGACATGACTAAGCCGACGTTATCAAGATGCAGCAAATCGAGGCGATCCAAGGTTCGTTCCGGGGCAGAATTCGTCCGATCCATGAGATGGTCCACCGCTGTCGGCAAGGTCCGTCAAATTATTCCCTGGCGTTGAACCACCGCTTCCTCCGGCCTCTAATCCGGCCTTCCTCAGCTCCGACCGCAGTCAGCATAGCACTATCGGAGCTTTAGATCATGGGCAGTGTGCCGTTGGCCCGTGACTCACACTGATAAAGAGGCCTGGCCCCCCAATGCTGTCTGACAAGGTCCAGAGAGCTCTTGTCTGGTTATGACGCACGCTTGAACAGCCCATGAGTGAGCTTTGTTGCCCTTTGTGCTCCTTGCTTCCACCTCACAATGGAGCCCCTCGTGGCCATAGTGCCTGCAGCCATGGTGTCTTTAACGACCCAGGGCGGGGCTGGGGAGATAGGTCATATTCCTGACCCTGGTCTGGTGCAGAGGTAGGTTGATTCCTTGTAACGCGGTGGGCATGGCTTAATTAGCTTCTAGAGAGATATGGCAATACCGGACCCGGAAAGCCTCGGCTTTTGTTGGTGCTGGCAACTTGCACCTGGCGGCGTTGTTGTCGTCGTGGGTTGTGATCTTGCTGTCAATCAGTGTGCATTATGTTCGACACCACCGGACTAAATCGCGTGCTCCGAAGAGCTCCCCACATGGCCAGTCCGAAATCGTAATCTCCCTGCCGTTCGCGTTCGCGCATCTGGCTGCCGCGACAGCGGCCTGCTGTCTGGCCTGGATTGATATACACCTGGGAGGGAGTTGGAAACGGTCTCTTTTTCTGACCTATGTGGTTCTACTGGGTATTGTACGGCTCTGCTGCAAGAGCTATGGCTGCCGGCGTCATATGTATTGGCATATGAATGCAATGGCAGTGGGAGCGTTAGTTCTGGCAGTGGTGCAGGATATAGCACCAATGACTGTTATTGGGGCGACGTATCGACCAAGCTCTGTCGGAGCTGCTATTGTAGCCTGTTTGGCTGCAGTGGTGGCCGTCGCACTGGCTACGCCACGTCCGCGACGTGCGTTGGTGCATGACACGGAGACGGACGAGTTGGTGGAAGCGAAAGTCTCGCCTGAAGAGACGTGCTCCCTCTTCTCGTACTACTGCTCGTATGAGTGGATCACCTATGTGATCCTGCGGGGCTGTCAGAGGGATCTGACGCTGGATGATTTGCCTCCGCTACCTACATACGATGAGCCGTTGAAATGGCTGGAAAAGATCAAGAGGCAGCGTCTGAAAGGCGGAAAGACCTTCCGAACTCTGTGCCGGATGCTGAAGACTGAGATCAAGACGATGATGTTTTGGGCAGCATTTACGGCAGTGGTGGACTTTCTCGCCCCATACTCCATGCTGCGGCTGTTGGCCTATCTGGAGAATCCCCGGAGTGCGGTGTTGCACCCTGCGCTGTGGATTGCTCTCCTGTTTGTCGGACCAGCAACACGCTCCCTGTGTTACCAGCAGTACATCTTTACGGCTACCCGGCTGCTTGTTCGTGTTAATGTATCTCTAGTCCAGGAGCTGTATCAGACCGCTATGCGGTCGTACATCTACGACGAGTCGGTCGGTCAGTCTGATGAAGGAAAACAGGCCAAGTCGCGAAACCGGGCAGAGTCCAAGGGTGCTTCGAAATCAAGCCAGGCCAACCTGACCAGCTTAATGTCGTACGATGTCGACGCGATCTACAACTCTCGTGATATCTTCTACATTGCTACCGCGGGGCCAATCTCCACCACGCTTGCCCTGGTGTTTCTGTACCAGATGCTCGGATGGCCCTCGCTGTTTGGTGTCTTGATGCTGCTTTGTTTGTCGCCTCTTCCTGCGATGGCCTCACGGAAAGTGTCCCGCATCCAACGGTCCGTTATGCAAGCTACGGATGCCCGTCTATCGAAGATCTCCGAGTACTTGCAGTCGATCCGCACGTTGAAGTACTTTGGATGGGAGCATGCCGCGATGAGCTCCATCAACGATGTCCGTCGGGTTGAGCAGCGCCGCCTGTGGAGACGCAGCGTGTTTGTTGCGCTTATTTCCATGGCGGGAGAACTGCTGCCGCTGCTCAGCCTGCTGGTGATGTTCTCTGTGTACATCTTGTTTACGGATCTTCCGTTGCGGGCCCCGGTTGCCTTTACGTCTTTGTCCATCATGGAGACGCTGCGAGTTCAATTTATCTGGCTGTCCAATATCAGCCGGTACGCTGCACAAGGGTCCGAGTCGCTCCGCCGCGTCGACCGCTTCTTCGATACTGCCAGTGAGATCCAGCGGCATCCGGAAGGGCCATTGGAATTCAAGGATGCAACCTTTAGGCGGACCCCAATTGCTGCCTTTAGGTTGCAGAATCTATCCCTACGGTTTAAGCCGAACGCTCTCAACGTGGTTACAGGCCCCACTGGCTGCGGAAAGACATCGCTACTCCTGTCGTTCTTGGGCGAGACTGTCCTGGAATCCGGAACTGCTACTTGCCCGCGGGATGTCGCGTATGTGCCACAAGCGCCGTGGCTACAGAACGACACGATCCGCCAGAATATCATCTTCTATAGTCTGTTCGATGAAGCCCGGTATGCCATGGTCATCGAAGCCAGTGGTTTGGCGCAGGACCTGCGACAGCTCCCGGCTGGCGATTCGACCATGGTGGGAGAACGAGGAACCTCGCTTTCTGGCGGCCAGAAACAGCGGGTGTCTTTGGCCAGGGCTCTCTATTCACCGTCGAGCACGCTTCTCCTCGACGACATCTTCTCCGCCCTCGACACTCACACCACCAGTCTTGTCTATGAAAAGTGCTTCCGCAGTGGCTTGCTCAAAGACCGGACTGTTGTGCTGATCACCCACTATCCGGCTGCCATGCAGGATGCCGAGTTGGTAATCCGCTTGGAGCATGGCAAGATTGTCCCGGTTCGGGCTTTCAAGACACAGTCTCTATCGCAGTCCCCATCCACCACGCCAGGCACCGATACCGACTCTTCGGTGGCCGTGCCCGTGACCGAAACCCTGGATGCCCCGTCCGAGGGCCCTACAGCTGAGCCACCCGCTGTTGAGACCCGCATCGCTAAGGAAACATCTGCCACTGGGCGAGTGCCTCGCACATTAGGTAAGTCCGTAGACTGGATCTATATTATGCATGCTAACTAGTCCAGCGCTACGCTACATGCTGCTATTCGGCGGCCCCTCGTACGTTCCACTCGTTGTTGTCGCCACCATCTCGGTACAATTTGCCTACTTTGCCATTACATATTGGCTATCCATTTGGACAGGGGCGTACGAAAAGTACGAGCATCCAGACACGCTGTTCTACCTGGGTGTCTACGCCGCGTGCATCCTCACGTTTCTCTCGTTGCAGCTGTGCAACAATCTAATTTACCAATACGGCAGCTGGGTAGCAGCCAAGAAGACACACCACCGACTGGTGACAGCCGTACTGTCGGCCCCAATTGCATGGTTCGACCAGAATCCAATCGGACGCGCCATCAACCGGTTCGGAAATGATACTCGTTCCCTGGACACCGTTCTAGTCGAGTGGCTCCGCATGTCGATCGAGAACATGCTCCGGTTCCTACTACGGATTGCCAGCGTCGCATCCATCATGCCAATCTTTGCTCTCCCAGCGGCGGTTATTTGCTCGGCCGGTTTTCTCATCGGAGAGATGTACACGCGCGCACAGGTATCAATCAAGCGACTGACTTCGGTCAATTACTCCCCGGTGTTTTCCCATTTCACCGACTCACTGTCAGGGCTGAGCGTGATCCGAGCGAGACACGGTATGGACCAGGTATTCCAGAACCTGCTAGCGGATAAATTGGCAGTACATGCCCGCTCATCCGAGGCGCAATATAACTGCAACCGCTGGGTGTCCGTCCGCACGGATTTTTGTGCTGCCTCAGTGGCAGCCGCGGCCGGCTGCGTAGCGTACTTCTGGTCGGGGTCTGCCGGCCTAGTGGGTTTCTCACTCACGAACGCGATCGGCCTCAGCCAGACCATTCTGACGCTGGTTCGGACGATGAACGAGCTCGAGGTAGAGCTGAACTCGTTCCAGCGAATGATGGAGTACGCGGACATCGAACCGGAAGAGAAGCTAAGCGTGGAGGATCAACGCAAGGTAGAAGCACTACCCGCCAGCTGGCCGACATCCGGCCGAGTCGAGTTCACAGACGTCACCGCTCGATACCAAGCCGACGGGCCCGACGTGCTGCGCAAGGTATCCTTCGTAGCCTACCCAGGCGAACGCGTTGGTATTGTCGGCCGGACCGGAAGCGGCAAATCCACCCTCGGGCTATCACTTCTTCGATTCGTCGATATCGTAGGCGGCCAGGTGACCATCGACGGGGTAAACATCGACCAGATCCGACTGAACCGGCTACGCACGAGCGTGACGCTGATCCCGCAGGAACCGGTTCTCTTCTCAGGCGACGTGCAGTCCAATCTCGACCCGTTCGGCGAGTCAGACGAGACCGAGCTCCGCACGGCCCTGTCAGCGTGCACGACGATCAATGTACCCGGTGAGCCAGGCAAGGGGCTGCAGCCGCTATCACTGGACACGGCTGTAGCGGCCAATGGGGAGAACTTTAGCCAGGGACAGCGCCAGGTGCTGAGTCTGGCGCGGGCGATGTGCCGACGGTCAAAGGTGGTGTTGCTGGACGAGGCGACGGCGTCAGTGGACCATGAGACGGACATGCACATGCAGCGAGTACTGCGAGAGATGTTTTCCGACTGCACGATTATAGCGATTGCGCATCGATTGCGGACGATAATGGATTATGATCGGGTGATTGTGATGGGGGATGGGCAGATAATAGAGTATGTCCCCCTTCCCTCCCTTTTTCTGCCGTTGCTAGTGCTAACTAATTAGAAACGATTCACCTGCCAACTTGGTCTCCCAGAGGGGTGTGTTCTGGGAGATGTTGCGAAATACAGGAGAATATGAGGAATTGATAGAAATGATGGGCCAGGAAGTCGAGAGGTAGATAGATCATCTATCTGACTGAGTAGATAAAAAGATTATAGAGGATAGATACAGTAGGGTTATATAAAATAGCATTGATACACACATACAATCCATTACAATCCATTCCCTAAATCAAACTGTAGTAAATACGTACCTGGAAACCTACTCTAGGAACAATACCCCCTGGATTAGGATAAACCCACTAGAATAACTTATGCATTATAAAACAAAGATAAGACCCAATTTTCAATCAAGACGATATGGCCGAGCGGTCTAAGGCGATAGACTAGAAATCTATTCTCTTCGGAGGCGTCGGTTCAAATCCGACTGTCGTCGTTTTTTTCCCCCCACACCCCCCTTTCCTTTTTATTTTATTTATCTGTTTTTTTTGTTTGGATAGAAAACAAAGTTAATAATAGTGCATGATTAAATGAATTGGGGGTATTAGCGGGGAATAGTTCCTATTTACTAATCCTACGATAAGTGTTGTTGTTGATGCGGCTTCACAGGATAGATAGGGATAGATAGATAGATAGTACCTTACCACATTGATTCTGGTGTCTAGTACCTATATGGTTTGGTATAGTATATAGCTTGTTGGTATTTGAAGGTAGTTGGCTGTTACTACTGTGTGGAATAATAGCTTCCTTGGGACTAAGGTGTTATACTATTATATCAATGGGTTGTTACAGTTCACTTTTATATATTCGTATGCATGGAGGAAGTTGTATATTCGTTCATATGAATATATATTCCCTAACTGAACCACACAGTTATACACTGTGCTATGAGCTACTAGTTGCTATTGGAACGAGCCAACGAAAAGCCTTAAGTACTAATAGTAAGATTTACACCGAGAAGTATAACCTTAGAGTTACACTTTAATCAGTAAATCAACCTTCCCTTCCCAGGAAAGAGATGGGATGTTTATCCCACCAGCGGTATCCCTAAAAGCGCCCTCCATCGCGTTTCCCCCAAATAGGCCTATCAGCGCCTAGTGATCTTGAGTATCTAGATTGACGGACCAGATCAAGAGACCCTCGAGACAGCGCGATGTGAGGTATTCCTTCTTGGCCACTCAGTATCAAATAATATCCACTGAACATTGGACCCGTGCACCATCCATTACACGGAGGATACCTACCTCATCGTAGAATGTTTTTGATCCTAGCTGGCCTTCCTTACTGACTACCTGAGCTAAGTCAAGGCCCTCCTTGTTTCCGTCAAATGGATGTGGTATGGACCGGTCCATATATTCTTCTGGTCCCAAGTCCCATGAATGTCATAAGTCGTGATGTTGAATTAATCGACGTACTCATCGAGACTTATTATAATGAAGCAGTGCGGATATCAGTTGCTGGCAGGGTGAGCTGCCATCTAAGATTCTCTCTGTTGAAGGCTTCGTGGATTTTCGCACAAAGTAGGACTATGTTGTGTTGTTGATTTTTCACATTCACAGAGTGATGGTGTATATTGAAGGCATGGGTTCTTCTGTGTGTCACTTGTAGCTGGAAGTGTTGGTGGATAGATACTGCATGAGCCAACTTCAGCAGGTCCGGCACGGGTATAGGTTTGATAATTTCGGCGGCTATACTGATATTGGCATACTGTAGTTCATGGCAACATCTGTGCTCTTATCTGATGGGGGTTGTACAGTGCAATCCTAGCAGTACATACATGATGCCTGTAAGCGAAGAGACATTGGGCCGTACAACAGCACAGCCAACAAAGAAACAGTGAGGGTTTAGCTCTCAATCATCGCCCCCCAAGTCCCGTCATATCCCACCAATTCCGCCAAGCTGGCAGTACTGAGATGTGCCCCAGTCAAGCCCTCCAAATTGGCCACCCAAGGGTCCAAGCGATTCTCCCAAATAACCTCCGCATGTTCATCCAACCAAAGAATCTTGATCGTTCCTGATTCGATAGCTTCCCGATCCACCAAATAAACCCCAACCTGAATTCTCAGCCCTGCGTGTGCAAGGTTCCACCAATCTGCATCAATCTCAGCCTGCTCGACCATCCACGCATCATTCTGCACATTCTTGTACTGCAAATCGCCCCCCTCACCATCCATATCAACCACACCTCCGAAATCGGTAATTCCGGGCATACAGAAGATTACCCTGCGCCAATCATCCTCAAAGTTGTATCGAGTAGGATCGTCCAGGATTTTATTCCCGGAGATACCCCATCCTGGGACACCTGATTGTCGTTTTATCTGTGCGTATGTATTCTCGAGATGCGGGTCATAGCAGGTTCGGAGCCAGATAGTCTGCCAACCATCGCAGGTGACCAGACTACAGTTGCGCTCGTGGATGGTCTGGTGGGTGGCCAGTACGGACCGGATCGCTTCGCTGATGTTCGGGGGAGAGTACTCGGCCAGGTTCTGATAGGGCTGAATGAGAGGATGGATGAGTTGGGGATAGATCTTTGTAGGTTTGTCGTAGCGGAGGGGAGGAATGGATGAATGAAAGGCTGGAGGAACATACCCAGCGTTGAATTAGCGTTAGCTGTTGCCATTCCTCGACGAGAGATTCCCATTGTTGCTGATTGTCTACTGCGGCATTTGGGTCCCATTGTTCCTGGGGAGGTTAAGAAGCGAACAGGACTGGGTTAATGCAGTTTTGATGTAGGAGAACCAACGGAGAGGAAGATGTCAAATGGAAGATGGCCGTAGTTGGCGTCGGGTTGAAGCGTCTCTGACATTTGGGTAATTTGGAGGAAGGGAGAGTGAAGTGGGAAGAGTGAAGTGGGAGACTGAAGAGGGAGAGGAGAGTAAAGTGGGAGAGAGATGGAAGAAGGCCATCGTAGTCAGGTGCCACAAAGCCGCCTTTCCTGAACCTCTCCTCTCGACTTCCAGACCTCAACGTTTGTTTATCTTTCTTGATCTTCCAAGACAACTATGAAATAAACAACATCAAGAACTCTCCTCGGGCCACTTAACCACGACACTCTCCTCCCCCTCCAACACCACCTTCACCACCACCTTCCTCTCCAAATTCAACCCGATTTCATAACTCCCCGGATACACCACCCAGTCACCATTAACATCCACCCTGGCCAACCCCCCAATGGGCACTTCAATCCTCAACTCCCTGCTTTCCCCAGCCTCTATTTTTGCCAATCTCTCCCACCCCACCACCCATTTATTCGGATACGGCGCCGGGCCCGCATCACTCGTATTGGCAAATACCATGGCCGTGTAATCACTCTCCACGGTCCCCGTGTTGGTGATTTGGGCGGTGAAATTAAACAGTCCGTTCTGGGTGATAGTTTCCACGGCTTCGCCGGGATGGGGCTGCGAGAGGATATCTTGGATGTTGAATACTAGTGCTCTAGTGTTGTTGGTGGGTTGTTCGTCGAAAGTGGTATAGAACAATCCGTGACCAAACTCATACACACTCTCCCCGGTGTACCATTTATACGTCTGTCCGGGATTCCCGCTCTTGTTGTCTGGACGGAGACTCATGTCTAGTGCGGAAAAGGATTCTGCGTATGAAGCTGGGTATTGCGTCGTGACGAGTCTGCCGGCTGGGGCACGTACTCCGGTGAGGATATCGCGGAGGGCCGCGCCGCCGGATTGGCCTGGGTAACCACCCCAGATCAAGGCGGAGACGTTGGGGTTGGATTTGAGAGACGAGGAATCGACTTGTCCGCCGCCCATTTGGAGCACGATGAGGGGTTTGTTGGTGCTGCCGGCGTAGGTGGCTAGTTCGTGAATGAGGGAGAGTTGGTTGCCTGGCCAGGCGATGGATTCGCGGTCTAGGGCTTCGGCTTCGATGGTGTTGTCGATGCCTCCGGCGTAGATGATTACGTCCGAGGACTGGGCTGCGGACAGGGCGGCGGAGAAACCGGTGGTGTTGATGGAGGAGATGCCAGTGCCCGGGGCAAAGTGCACGGTGTAGCCGGAGGATTCGAATGCAGCGAGGGGGCTGATCAGGTAGGGAGGTGTGCCGTAGTAGTTGCCTTGGAGTTGGGTGGTGGCGTTGGCCCAGGGACCGATGAGGGCAATGCTGGTGTTGGCTGGGGAGGAGGTCAGGGGCAGAGTGGTTTGAGTATTCTTCAACAGCACAATGCCCTGCACAGCCGCCTCGTACGAGACGTTCCATGCGTCGGTGGAGACGACATCTGACCAGGAGAGATTGCGGTACGGGGATGGGGTGGAGTCAAAGTACCCCAGACGAACAAGAGTCGTGTACAACCGGATCAGACCACGTTCGATATCCGTGCGAGCGACTTCGCCAGCAATCACAGACTCGTTAAAGTGCCATTGGTAGGTGGTGCCGCAGTCAATGTCGGTGCCTGCGCGGAGGGCATCCGCGGCGGCTTGGGCTTCCGACGAGGCATATGCATGGGGGTTGTAGATATTGTAGACGGCATCGCAGTCACTGGACACATAGCCATCAGGCAAAAAGGAAAAGGTGTCGCGGAGGAGAGTCTGCAGGAGATACGGACTGGCGCAGGTGGGAATGCCATTGACGGCGTTGTAAGAGCACATGACGCTGTGGACATGGGCATCCCGGGCAGCAACGTGGAACTGGGGAGTATAGTATTCCGACAGATCCTGAGGCGAGATAATAACATCGTTGCCCAGCCGTGAATGATTGTGCCAGTTCTCCAGATCATAGCCCGCAAAGTGTTTGGCGGTGGCGGCCAGCTTGAGATGGGAACCATCGCCCTGGATGCCTGTGATGTACTCGTAGGCATATGCAGCCGCCAGAGTCACATCCTCTCCCGGAGTCTCCTGACCACGTCCCCAAACTGGATGACGGAAGGCATTGATGTTCGGGGCGTAGACATCTAGCCCGTAGCGGCCGGCGTTGTTGAAAGCACGTCCCTGCGTCGAGATGATGGAGGCGATCTGGTGGATGAGGGTGCGATTGAGGGCGGCGGTGGTCAGGATGGGCTGGGGGAATGAAGTCGCCCACTCGTAGGCCCCTGCATCGGTGAAGTTGGCTCGGTCGAGGCCATGCAGGGCTTCGCTCCATACCTGGTACGGAGGCAGGCCGAGTCGAGACACCCCCAGGCCCGAGTTGCCCGTGTTGGCAATGAGCTCCTCGAGGGTGAACAGCGAGATGAGGTTGGCTGCCCGTTCATAAGGCGTGGCCGACGTGTCGCACACGAGCTGCGAGCTCAGAGGACCTTGGCTGCAGTCCGGAAAGGACAGAGGCAGAGTGGCCACGCAGAGGGGCCACAGGTCCGGATTGGCCTCAATGGAGTAATTGACATAGCTGGTGTTGGCCTGGCCCAGAGCAGTGGGCAGCAGCGCTGCAAAGGCCAACAGAGCGGCCATTTTGAGTCAATGCACTGATTGAATGCTGTATGGCAGAAGACGAAGGGCCTCTGATGATTTAAGGGCAGATCGCGGAGGATCTCCGCGCGGGGTTTTAGCCTGAATGAATCTGGGGTTTAGCCGTGCTGATGACATGAAGAAGAAGATCCTTGTTATTATCACTGGGACTCGTATTATTATTAGGCCGAATAACCATCATCAGGGCGGCTAAATAGATGATGTCCTCCGTATGTAGGGTGACATCAGCCTCGGGCCCTAACTCAACCCCGAAATGCAGCAATTAGCAATTAGCAATTAGGTCCCAATATCCCTCACTCCACAAACCCTAAGCTCTCTCTCTCTCTCACTGCATCACTGCATCCATCACTGTAGCACATTCACCGTCTCAGGCCCCAACAACTCGCCCAATCTGCCCACCACATCGTCCACCTCCTCCATATTCAACACCACAGCTTCAATCTCGCGCTGTCTCTCCTCACCAATAACCCCCCTCGTCACAGCCCTCCACTTCTCCACCACCTCCTCATTCGACAACTCCGGATTCACCCCCCTGGGCGCCTTGAGCATCGTCTCCACCACCTCTCCATCCTCAAACGTAATCCTCACGCGCTGCGCCCACGAATAATCAAACTCATCCACCTCGCGACACTCCACCTTGCCAATCACCTCCCACAACTCCTCCCGATTCAACTTCCCCGGCGCAAACTGCCCAGGAACAATCTCCCCATCGACCACCTGCAATGCCACCGCATACGGCACACACATCTGTGCCGCCGTGACCGTCGCCGGCTTCTGCGGCGCCCATCCGCCCTTCTTCATCGCCGCGCGGGCCATTTCCGCCTCGATCCTCACCATAGTATCCCACTTCGCCATTCTCTCCGGATACAACCGCTGCAACTCGCGAATGCAATCCACCGTGCAGTGCGTCCCCGCCATCAACGCATACGGCTTCTGTCGAATCTTCTCCATCTGCCACGTCTCCCCGAGATTCTTACACACCTCCTCGGGGAAATACCTCGGTTCTTTCTCCGCCCCCAACGTAAACATCTGCAGGAATCCACCGTACGAACGATCAAAGATCTCCTTGATTCCCATGAAGCCCTGTCGAGCGAGATAGGAAGCAAGCACGCCGCTCCGCGCCGCAAATCCATGCTGCATGCGTTTCACCATGCTCTCGAACTGAGCGGACATGAGCCCGCAAGCCTGAGTGCAGGCCATGCCGAGGGCATCTTCGATTTGGTCCGCCGGTAGTCCGAGGAGTTTGGACACGGCGGCGGCGGAGGCCGCGGGGCCGAAGATAGCGCCCGAGTGCCAGCCGATGGTGAGCATGTGGGATCCCCCCAGGGCGTAGCCTACGCGAGGCCCGACTTCGTAGCCGGCTACCATGGCGGTTAGGAAGTCCGGGCCGGTGATGCGCTGGGTCGGGTGCTCTTGTTGGGCGGCGGCGAGGACGGCAGGCAGGATCACGGAGCTGGCGTGGATGGGGGCTTCGATGTGCACGTCGTCCAGGTCGAAGCCTTGGAGGAAGGTGCTGTTGAGGAGGGCGGCGGCGTTGGGGGGGAGGGTCTGTAGAATAGGTGTGAGTTTGGGGTTGAGGTGAGTTGGTAGGGTGGGCATACCTCGTTCCATCCGATTACAGTGCATTTGCCGGTGCCTTCGATGGCCGTGATGGTGTCGTGGGCCTTGACGGACCATGGCAGGCGGGAGCCCAGCAGGGCACAGCCCAAACCATCCAGCATGAGGTATTTGGCCCGCGTGCGGATCTCCTCGGGAATAGTGGCCGGCGAGAGGTCCTCCAGCCAGGTGGCTAGAGTACGAGTGGCCGAGGTGGCCGAGGTGGCAGGGGCAGTGTGTGCTGTCATGGTGTGATGGAATGTGACGGGATGTGATGAGATAGGATGGGATGGGATGGATGAGCTGGGGAAGAGGTGCTGAAGGGGAACAGGCAGCTCTTATAGACGGATCGGCTCGGTGCTGTAGACGGACTCGGAGTCTCAAAGAAAACCGAATCAACAGTTGACTGATGTCTATCCCTGAATGCATCAACAAGCTAACTTCTAGAAGCGAGAGCTATCTACGGACTACAGGATTTATCAGACTTCTGCATGCGCCCCGCCGATCCTCCGCCCCGCCATCAGCAGCCCGCTTGATAGCAGCTCTTATTATTGACGTCGATCCCGGTCGGCGGTTCTTAAGCCCGAACAGAGAGATGAAAGAAAGCACGCGCATATTATTAATCCCGAGCATCAAGACTCCCGAGACGATACCTAATGAAGCCCTAACAAAACAATTTACTCCGAACAAATGATCAACCCAGACTGCCTGTACAATTCAATCCCATCAATCAACCCATCCCAACCTCAGTTGGGCACGTACACCTGCAGTGGCCGCCACAAATCCGGTGCCCGTTCTAGTAGAGTAGTTAGTATCATCAATCACCATCTCAGGACAAAGCTATCTTACCAGTCTGCTCCTTCCAGTGCGCCATCACACCCGACACCCGCGAGCACGCCGCCAGAACCGTCGCAAATTGCGAGTTGATGCCCCTGTCATCGTCAGTAAGAAACTTCATCACACCATCGTCGGAGTCACTTACAGCGCCGTGTACACAAAACTTCCGTACAAGTCCGCGTTCGCCTGCAGATTGCGCTTGACAAAGTACTCATGCGTGCTAGCAATCCGGTCGATCTCCATCGCCACCTGCAGCACCGGGTCCATCTCGCGAATGTCCCGGTCCCGCGTCAGCTCCTCCAGCATTTCGCGCACGTACTTGGCCCGCGGGTCCAGCTGCTTGTAGATCCGGTGGCCGTAGCCCGACAGCCGGCACTCCTTGTTCACCACCTTCTCGATCAGCTTCGGCACATTCTCAACCCCGCCAATATCCCGCATCCCCCGGTACGCCGCGTCGATCGCACCCCCATGCAGCAGTCCGTAGGCCGCCATCGCACACGATGTCATCGACGACAGCGGGTCCGCCAGCGTCGACGACGTGTGCAGGAATGCCGACGTCGAGTTGGTCATCTCGTGGTCCGCGTACAGCGACCAGGCCTTGGTCAGGATCTCCGCCGCCTTCTCCCGCGTCACCGCCGGGTTGTTGTCCACGAACCGGCCCATGTACAAGATGTTCTCAATGTACGTCAGGTTGGGGTCCGCTTCCCGGAAGGTCTGTCCCGTCATGTGGCAGTGAGCCAGTGACGAAGCCACCGCCGTGATTGCCAGCGTGCGGATGATCTGCTCGTCCACCATCTCCGGGCGTCGGCTGTAAAGGTTGGCACCCGCGTGCGCTGGGATCAGCTCTGGCTGGTCCGCCAGGTAGCCTGTCAGGATCGCCCCGAGCACCACCATGGGTGGGGTCGTGCGTCTGTCCTAAGGTTAGCTGCATGCGCGACAATGCCAGGAGGGAAGCTTACGGGAAGGTGGCCACGAGCTGCTTCACGTTCTCCGGCACCACCAGCATCGCCTGGGAAATCCGACGCTGGAACCGCAGGCGCTGCTCGGGAGTGGGTAGTGAGCCCCAGATGAGCAGGTGGGTGATCTCCTCGTAGCTCTTGCCGATGACCGAGGCCAGGGGATGACCGCGGTACAGAATGATGCCTTCGTTACCATTGCTAGCAAGGTCAGTAGCCGTACACCATCGCCGGACCGAAACACATACATGTAAGTGATGCTGGACATCTTGACCGCCGTGTTGCGGTACCCCGGGTCAATCACCCGAAGGCCTTCCTCGAACTGCTGCCGAGGGCTCTTGCCGGCACGGTCCACACAGATCTGACGGAATCCCATGGCCGGCACCGAGTTGCGCACAATGGGAATCGTGTACTTGGAGCCGGTGCGGTTGTCTCGCACGGTCAGCGTGCCCTCACGCTCCCCAGGCAACTCTTGCTCCAGCAGGGCGTTGATGTAGTTGCCCTGCAATGGCAGGAAGCTCTTGCCGGCGTCGAAGAGACGGCCCAGCCAGGATGCCAGTGTGTATGCCATGGTGAAGAAGAAAGGATCGGATGGATTGCAAAGGAAGGTAATCGCTGTTGTTGCCCTGCTTCTACCTGGACTTGTCTGGATCTGAAGCACTTATTTGTACCTCGTCTGCCAGCTGCCGTCTGTCCGAAAAAAAAACACACGGACGCGGCCGGAATTGTTCAGAAGGACGAATGGATAGACCGAGATCGACGATCAAGCTTCGATCCATCGACTAGTGACAGCCTGCAGCAACTATCGTGGTCGATCCAAACACCGCTGTCCGACACGATGTGCCCGCCGGGCATAAAAGGCGGTTCCTTTTCAGTCCGTTTTGTTCGCCATCGCTTTCCTCCTTTCTCTGAACCAATCCAAACATTTCCTCCGAAGCCTATCGCCCCCTCAAACCTTCCCCGTGCGCTTCCTAGGACCATGTCTTCCTCCTCCGATCGGCAGTATGACGAGCCTATTACTCGCCTTGTCGAGTACGTCTACCATTACGAGGTGACCAGCGACCTGGCCATCCTCCGGGCCCGTCACGCCCTCATGGACGCCCTCGGTTGCGCACTCGAAACCCTTCAGCAGAGTCCCGAGTGTCGCGCCCTGATCGGGCCTTACACCCCCGGCCTGGTGGCCCCCTATGGCTTCAAGCTGCCGGGCACCTGTCACCAGCTCGATCCGGTCAAAGGCGCCTTCGACATGGCCACCTTGATTCGCTTCTTGGATCACAATGATGCATACCCCGGAGCCGAATGGGGTCACCCGTCGGGTATGTCCGCCTCTCCGAGGATCTGCAATTCCCAGAAGCTTGGGTGGATTAAGAGCTAACCGATCGACACAGATAACCTGGGCGCCATCCTGGCGGTCGCCGACTGGCTTAGCCGCACGGGCGCCACCAGCCAGCCACTGACTGTCCGGACGGTCCTGATCGCCATGATCAAGGCCTACGAGATCCAGGGCTGCTACCAAGTTCGGAATGCCTTCAACAAGGTGGGCCTGGACCACACCCTGCTCGTCAAGATTGCCTCCACGGCAGTTGTGGCGTGGCTGATGGGTCTGACGGAGGAACAAGCCGCCGTTGCTCTCTCCCATGCTTGGGCTGACGGCCACCCTCTGCGCATCTTCCGACAGAGTCCCAACGCAGGCCCACGCAAGGGCTGGGCTGCAGGCGATGCAGCCATGCGTGCCGTTCATTTGTGTCTGTTGGCTCGCGCCGGCCAGCCTGGCCTGCCCAGCGCGCTAACCGAACCGAACTGGGGCTTCCTGGCTGTCAGCTTCGGAGGAAAGGAGCTGCAGCTGCCACGGCCGTTCAAGACCCGGGTGATGGAGGAGGTGTTCTTCAAGCTGATCACAGCTGAAGGCCATGGTATTTCCGCGGTCCAGGCGGCCATGACGCTGGCAGAGACCATGGCGAGCCGGGGCATCGATCCCGCTACGCAGATCGACCGCATCGATATTCGCACACATGAGGCGGCCGTCCGCATCATCGACAAGCAAGGCCCGCTCACCAATGCCGCTGACCGCGACCACTGCATGCGGTACATGGTGTCGGTGGTCCTGCTCAAGAACGCAGTCATCGAGGCGGACGACTACCACGATACGAGTGCGTGGGCCCACGACCCGCGCGTCGAGGCCCTGCGCCAGCGGATCCGGATGGCTGAAGACCCACAGTTCACCTACGATTATCACCACAAGAAGTCGGGGGCCAGCGGACTCACCGTCTTTCTCACGAATGGAGAGCAGCTGGATGAGGTCGTCGTCGAATACCCCATCGGGCACCCGATGCACGCCGATACTTTGCCCAAGGTGCGCGCCAAGTTCGAACATAACATGCAGGGTATGTTTACGGCGGAGGAAACCAGCCGGGTGATCGACGCGATCCATCAAGATAGGCTGCCGGTGCATCGATTGGTTGACCTGCTGGGTCGCTGATCGGCGCACTAGGGCAGCGAGTGGGGGTGGAGCTTGATGATTTCTGCAGTAGCGAGTCTAGTGGCGCCTGATTTTTGGGACAAACTGTGCATAGTGCGAGATAGACAGGGATTAGAGTTTCCCACCGCAGTGGAACAATACTATTGAAATGTGATGTGCGGTGATGTGATAAGCTGTCAGATCTATCAGGTTATCAGCCCTCGTATGCATTATGCAACTTAAATTAGGAGCAAGGGATGGCTCCAATCGGCATTCTCCACGACGACATCGGACAGGTCTGATCTCGACAGCCGGAAAAAGCTTCCAACCGGGGGCGGAGTAAAGTGCCTCAACCCCGACTGCATGGGCTGTCACAACTGATCAACGCCTTCATTGCTTTTGCCCGTACTTTTGCGGCGCCTTTTAACTTTTGCCTGACTGCGTCCTTGTGGTGCCTTGCTTTTCTCAGCCGTCCAGAGACAATATATCATTAATAGACTCCAAGGCGCGGCCTTACTCCACGGCGAGAATTACTCCGATTCAGGCGTCCCAACCCAGTGGCGCCTATCAAAGTCGGACTGCTTGGATAGCCCTCGTAAGTCCATCGAGGAGGCTGAGGGGGTCCCTTCAAATGTCCCCGAATGGCGCATTTACCCCGGCTAACTTTTGCACACCTCAGTTGACACCGGACAGCATGCTTCTTCCCCTTGTTAGTGCACTGTTCCTCCTGGTGCTGGCCATCAGAAAAATCTCCTTGCGGTTACACTGTAGGTCCGTCGTCCCCTTGCAGTAAAGCAAATCTGACATGGAGCAGACCGCGCTCAGTCGCGCCGCCATGGCTGCCTTCCACCCCCGCAGGAGCGCCATCTGGACCCTGTTCTCGGCTTCGACGCTCTACGCAAGTCGGTCACGGCCGTGCGCGAGCACCGCCTTCTGACCTATATGCAGTCCCGGTTCCGTGAGACGGGATACACATTCGAATCTCGCACCCTGCGAAATGAGGTGCTGCATACGGCCGACCCCAAGAATCTGCAGGCCATCCTGGCCACCAACGCCAAAGACTTTTCCATCGGCAAGCGTAGAATGACGGCCTTCCGACCGTTGCTCGGCCACGGCATCTTTGCAGCTGATGGAAAGCAGTGGGAAAAGTCGCGTGGCCTACTCCGACCAAGCTTCACCCGCGATAACATTGCTGATCTGGACATCTTTGAGCGGCATGTCTGTCAGTTGCTCACCTGGATCCCCGCAAGTGGTAAAACGGTGAACCTGCAGGACTTGTTCTTCCGCATGGTTAGTTTTTCTGAAGAATCCCCTTGCAGCAATAGCGTTGCTGACTGACAGGAAGACTATTGACTCTGCCACGGACTTCCTCTTTGGCCAGACAGTCGGTACTCTCCAGGCTGAACGGTCCCCGGTTGCAACACAGTTCTCGCACGACTACCACAAGGCTCAGGACGGCGTTATTACTCGCGCACGATTGGGGTCGCTTATTCACCTGCAGCCCAATTTCAAACACGAGTTTAAGCGAGCTGTCGCTGGTTCCAGGGCCTATGTACACCGAATCGTGCAGGAAGCCGTCCGGGCACGTAGCACGCCCGGTGAAAAGAAGGTCCAACCCCCGGACTGCTTTCTAACTCAACTGGTCGAGCTCACCAGCAACGAGACTGAGATCACTGACCAGCTACTCAATGTCCTCCTCGCCGGTCGGGACACCACCGCCGGTTTGCTGTCTATCCAGTTCCACATCCTCGCCCGCCGACCGGACGTCTGGGCCAAGGTGAGGGAGGACGTATCCAGCTTGGAGGGCAGACAGCCATCGTTCCGCGAACTGCGTGATTTGAAATATGTGTCTTGGGTGATCAATGAGAGTGCGTCTTCCTACCTGCCTTCCTACTATAGAAAATCCGTACTGACAAGATCTGTCCAGCCCTCCGCCTCTACCCGATCATCCCCCGTAACCTCCGCAAGGCCGTCAACGACACCGTGCTTCCAACTGGTGGTGGCCCGGATGGTCAGTCCCCCATCTTCGTGTCCAAGGGCATGAATGTCACATTTGACGTATACACACTTCATCGACGGCCGGATCTCTACGGCCCCGATGCCGAGGAATTCAAGCCGGAGCGGTGGGAGACTCTGCGTCCTGGGTGGATGTATTTGCCATTTGGGGGCGGGCCTCGTAAATGCATTGGACAGCAATTCGCCTTGACACAGGTGGCATACACAACCGTTCGGTTGGCGCAGCGATTTGAGCGACTCGAGTCGAGAGATGCCAGACCATATGAAGAGGAGTTGACTATCACGCTTGCGAGTCGGTACGGGGCGCAGGTGGGGTGTTTTGCTGCGTAGATCTGGGGGACTGACTATAGATAGTTTCGGTTGCTGGGAGTATCGGATGGGAGACAATAGATATGTAAATGATTATTCGATGGGTTTAAAAGCACTGGACGAAGTGAAGTGAGAGGGGAAAGGGGACAAACACCCTAACAAAGATAAGGCGAGCAAGAATGCACCTGACCACGCTAGGCCACTCCGGGTCACCCCAGCAAAAGCAGCGAGATGCGTAGAATGCTTATAGTTCGAAATAGTTGATAGTTGGTACGGTGCGCGATTTTCTTCATGTATCTTCAGCCAGGACACTCCCTCCACAGAAAAATCAACTGGACCTTTGCATGATGCCGGGATAACTATATACACTCGTCCGACAAGTAGCGCCTACCCGTAATCAGCAATGGCTGATGCAGCGTCATCGGGACTAGGACTCGGAGGCCTTAGTCCCACCCGTCTTCACCTCCTTCTCTAGCGCATCCAATGCGGATGCATACCGCGCCTTGACCTCCTTCATGTTATCCAATTTGACTTGCACCTTTCCTACCTTGGTGGACCGAGTGATCTTCCCATCCACTCCCTTGGCGATCTGACTCGCAAACCACTTGCCCTCCCGGTGTGCCACAAGCGTCCACGCAGATCCTTCCTGACCGGCACGAGCGGTGCGACCAACCCGGTGCACGTACGTGGTAATGCTGGCTGGCACATCATAGTTGACAACATGCGTCAAGGACCGCAAGTCCAGACCTCGCGACGCACGGTCTGTCGCAATGATAACGGAGACCTTGCCCCGACTGTACGCCGTGAGTGTCTTGCGCGAGGCAGATGACTTGTTAGACTTGATGATCGTGCCTATGCGGTCCGCCAGAGAAGGTTCCACCAGCGCCAGCAGGCGAGCCAGTCGTGAGGCAGATTCGGACGATTTAGTAAAGACCAGGACTGTTGTCTGTGTGGGTCCTTGTTGATGCGTTTTCTTGTCTTCCGGCTCCGAGTCGCTGTCCGACGATTCCGATTCGTCGCTAGATTCATCCTCGTCGCTGGACTCATCGTCGGAGGTATCCTCGGAGTCCGAGGAGCCAGAACTGGTATCTGAGCCCGAATCTGAGTCCGAATCCGAGTCCGAATCCTCAGAGCTTGACTCGTCCGAAGTGTCATCGGAATCTGACTCGGAGCTGGAGTCTGAATCTGAATCATCAGATGCAGAGGCCTTGACGCTCTTGGTCTCAACCTTAATGTGTGACAGCAGGAGGCGCAGAAGATACAGTGGCTTCTTCGACTCGTCTCCCACCGTTAGGATGTGCTCCTTCAAGGTAGGTGGCAGGGTGAACTGTTCGTCCGAAGGCGCAAGCACACCGCTCTCGTCCTCATCCGTTGCAGCAGCGTCCGATCCAATAACGACCAGCTTGGGGTTGGCGAGATGCAGGGTATTCAGCTTCGTCACATCTCTGGTCATGGTGGCACTTAGAATCACTTTCCTCGGCTCTTTGCTCTGGACTGTGAGGCCGAGCTGGGACAGAAATTTTCCGGTAAAGCCAAAGGTCTCGCGAGACTTTCGGGCGTCCAAAGAGCCCATCACGACGTCGACCCATTCCTGGAAACTCTCGTTCAGCAGTCGATCCGCCTCATCAATGACAAGCCATTCGAGATTCTTCAGCGTGAATCCCTTGGTGTAGCGAAGATGGTCGACCAAACGACCGGGCGTACAGATGAGAATGTCAACATTAGGCTCCGGCCGGTGAACATAGCCTGGTAAAGTCTCGCTTAGATCACCGGCCTCGGAGACGTAGTCCTGCAGATTGAAGTTTGTCCAATCATCCCCCGTCATCTGAGGGAGCGGGAACGTCGGCGGGTCGTAAACCTCATCAACCCGCATCAGTGAACGTTGCTCGTCTTTGACCGCCACGTTGCCCACTGCGGATGCAACACGGAGGCCAGACCCAGCGGCACAGAGCTCACAAGCCTCTCTGGCCTGTTTTACAAGCTCCCGAGTAGGCACCACGATGAGGCCTCGTAAGCGAGGAGCAGGGAGCGACTCCAGCGCTGTAACCAGCGGTAGGACGTAGGACAACGTCTTTCCTGAACCTGTGGCGGCGGAAATGCAGAGGTCTCCCGGATGGTTCTTGGGACCTTTTAAGAGCAGCGGAATAACCGTCGACTGCACAGCGAATGCTTCCTTGTAGCCATTGCTCTCCAGAACTTGAAGGAGCTTAGAGTCGATTCCCAAATCAGCGAATTTGCTTCGGTCCTGAGCCGATGCACGCAGAGGATTAGCCAGCCACGGCGGAAGCGAGGAGTAGGTTGGCAATTCTTCCAGCTCCGGAGCGGCTTCTGGTTGTGGTAGCGGCTCCAGACCCTGCGCTATAACTGGCTCTGCTGTCGTTGGCTCCGTGGCCTCTGTATCCTTCTCGCTTTCTCGTGCCTTTTCCAGCTCCCGCGACTTTTTCGACTTTTCGAACTTGGACAGAATACCGGCAAACTTATTCTTCACGGGTTTTGTGTCGTCATCTGATGATGCGGGCTCCGGGCTTTTCCTGCTTTTCTTCGAGCCTTTGACCCCCTTCTCCTTGACGTCTTCGGTGTCGTCCGCGTCATAGGCCGCGTCCTTCATATCGACATCATCTCCAGTTGTGTCACCAACCGATGCGGTTCGTCGTTTCCCATCCTTGGATTTCTTCTTCTTCTTAGTGAGGCTGTCATCCGTGCTTGGAGTAGTCTTTTTGCTGCCGACCTGCGAGACAGCACTCTCTTTTTGGGTCGATATCTCTTGATTATCACTGTCGCTCGAAGATCCAGTCTGCTTTCTCTTCTTCCGGGTTTCATCGGACGGGGTAGATTTGGACGGAGAACTCTGATTCTTCTTGGATTTTTTGGTCGGGGTAGGTGTCGACTGAGCGACGGCGGAGCCATCGATGTCTCTCTTTCTCTTGTGGGATTTCTTGGTACTCGACGGGGTTTCTGAGCTTATCCGAGCAGCGTCATTCTGCGCCGAGTGACCACCAGCCATGATCGCAGTGTGAGCGTAGGGCCAGCGCGAAGTCGATAGGGAGGCGTGACTGCTGAACAGTCGGTGTTGCCAAACCAGCTCCGAATATTTCTTTTCCAGCGGGGAATCTTTGTCCTGGCAGAATCCTACCGCCTGGCTTGCCGCCAGGGTCTGGACCAATCCGGGGTTCATCGCGTTTCCAGCGCCGCATCTTCGATCGATGCCAGCTGCGCAACCCCTGACAGAACCGCCTCGGTTGATGCTGAACTGGTCCGAACATGGACATGCTGGAGTCTATCTCATGGCCATTGTCTAGGGTATCATTTGGCTAAATCAAAGACAACTGACCGCCATCATGCCATACAACATTGCGTGAGTGTCTGTTGCGGTCGGAGATGAGTATGTACTAACGGTTCCGCAGCATGGTCAGTGACTTTTTCTTCCCCCAGCCAGGTTGGTCTATTTGTCTTCTTATTGGTGTCTGCCGGTCAGTTGCTGATGTCTATAGGTGGGATTGAAAGTCACATCTACCAATTATCGACCGTGAGCATGCCGAACCATATCATCAAACCTCAGGCCAGCCAATACTCATCGAACTATAGAAGCTTATCGATCGCGGTCATAAAGTCATCATCATTACCCATGCCTACAAAGGACGAACCGGTGTCCGATACCTGACAAATGGGCTCAAGGTCTACCATGTGCCATTTTTTGTGATCTACCGGGAATCGACGATGCCGACGGTCTTTTCGTTCTTCCCCATCTTTCGAAACATCGTGATTCGTGAGCAGATACAGATCGTGCATGGACATGCGAGTTTGAGCAGCTTTTGTCACGAAGCTATCCTTCATGCTCGCACGATGGGTCTCCGGACGGTGTTTACCGACCACTCCCTATTTGGATTCGCCGATGCGGCGTCCATCCTCACCAACAAGCTGCTCAAGTTCATCCTGAGCGACGTGGACCACGTTATCTGTGTCAGCCATACATGGTAAGACAATTGTTGGGTATGTAGCGAGTTCGGCTGACTTTGTGGGTAGCAAAGAGAACACGGTTCTTCGAGCCTCCTTGGACCCGTTGATGGTCTCCGTCATCCCCAATGCGGTGGTTGCAGAGAACTTCCGACCCCCCGAGCCGCGGCCAATGCCGAGACCCATAGCACCCAATGACATCATCACAATCGTGGTCATCTCCCGCCTATTCTACAACAAGGGCACAGATCTTCTTATCGCCGCCATTCCTCGGATCCTTGCGTCCCACCCGAATGTCCGGTTCATCATTGCTGGATCAGGGCCTAAGGCCATTGATCTCGAGCAAATGCTAGAAAGAAATGTGCTTCAAGACAAGGTGGAAATGCTCGGCTCTGTCCGGCATGAAGAAGTTCGCGACGTGATGATTCGAGGCCACATTTATCTACACCCTAGTTTAACTGAAGCGTTCGGAACTGTACTGGTGGAAGCTGCCAGCTGTGGTCTGTACGTGGTGTGTACTCGCGTGGGAGGTATCCCGGAAGTGCTACCTCAGCACATGACAACCTTTGCAAAACCAGAGGAGGACGACATTGTGCTTGCTACCGGAAAAGCTATTGCAGCATTGCGTTCAAATAAAGTGCGGACGGATCGCTTTCATGACCAGGTGAAAATGATGTATTCCTGGACGGATGTGGCGCACCGTACAGAACGTGTCTACATGGGCATCTCCGGGGACATTAGCCCGGAGGAATTCTACGGCTACTACCCTGGACAGGGCTGGGAGGCAGGCCGTGATCGTGTGCGAAGCTTTGCACTCATCGACCGTCTGAAACGGTACTACGGCTGCGGAGTGTGGGCTGGCAAGCTGTTTTGCCTTTGCGTGGTGATCGACTTTTTGCTTTATGTCTTCTTGGAGATGTGGTTCCCCCGTGCGAACATTGACATAGCACGCAGCTGGCCCAAGAAGATCCACCAGGAGAACAAGCAACTCGGGAGTACATATAAAGGCGACCGTCTAGGGCCAGCGTCATGATTTAACGGGCATCTACATCAATCACGGCCATCTCTTCGAATTCAATTTGATTCGCTATGTATACACAAACAGCACGATACCCATATCGATAGACGCGGTGTTTTCATTAATACAAAGTTTCGTTAAAATAAGCATTTCTAAGCATCTTCAGTTCAGAATCCAACCAAGGTCCAGCCCGCGGGGATGCTCAATGCTTATGCCCTCTTCGTCGAAGGCTCATACTTCCACTCAGCCGCCGCCGTCTCCGCCGGCTCGGGGTTCCTATCCTCAGCCGCCAACGCGCCCTTGTCTCCGCGCTGACCAGGCCGAGCCTCATCGCGTTCAAGCCCGCGCTGACTCGGAATCTGCCTCTCAAACTTTTCGCTTTCTTGGGCGCCGACTTGCTGCAGACCCGCGCTCTGGCCCTTGCGACCGTGCTGTCCGTCATGGCGAAGCTCGTTACTCGTCTGGCCTGAGCCAGGGTGTCCCAGACCGGTGTGAACGTCCTGCGAAGTAGCGCCCATCAAAGTATCGCTTGCGGAGGTCTTGACAGACTCTTTGCCATGGCTCCGCTCTACATTGGGGTTCAGTGCCTGGCTGCCGGGCTCCCCAGCGGTGTTGGGCTGGTAAGAGCTGCTGGCGGGCGCAGTGCCGGGGGGATGGGTCTCAGCGCGGAATTCGGGGACGTAATCGCTAGGAGCAACCTTTCTGCCTATTTGGTGCTGCATGCTGTTAGCTACTAATACCATCTTTGACACAGGACATGCAACATACACCACCCTCTTCAAGAGGAGCGGTCGGCTTGACGGAGGGCTTGAATTCGCCCTGCTGGGGGTTGGCGACGGAGTCGACGTTCTGAAAGTGGCTCATGGTTACGTTGTGTCGTGAGAGAATTCGATTGAAATTATAGACGATAAAACAATTCGTGAATTTTAATTGATGTTGTCTGGAATGAATTAGCAGACAGTAACTGGCGCAACTTATATATGGCCGAGGTTGACTATGCTACCTAGTTAGGGCTTCACGGCTATGACGTCAAGGTGACCGGCGTTGACTTCATTGAGGCACCGTTGCTGGGATGTTGAGCAGACAAAGACGTCATGCACTGGCATCTCGAATGTCAATCGGCCCGGTTTCTGATCGCGTGCTTACCATGGATGCGTCGATGGTGGTGGTGATCGGGAAGTATGTGTTGGTGGGAAGTGTGGTCAGGGTCTCCGCTCGGATATTGCATCGAAATGTTTGTTGTTCCGTCATAGATCGATCGATTAAAGGCGAGCGGTGTTATTTTGTACATAACAGTAGCTGGATTTTGTTGAATTATTGGTGCTTTTATGTACTGTACTATTCATGTATGTGTGTGGATTATGGCCTTGATACAGCGACAAATATCTATCTACAGTCATGTATCATCCGCAACAATAATAACATGGAAATCAAATTAATGCAACAATCAGGTATCTTCCAGTATTCACATAGACCTCATAACGCCAGAAAACAACCTCATAACAAAAGCTTAAAGCACGCGCGGAAAATCCCCGCAACACTTCTCACAGATCTATACTCATCACCTGAATCACCACCCCCCATCACTTCATCAACGGCGGCCTCCCCTCCTTATTCCACTTGACTCTTGTCTGCACCCATTCCACCGCCTCCTGGACACCCGATCCCATCAACGCACTAACCGGCAAGACACGACTATCGCGGACCCCCGCCCCAGTCTCCCCCTCAAACACCTTACGCACAAACCCCTCCTTAATACGAACAACCTCCACCGAATCCTCCCGATCCTGCTTATTAGCAAGCACCAGAATCGGCACCCCGGCCACATCAGCATTCTGTAACACAGACTCCAGCACCTGACGACATTCGTCCAGCCGACCGAAGTCGCTCCCGGGCGCATTAATCCCCACCATTTCCTCTGTAAACACACTGGGATGGTTGCTCGACGGGCCGGAGGCAGAGCTCGGTCGTCGACTAGGAAGCCGAGTGATGTCTGGGTCTTGGCCGACGTCGGCGCTATCAACGACGAAGATGATGGCGTGACAGCTGGAGTAGTAGCTTTGCCAGAGATTCCGCATGGTGATTTGTCCCCCCACATCCCATATCTTCAGGTACATGTCTGGTAGGGAGATGGTCGCGACGTTTTGGCCGACCGTGGGGACGGTTTTACCGGGGTTGGGGGCGGGGGTGCCATCGGATCGAGGTTGGTAGAGGGCTTTAATTTGGGAGAGGAGGGTGGTTTTGCCTGCGTTGTCGAGACCGAGGAGGAGAACGGAGTATTCTGTTGATGGGTGGTTAGAATGGTGATGGGAGGAGGAACGGGGGGTATACTTGCCCTCCTTGCTGGTAGCGTACATATACAGCGACTTGGCCAGATGATACATGGTTGCAGCGGAGGGCGGACCTCCTCCGGTGGACGCGGCCTCGAATTCCAATTAGAACCGGCGGGACGAGAGGTCAGATAGGAGAATCATGGCAGCAGAAGAGGCCCTGATGCTTGGATTCCACTTGCTGCTTCGTCTTGCGCTTCGATCCGGTCTCTTGTCGGCGTTCGATGGCGATGGATGCCGAGGGTCCACGCGTCAGCCGCGTCTCGATCAGGAAGGTAGGGCATAGGGTAGAAAGACAACACACCCCAAGCCCTATTTTCCGGATGAGGCAGCCCCCGCAACGTCTGTTGCCGCGAGAGAATGGATTCATGCACTGTCGATCTCCCAATGGATGGACGTGGTCTTACTTGACAACCTTCGATGGGATGGGTGAATGCCTGTGCAGCAACAAGGACAGCAACTATTCACTTCGTATTCCCGGGAATAAGGCATCCTCCATCGGCCGACTTGTTGCCAGAGCCAGACCCTCAACGACCCCGGATGCGCCGGTGGCACGGAGCAACGGTCATCATTGGCAGCGATTGCCCCCACGTCCCTTGGCCGGATCCATACCTACTCGACTAAGTAACGATTACATCGTCTTGCTAAGCTGCTCGGCGGCGGCGAGTTTGTCAGCGATTCCCCAGGCCCTTGTCCGCTCGCGGAATCGGCATCCCCTCCCCTCCCTCGCCTTCTATGGTTGCCTTCCAAGTTTATTTTCTTCCTCCTCGTCAAATGTAACGGCCGCTCGATGGCCCTCCGGTTTCCTCTCCTGCGGCTGGAGGTAGTGGCTTCTTTGCGTTTCTCTAGCTTCTGCTGATTGGAACTTATCGCCTCCTATCGCATGTCGCAAACAGTATGCCCCGCGCTGGATGGGCGGCCGGAGGCACAAGATATGCCTGCAATAATGGAGACTGACACCATCATCGTCGGTATGTCGCCATCATCCTGCTATCGGAGAGGCTGGATTTTTCACTTTCCCCTGGTCCGTGTTATCGTGCTGACCAGATCCACAGGGAACGGGCCGTCAGCCATGATCTTGTCGTATCTGCTTCATGGCCATCTCCCTTACTATTCTGCAAATCCTCCACATCCTGATCCGCTTCTGCATGCGAAGCTCCGGGATTCCCCGGAGCTTCTCAGTCTGGATGTGCATGCTTTGACGGATCATTTCGCCGCCTCGAGACTATCCTACTCCACGCAGGCTCTTCCGGTGAATGTGCTCCTCGACACGCTGGTGCGCACTAGTGTGGATGTGGACGAGCTTGAGAGCACGACTAATGTCGAATGGCGGTTTGTGCCCGAAAAGGCCGTGCCCCATCTGGTCTTTGGAGACGCCCTGCATGGTGGTGGCCAGTGGACTGATAATCCTGTGCCTGCCAGCTGGGACATTCAGACCCTGAGCTATGCCTCGATGCTGTCTCTTCCTGGCTATTCCTTTGCGGAGCACCATAAGAAGGTGACAGGCAAGGATCTTCCTGCATATACTCGACCCAGTCGGGAAGAGACGGCAAGCTACTTCCGCACGTACCCCGAGGCGGTTCAGATCGATGATGTTTTCCAGTTCAATGAGACGCTGTCCGGTATCTCGCGGACAGAGAATGGCTTCTATATCCGCTCACATGACATTCACTGCAAGCATTTGGTCCTGGCCAGCGGAATTTTCACTCAGGTGCTCCAGCCAAGCCCGATGTTGCAGCCCTTGGCATCGATGCAGCCAATCCCGCAGACTCCGCTCTTGGTCATTGGCTCCGGGTTCTCCGCCGCGGATATCATCATATCCGCCCCTCAAGACCAAAAGATCATCCACGTCTTCAAATGGGATCCGGAAGGTCGGTCCTCGCCTCTGCGTGGCTGCCACCACCAAGCCTATCCCGAGTACGCGGGAGTCTACCGCCTGATGAAGCGAGCCGCGGTTGCAGCAGACCCCAGCAAGAAACGAGTGAAGATGCGACGGACTACGTCGACCCCTTTCTTAGAGACTCGTTCCTGGGATGAGATCTACGAAGGACTCCCAAACACCGAAATCGTTGGCGTCGAGATGCAGCAGGACCAGGCCATCGTCACATTTCGCCAGCCGGACGGGAGCACAATTACCCGTGCCGTTCGCGGAATGGTCTACGCCACCGGCCGACGAGGCAGCCTCGAGTACCTCGACCGCTCTCTCCTCAGCGAAGTTGTCGGGGGCAATACAGACACTGAAATTAGCCCTATTGTCTCCGCCCAGACTCTGCGCAGCAAAGCATGCGAGGACACCGAGGTTGCTCCGAACGTCTTCATCATCGGCAGTCTTACCGGCGACTCCCTGATCCGGTTCGCATACGGGAGCTGTGTCCAGGCTGCCGGGAAACTGATCGACGCACGTACTGGCAAAGAACGAGTCCGCAGTGGATCTAACAATACGTCCCGACCGCAGTCGTCGCTGGGGGTCATGCGCGGGATAGATGGACACGACATCACGCCGCCCAACGAGCTCCGCGCTGTAGATAACGACCGCATGGCATCTACATTACCGCAAAGAGTCATGCCGAATGGTCTGTGGAGATGGCTGTGGCGATGGTTTGACGTTCGCTGATGTGTAGCATATGCATACATGATAGAGATAGATGGTGTTGTTTGAATAGTGTACATATCGCATTGCCTCGGTGGCTGCTTTGATACTGAGTTGATTCGCGGTTGTCTTGTTTATATCACTGGCAATATACTATGTGTAGTTGATCTGTCCCAACTCTTGCTGAGAAGTCCTAGTAAGGATTGTATTACCAATCTTTCTCAAACAAACATGACTCCGCATTCCCTACATGCTCAATGACCAACCACCGCAGCAGCCCGCCTTACCTACTTCCGTCCCAAACACCAACTTCCACCGCATAATATTGCTAATATCAAATAACAATACAGAGTCGAGATTCTCGCTAATCTATACAGATGTATATACACAGACCCCGCCTTAATCTTACACACCCCACCAGAACAAGCCAGCAGTCCCACCCCATCAACCAAACCAAACCACTACCTCCCCACAACCCTCAACAATCACCAAACCAAGGATGCTCCAATGCCTCCTCAGCCGTAATCCTTCTCCTCGGATCCAGTCTCGCCATCCTCTCCACCAAATCCCTCAACTCAGGTTCCAACACCGTCCACCTTCTGATCGGCTTTATCGGATTCTCTGGCCCAAAAGTACTAACCAGTTCCAACATGCATTGGAAATACGGATTGTCTTCCCCGATATGTCCCAGGAACAGCTCTAGACCATCTATATCTGCGAAGTAGGATAGATGGAGGGGGAGGATATGGCGCCATGCGTCTTCAGTGTTGAGTTCGACGCCGGGGATGTAAAACGGCATGTGTTTGTGCATGACGTAGATTATCTATGCGTTAGGTAAGTAAGGATCACCAGATGAATTTGTGGATATGATGTTTGGGGTAAGGGTATACAAACCACCAAAGCAAAAGAAAACACATCCGAAGCTTGATCCTGACTAGCTCTTGCCCAACTCTCGGGACTTCTCCACATGGCGTTTCCGCAGAGAGGTCCTTTTATCCATTTTCCGGGGGGATGATCACTGAGTCCTCCAGATCGCCGATCTGGACTTGGGTTATAGTGGTGATTTCTTGGTCTGTGGTTGCCGGGGGAGTGTAGTCTATGAGGATGTTGTTGGGTTTGATGTCTGTGGGTGGTTGATTGTTAGTATTGTGATGTCTTCGGATTGGGTACTCAAGTTGGGGGGCATGTATGTAAACTTCCCAGTATGGTACATATTGTTAGCATGCATGTCGACTAGACCCTGTAGTGCGCTTCGGAGGATCTGCTTCCTTGTGGCTTGGGATAGATTCTTCTGGGGGAATTGGAGCAGGTTGGTCTTGAGGATGGGGTAAATGAATGTTTCGGATTCTTGGATGGTGTCGATTACGGTTCGGATGTTGGGGTAGGGGGATAGTTGGTTGTGGATGTCGCGCTGGTAGTCGAATTCGCCGGGATTAGGTTCTTGAGGATGTATTGTTTGGTTTGGGCGCTGCAAGAGTTAGTGCATTGCCTCTGGGTGGGGGAAGGGTGATCAATGGGTACCTCGCGCGGTACACATGCAAAGTGGTTTTCTCGGCGTGGAAAAGGACCTCTTCTATCTTGTAGGTTTGGTTGGTGTCGCTGGTGACGGTTGTGCCTGGTTCGAGGGGCTCTGCGCGAGAGGTGTATAGCAGGTTTCTGGTATATTGGCGAACATGGCAGGAAAGGGGAGGATGGAGTATGGAAGGGATGAGTCTGGGTAGGAGTGATGGTCGCGTTGAGATACGAGTAGGGATGGTTAGGATGGTGGTCATGATGGAGAGGAGCTACGGCGTTGCGGTGCACGTCGAAAGGATGATGTTGATAGCCTCGTATCGTATCCCTGTCGCGGCAGTAACAGGCGGTGACCAGACGACTTGGTAGAAATGCGCTATATAGTCAATTTGGGTGTACTTGTAGGCACTTGCTAATTGAATACATAGATATCTGCCATCTTGATAATGAAGGGTATAATATAGTACACGCTAGCCCATGATCTGCAACTGGTCATCCGGAGGCCACCGCGTCTGCGCAAAGCTGAGACATCTCTTGATGCTTTGTAGATATTTCCGGGTGATTTCGTCGCTCAAAATATGGGCCTGCTGATCGCTTTGATGCAGCTTTTCTCGTGCGGATCGCTCGTGGATACCCACCATGGTTACACCAATGGGCCATGCGCTGTGAGATGTTAGCCCAGTCCAGATAGAGGAATGAGGGATACGCACGCTTTTCCGATACTCAGCCGTAGATAGGCATCATTGGCATCGACATATCGCCGCTGCTGAGCCTTGGAGACAATCTCCACTACATGCTCCAGCACCCCGTTATCAATCTCGACCTTTTCGAACTTGCGAAACAACGGCTTCATATTCTCCCGCGACTGCACCATGGCATTATAGGCCTGTCGTCCCTGCAAGCTCTGCTTGACCGACACATCTCGCTTCGCCAGAGCCAGCTCCCACTCCCGCAGCACCATATTAAAGTACGACGCCAGCTGCCGGAAGAGGAATTTCTTCCCCTCCAAGTCCTTTGGCACCGTCTCAGGGATCTTCATTTCCACCTCCGGAACCAATTCCAACGTCGTAGGGATCGGGCCATCCGACAACTGCTGCTGTGGCGTCGACGCCCGCTGTACCAGCCGACGATACCGTCGCAGGCGTCCCTTGTGTGTCTCCCCGAATAATATGGCCGGCTCCTCCAATTCCCGCAACTTCTGCAACAGCTCCTCCTCGGGAATATCCTCCTCGCCATCCTTGTCCGCATCTTTATCGTCTCCTGCCTCGGTGGGTGGCAGTTCCGGTAATCCGAGTCTCTTCCTTCGCTCTCGTTCGCGGGATGCTTCCTCCTCCTCGCGCTTCTTCCGCGACTCCTCGGCCAGTTTGCGCTTCTTGTCTTCGCGCTCTTGGCGTCGCTCAGCCTCTTCATCCTCGAGTTTGCGTTTTTGGATGAGGCGCTCTTCTCGCTCGCGACTCAGCCGCTCCTGTTCTTCATTGTAGGCCGCTATGCGGGCGGCTTCGAGGTCGCCGCGACGGGTGTATTTGGGTTTGGCTGTATCCTGGGCGTCAGCTTTTGGCTTAGCCTTGGATATTTCCTTGGACATTAAAGCAGCAAAATCCATTTCCCTTCCTCTTTCTCCACCAGAGAAAAAAACGTGTAAAAAAAGTAGTCAATAGTGGCGTACAGTCAAGTCAAACCAAGTAGATAACAAACCAGCAAACGTCGCAAAGCGAGGTCCCGTCCGTTGTTCGGCAAACTTGCCGCGCCGCCTCCGCTCTCTCCTCCGCCTGCGGCATGTAGCTTTGCTCTGCTTTGCTTTGCTCTGCTCCAGCTCTACCTCAACCTCAACCTCAACCTCACACCTCACCATAAAACACAACACCACACTCATCAACCTCACCCTGCAATGAACTAGCACCCACACCTTCACACCAACTCACACCACAAACACAACACAACAAGCCCATCAAAAATGCCCCCCACGATCGACCGCCAATCCACGCCCCCCTTCCACCTCAAGCTCTTCTACCGCCTAAACAACTACCACCATCTCTCCGACTTTGCGCCCCAATCCTCCTCGTCTTCATTTAACAGCAACTACAACGGCCCCATAAGCGGTCCCAACGCGATCCGCGCGCGCAGCCCACTACCTCCCCCCTCCACCACCACCACAGGCAGTACTCTTCCATCCCACCTCCAAATCTACACCTGGCAATCATGCACCCTTCGCGAACTCTCCCAGCTGCTTACGTCCGCGTTGCCGAGTTTGCTCCCCGACCCGCCTGTCGGGACTAGACTCTGCTTTAGGCTCATTTATCCGGATACGAAGGGAGCTGCGATGATGGGGCCCGATGCGAGAGGTCGGTATCTTGCTAAGGAATTGGGGAGTGTGGTTGTGGGGCCTAGGGGGAGTTCGTTTGAGGGGGAGGAGGAGGAGAAGGAAGCGGGAGGCAAAGGGGTACGCATTCAGGGTCATGATGCTGAGAGGACGTTGCAGGAGGCGAGATTCGTCATTGGGGATTATGTGGATTGTGCGGTTTTGCCGCCCTTGGAGGATGGGTCGGTTGCGCCGCCGGTGAATGCGGGGAGGGGAATGGCGATGGGAGGGGGCATGAGGGCGTTTCCGGGGATGTGAGGGATAGAGGAGAGGGAGGGGGGAGGTGGAGGGCGGGATGGCGATGAGGGGGCCAGGTGGTGGTGGTGGGAGAGGGGAGAGGATTCCGCCGGGGGATTGGAGACGGGGGGAGAGGTTGCCGGAGGGGAGTCTTGGGGAGAGGAATGGTGGGGGTGGTGGTGGTGGTGGAGGAAGAGGGGGAGGAGGGGATGGGCGCCGTATTAGATAGGCTGGCTGGTTTGCTTTTTTTCTTATTGTTGTTTATGTGTATGTGTATGTGTATGTGTGATGTATGTTAGGAGTTGAGGATACCCGGCATCTATCTACCTTACGGAGGGAAGAACAGTGATCAAACCGGTAGAGTCGACTCGACACGGCTCCAACGAGAAAGTCAATAGACTCTCCAACAACGACAATGAAAATGCAAACTTCAGCGGTATAAAAGTAGTAGTAGTAGGTACACGTTCAGTCTCATCCATCATCATCAACACCCACTGAACTTTTCTCGCCAGCCGCAGACCATCACGGACGGAGCTGGACCTAAAACTCCACAATGGTATCGCCTCTACGCTTTCCGCGCAGGTTGTACAGACCCTGTTTCCGTTAACATCCTCACCAAATAACCCAATTATATCAGATACCCAACCACATACATCAGTCTTGTAGGCAACGTAGCCCAGAGAACTCGGGATCAGGACCATGTAGAGGAACGAGAACCAGGCATGACGCGGCGTCCACCGGAAGTACTTGTAACGGTTGGCAGTGAGGTCTGCTGGGGTTAGATACCAGTAATGCGACGAGTCTCATTGGCGGAGATCAGGGAACGGACCGTAGTATTTCTGGAGTGCCGGATCAAGGATCAGGGCTGCGGAGGTGTTAGTATAGGTAGGCTTGGAGAGGAATTGGGGTGGGACGTACACTTGCTGGGGCCGGCCATGGTTGCGGTTGTGGTTGGTGGTTGAATGTGCTGGTGATGGATGATGTTGAAGTGAGGCGGTCATGTGATGGATGTGGATGAGTCAGCGTGCATTGCATAGTCATGTAGTTGTGCATTATGCAGTTATACAGTTATGCATATCATGCAGCATGGTACAACAGTACTCCATACAGAGTAGTCGTAGATAAGATATAGATCCAGACTACAGCATTATAGCTACCTGCATAATACTTCACATAATTCTGTATATCGTATATCATTCATCGAACTCCTGCTACTGCTATCTCCTCCTACAAATCACAAAAATGGGTGCCCCACCATGGCGTCACAGAACATCCGAGGTTGAGTCTGCATTCATCTCAATCACATTCTCGGTCTAGACTAGAGCTGTACCTAGGTTCATACTACCCCTATCTCAGCACTTACACCTATACTTATATCTTATCACTCCCTCATACCATCACTACCACTACCACTACCACCACCAACACCAACACCAACACCACCATCACCATCGCCCAAAATGACCGACCCCAACAAAGGCACCAAACTCACCCTCTACTGGTACCCCAATCCCCCTCCCCCCAATCCCCTCAAACCCTCACTAAACCCCAAGAACCAGGCTCTCCCAATCCCGCTCCCACCGAATCCTCTTCCTCCTCGAACTTCTACACCTAACCTACGACTTAAAAATCTACCACCGCGGCCCGGACAAGCTCGCACCCCCCGAGCTCAAAGAAATCCACCCGCTCGGAAAATCCCCTCTCATGACAATCGAGCCCCCGAACAGCACCTCTCCAATCGTGCTCGCCGAATCAGGCGTCATCATCGAATACCTCCTCGAGCATTTCGGCTCGAACGCGGAGAAACCACTCATTCCGAAACGGTACAAAGAAGGGAATGAGGGCATGGTGGGCCAGGAAACTGAGGAATGGATGCGGTATAGATATTACATGCATTATGCGGAGGGATCTCTGATGCCGTTTTTGGTGATGCAGTTGGTTATGGATAGTATGTTTTTTCCCCCTCCCCTTATCCCTATTCTTGGTTGAAGATGGGAAAGGATGGTTGTGCTAATGGTGGTGGCGGTGGTGATGGTGATAGCTGTGAAAAACCCCCCCAGAATGCCCTTTTTCATCAAGCCTCTTCCGCGCCTTGTAGCAGGACAAGTGGAAAATGCTTTCTTGACGCGGAATATCACCGCGCATTTGGAGTTTCTGGAGGATCAGTTGAGGACGAGTCCTCAGGGTGGCAAGTATCTCTGTGGGACGGAGTTGACGGGGGCGGATATCATGATGAGTTTTCCGGTGATTGCGATGGCGGGGAGGGTGGATTTGAAGGGGTTTCCGTTGTTGAAGGGGTATGCGGAACGGATGCAGTTGGAGGAGGGGTATTTGGCTGCTGTTAGGAAGGTCGAGGAGATTGATGGGAAGTTTGATGCTTCGTTGTAGTTTTAGCTTCGTTTTGAAGGTTATGGGTTGGTTTGTATGTGCTGTTATGGTATGTTGTTTTATGTGATGTGATGTGATGTAATGTAATGAGTGTATTTAGGTAATTATATGTTCAGTTTGTATTGTGGTGCTGGGAATGATGGATTAGTGCAGTGCAGTGAAGGCATCATCTCCGTCCAATAGCCTCAACCTCGACCCCCAGCTTCTGCAGTTCTTTTCCGTCCAGACACCCCCGGCCGTCAAACACCCATTTCGGATCTTTCAAATTGTATGCGATGCGCGCCCACTCCAATGGCTCGCTGGCCACCCGTGGAGCCCGGGACCGGCATGCTGTGCAGTCATCACCGCAGACATCCTGCGGTGTCAGTCGGTAGGTCATCCTATGGAACACCCATGTATCGTCCTTAGGCGCGGGAGATAACATCTCGTCAAGACTCTCATACGCGTCGGAATCAGAGCGTGACCCCGTGCGCTTCCGGCCGTTCTTGAACTGGTCGCAGTCGGTCATCACGAGGACCGCGTGCGCCTGCGAGCAAGCCAGGTATGGATCGGTCAGGATCTTCACCCTCGTAGAGACCATCTCAGCACCGCAGGCAGCTTCGAGTTCTCGCAGGATGTCCTCCTCGTGGCAGAACAGATCGAAGATGGCTATCTCCGCGGGCCGCTCCTCCAGTAGCAACCGGATCACGTCGACAACAGGAGACTCACGTGTATCTCCCGTGTCCTTCTTGAATGCAAACCCTAGCACGGCGATCTTTCGGCCGGTCAAATTGCCATCGAACCGTTCGATGACTCGCCGTGCAAACCGCACGCACTGGTACTCGTTCATAGCGTTGACCTGGCGCCAGTAGTGTGCCACTTCTTCTAATCCTAGCGACTCGGCCAAGTATGCCAGACTGGCAATGTCCTTGCGGAAGCAGGACCCTCCGAACCCGACTCCCGCTTTCAAGAACTGGGATCCGATCCGCGCGTCCATGCCAATGGCGCGAGCCACCTGGTCGACTTCCGCCCCGGTCTTCTCACAGATGGCGCTGATCGAGTTGATGCTGCTGATGCGCTGCGCCAGCATCGCGTTAGCGACGAGCTTCGCCAGCTCCGACGACCATGCGTTGACCTGGAGGATCCGAGCGGGCGACACCCAGGATGCGTATAAATGTGCCAGCATGCGGGCAGCACGGCGACCAGACTGGGTTCCAGAGGAACCGATGAGGACGCGGTCCGGGCTGACGAGGTTCTCAATGGCTGAGCCTTCGGATAGGAACTCGGGGTTTGAGAGCACTTCGAACGGAACACCGGGGCGCAGGGTGGTTAACTATACCGTCAGAACTATCAGATATCATAGAAACAACCAGACATACCATTTGTCGCACCCTCTCTGCCGTTCCACACGGCACAGTGCTCTTCTCTACAACAGTTGCCCCCGGCTTTGCATGCAGCGCAATCTCCTGCACGGCCCCATCGACCGCAGTCATGTCGGTAGCTCTGCCCGCGCCCAGACCGAATGTCTTGGTAGGCGTGTTCACCGCTAGAAACACCATATCGGCTTGAGCAATGGCCGTCGAGTCGCACGTGAAGAACAGATTGGGCTGTCGTCTCGAGTACGCCTCGTTCGCATCCGCGACATCGGAGCCATCACGCGTAGCCCGAACTACATTGTACAGAGTGGGTTCATGTACCGGCAGATGGGATGACTTCCAGCTTTGGATGCGACGTGGGTCTCGGTCTAGCACCGTCACCTCGACAGATGGATTATACAGGGCGAGAATCGCGGCCGTAGGTCCGCCTGTAGAATTAGTTTCATCACGAAAACGAACAGTGCATCTCAGAAGCCTACCGACGTATCCTGCACCCACTACACATACGCTCTTGACGCGGTCGTCCGACAAGAGTTGCGAGCCGGCGCTCGCTGCATCAGGCGAGGAATGCACCACATCGTCTATCTTTGCAGCGCGAAACAACGGACTCGACGCCGCAGTGGTCGGACAAGTCGAGCTGTCATCCAAGCTCCATTCAAGGGAGCTCCGTGGCGAAGAAGCGACATCCATTACGACTGGGTGCTCTGGTGTAACCGTCCGGAAAATATCCGCCCTCACACGTAGATCTATCTAGGGAGAGGCAGGAGAAGAGGGGCGTATAAGCATCTCCCCGCACCTGGCACTGCAAGGTCATCCCTCAGCAGATAAGCGCTGGAACAGGGGTCCATAGTGGTCGCGCGCCTTGCCCGCATGGCAGTGGACGGAAACGTGATAAGCAAACAATGCGCTCGGGATCGCCACAGCCAGCAGATCGGTTGCCACAAAGTGGCATGGGTTGATGCACGCGGGGGGCATCACGGACTGCCACTGGGCCAGCATCTCGGGGGATGCAGGAGGATGCGTCGAGAGCGAGAAGGAAGGGAGGTCGTGCCGGTTGACGACAGAGACATTCTCCCCGGCCCACGTGCCCGCGTCCAGCACAGTGACACGAACACCGTACAACTCCCATTTCTGCGTTGCGGCACCATCTCCATGGGTCATCTGGAGACTGCACATTACCAGCCATCACCGCTGCACTCTGCGACCGCAATGCGCCAAACATAAGTACGTGCCTCGGGCACGCAGTGCCTTGATGGCCTGTCCACAGTTGCCCGCCATGCCGTCCTTCAACCCCCCATCCGATGACTTTCCCAGCATCCTCAAAGGAAAGAGGATTCTCCTGACCACCGAGTCATTGGGGCCTGTCAATGGCGTCAGTCGCACGACAGGCAAACTGATTGAATATCTCCGTCGCAATGGCGTCGACCTGGCTGTGGTTGCGCCGGACTTTGCCGGTCAACCATCACCATCACCATCATCACTATCATCATCATCACAAGCACAAGAACAACAAACCCTTCGTCTTCCCGGGTATCCCCTCCCCTACAATCCAGACCTCTCCCTGGTCTATCCCTTCCATCTAGTCAACAATATCTTCACGCAAACCTTCCAACCGGACCTGATCTACATCGCCAGCCCGGCCTCCCTGGGCTTCCAGATCCTCCTCCAACTGCGCCAACTACACAACCCCCCGCCAACTTTATTGAACTTCCAAACCGACCTCTCCTCCTACAGCGAGATCATCTTCCCCGGATGCCTCGCCCGCGTTGCTGTCTGGCTCCTCTCCATAGTGCAGGGCTACCTCTTCACCCACCCAAGCATCCACACAATCTTCTACCCCTGCAGCGCCGTTCTCACTTACCTCAAAACCACACATATGCCACTTTCCCGAACCTACCGTCTTGGCCGAGGCGTCGACACTACTCTCTTCCACCCCTCCCACCGCTCTCTTTCCCTCCGACAGACCCTAGCTCCCAATGGCGAAACCATCCTCCTAACCGTGTGCCGTCTAGCGCCCGAAAAGGGCTTCGAGTTCCTCGCTGACGCCATTATCTCCCTCCTCACCAGTACTGCTAAACCACCAGCATTCAAACTAGTCATCGTTGGAGGAAACCGTAACCCGGCTGTTACATCCCGGATTCAGGCCCTTTTCTCCGCCCCGGCAATCAAAGACCACGTCGTCTTCCTGGGCTTCTTGACTGGGATAGATCTAGCCCGTGCATACGCCTCTGCGGACCTCTTCCTGCACTGTTCCATCACGGAAACCTTCGGGCTAGTCGTGCTGGAGGCGATGGCAAGTGGATTACCCGTTATCGCGCGAGATCAAGGTGGTCCGTCGGATATCGTCCGGAACCAGGAAACAGGGTATTTGGTTCCGCAGACAGATGTGGCAGTGTTTGCAGGGTTGGTCGGGGAGATGGTTCGGGATGAGAGACTCAGGGGAAAGTTGGGGGTTAAGGCGCGGGCATATGCGGAAGAGATGACCTGGGAGAAGATTAATCGGCGGGTGGCGGGGAGGATGGCGGATGCGGTGGAGAGGAGTGCGGTAGAGGTGGGGACTGAGACGGCATTGTTAGAGGGGGGAAGTCGTATGGGGCTGTCGATAGGGGAGAGGATTCGGCTCGGGCTCGCAGTGGGTGTCGTGTATGCGATGTGGTTGGTGGCGGTGGTGCCCTTGATTGTGCATGGGCAGCGCATGGTGCCGAGGCTGTTGCGCAGAGTTCCCCTGCTGGGACGATTAATTCCTGCTTCTTACTAGAGGTCTGTTATGATGGCGTTAGATAGAATACATGTTAGATGAGAGCAATAGATTAAAGCGTATATGCAACAGCGCCGGTCTGTCTGTCTATAACATGCGCGCATTTATATACAGGATATCTTTATGATGGCTGCCACATTGTTCAGTGGCGGTACATCAGCAAGCAATATAATATCCATGGAGACTCGACCATTAGCTGAACTTCCGCTTGATCTCCTCCTCGCTGAACCGTCGGGTCTTCCGACGCAACATCTCCGCCAGCTCATCGTGCGTCATCCCGATCTGGTCGCCCATCGGGACCAGACACTTGGCCAGGTACCGGTAGTTCTTGCACATCAGGCATACTGTGATCATAATGTAGTCAATATTGCGGAAGACCAGCGCGTGCTCGGCGGCGTAGCGGTCCTTTTGGCGGAGGAAGGCCACGGGGTGGTCGCGCCAGTGGCGGCGGGGGTTCAGGTGGTGGGAGGTGTGGTAGCCGTCGTTGTAGCAGAAGCGGTTGCTCTGGATGGATTAGTATGGCATGAGAGGAGATGAATGAAAGCAAAGCGTGGGCAAACATACTGCTACGTCAATCAAAGTAATACTCGACCGAAAGTCCGAGTTGGGATCTGTCTCATCGACAAATGCATGTTGTCCCCAGTTGCCCACCATGAGACCCACGCGTAGCTGCAGGAATGGAAGAACAAAGACAAACAGCGTGGCCCTCCAGCTGACGTAGTTCCACATCAGGTACATCATCAGGTAGCTGCCGATCTCCCAGAATGCGGCCTTGAGGGCGAAGTAGACCTTGCCCTTGCGCAGGAAGTAGGTGGGCAGTTCCAGCCAGATGAAGAGATAGAAGCGGCCGACGTAGCAGGCAAAGTCGGCCAAGCTGTCACGCTGATACCGAATGGTCGAGGAGAGATCTTCAGGTCCGTTGCCTTCGACGTGGTGGTGCTTGACATGGTGGTAGTAATAAGAGTTCCAAGTGTGCCCCATCAGCGGGTCCGTGATGTAGGGGAACAGCAGATCGAACAACCACCAGAAGCGCTTCTTCAGAATCCCACCCATATGGATGTGCTGGTGCATCATCAGGGTGTAGGTTCCTACGTACCAGGATTGCATGAGCCAATGAAGGACGCCATGCACCCAATGGAAGTTGCAGAAGAGATAGATAGCACTTGGGATAGAGGTTGCGAAGTAGAGCAGGAGATGCGTGAGCATGACCACGTCGGTGTCCACACGGACGATGGAACGTGCGGTCTTGATATAGGGTTGCAGCACCCATTTATCCAGAAGAGGATGAAGCTTGACATCTTTCAAATCCCAGAAGAACCAGACCGTGGGGACAAAGTCGGCATGCTGGGGGTCATTGAAGGCCTCCAGTTTGCTGACGGTCGCGTCGGCATCTGAGTCCGCATGTGTTTCAACCGCTGGGTGTAACAATTAGCAAGATACCCGGGACAGCAGCGGCAAGGAGGCTATAGAGGTGGGTGTACCTGATCTCCTCTTTTTGGGGGGTGCCTGGCTATCCTTGAGCAACTCATCGAGGACCAGCCGATCGGGCGCTGTCAGGTACGGGTTGATATAAGTGGCGGGGTCCACCATGGTGAAAGAGAGGAACGAAGAGGTTGGCGGCAAACGAATGAGGTTCTGGCCCAAAAATCCTGTTGGAGGTGACAATGGAACAAGCTTTAACAAACCCGGAGAAAAGGGGGTGGGACCACGCTGACAGTCGAGGTGTCCACTTCAGCTGCAACTTGCGACCCGTCGAGGTCTAATGCATCCGGATTTACCGCAACGGCTGGAGATCTATCAGGCCATGCTTACACTTGACCGGACGCAAGATAGCTTAGTGTTGTCGATATAGGTAGTAATTGTTGGGTGGCTGTTTCTTCCGACGACCTGGCGGTACAGACTCGCAGAGACTTTTGGTGGGGTGGGCCGATCAGCATCATGATGAGCCCGGGAATCCAGGGATCTCGCTACCTGTCAGATTTTTTGTTCTGTCGGCTCTCTCGGCTGGAATGTGTAACGATACTTGATCGGTCGCTCAGGTATCTTGCAGTCTCCAGATCCGAGGCCTTCCACTGGGGGGATGGAGAATGGAGATGCCCACTTGGCGGCGGAGATGCGCGTCGCTTTTCCGAAAACAGCAAGTCCCGATATAGCTCGCGTCTCCCCGCCGATCATTGGCCTTACTTACTATTTCCCAATGCTTCAAGTTGAGTTGGTCAAGTAAGCATGGTTCAGGGACATGGGAATGTCTCAACTCTCAAGGATGAATTAAGCTCATCCACAAAACGTTCCATTGGACGAGTACAGGCAGTCAAACCACCAATTCAAATCGTGCCTGACTAGCCTCGATCTCGATCATAACATACACAAAACCTACTAGCAGTCACCCCGCATAAGCATAAAGGCCGATATCAAACATAGACCGAAACATTAAACCTAGACAATACACAGTAGGTAACTTTACGACCAACCCAGAATAAGCTCGGACAAAGTTACACTCCACGATTCACTACGTCATCCATCCCCTCACGTACAACATGTACAACTCCCCTCCCAACCTCACATCCCATCCTCACCACCTCCCCCATCACCAAACCACAGCCCATCTAAACAGTCACTACCAAAATGGAACTCACCCTCTTCTCCGCCAAATCCTACGACAAGCACTACTTCACCCAAACCCTCCAAACCTTCAACCCTCCCCTCTGCACCCTAACCACCCACCCCTTCGCCCTAACCTCCTCCACCGTCTCCCTCGCCCGCACCAGCACCGCCATCTGCGTCTTCGTCAACGACACCCTCGACGCCCCCGTTCTACACGCTCTCCACAGCTACGGCGTCCGAGCCATCCTCCTCCGCTGCGCCGGCTACAACAACATCGACCTCCCCCTTGCCGAATCCCTCGGCTTCTTCGTGGCCAATGTCCCCAGCTACTCCCCCGAAGCGGTCGCCGAGTTCGCCGTCGCCTTGATCCAAACCCTGAACCGCAAGACACACCGCGCCTATAACCGCGTCCGGGAGGGTAATTTCAACCTCGAGGGGTTCCTGGGCCTTACACTCCACAAGAAAACAGTGGGGGTTGTGGGTTTAGGACGAATCGGAATGTCTTTTGCGCGGATCATGAAAGGGTTTGGATGTACGCTTCTCGGCGCGGACCCGTTCGGCGGGGCGGAATTCACCCAGGAACTAGGCGGCGAGTATGTCAGTCTCGAGGAGTTATTGGGCCGGAGTGATATTGTGAGTTTGCATTGTCCGTTGACGGAAGGGACGAGACATATCATCAATAAGGAGAGTTTGGAGTTGTTGAAGAAGGGGGCGATGGTGGTGAATACGTCGAGGGGTGGGTTGGTGCATACGAGGGATGCGGTGGGGGCGCTGAAAGATGGTAGGTTGGGTGGGTTGGCGTTGGATGTGTATGAGGAAGAAGGGGATTTGTTTTATAATGATCATTCGGCGGAGATTATTCACGATGATACGCTGATGCGGTTGATGACGTTTCCGAATGTTTTGGTGTGTGGGCATCAGGCGTTTTTTACGAAGGAGGCGTTAGGGGAAATTGCCCAGGTGACGTTGGGGAACTTGGAGGATTTCTTGGCTAAGAGGTCATGTAGGAATTCATTGGTTAGGGAGGGGCATTTGTTGGTGGAGGGGGATAAAGAGCCGGTGAGGTTGTAGGGGGTTCGTTGGGATAGGGATTGGTACTGGGATATTGTGTGAAGAGCAGTGGCTTTCTTGTAAGTGGATGATCTAGTTGTATCTGCATCTTAGTATTCTAATAATCTGGGATCATCAGTTTTCTACCCTCTCGACATCTCTGGCTAACAGAGTTAGCAGGCCCTCTAAACATCATATTCAAAGCCCGGACTTGGCAGGCTGAGAGAGGGCCACTGGGCACATCTACTCCATTATACCCATCGCATCTAGGATCAGACAATGTAGTGATCTGCCCATCGCAAGTACAAGTACATGAAGGATGCGGGCGATATCCACATTTATCCCAACATTCTTTCCTGTGAGTAGTTATTATTAGGCCTGGCATTTATGAGTTAATGCAACTTACGACAATTCACATCCACCTGTGGAGGTAAACGGATATTCCTCGTCACCGGGTAGGTAGTAGTCATTTGCTCCCTCCATATATTCAGTGTAGTCTAGCATTTCCACGATCATGTCGTAGTCTGGGGGATCAATCATATAAGATTTCAACAGATCTTCTTCCCGGAAACACGGTCTGTCGATGTGTTTCTCGATTCTTCGCGCTATGCCGATAGCAGCCACATAAGATGGGTCAATAACCGCCCGGAGCAGCGGCCTCCATTCCTCTGGGAGGGCAAGGTAGATGGCCTGTTTCATCGCATGCATCTCTTCCTGCGGTGCTTCCCCGCTCAGAACAACTGCTCCAAAAGACTCAGTCATGTCATAGGTGAAGTTATCCTCTATAAAAGCCCAAAGTATTTGTTGGAATCTATAGAGGCCGGACTGGACATTTGATTAGCTTTAGCTCACAAGTAGCACAGTATAACAGTTGCCATGGGCTGTTGACCTTTTCTTCAGACTCATCATACTCATATGCAGTTACCACATGCTGCCCATCATAGATTCTGACGACATATTCGTCAACATAACCCACCCATAAGTTGACCAACCCCTCACGACCAATGTCTATGAAGAATATCGAATGGCTTTTGAGATACAAATCACAGCTCTCGGGGAGACTGAATCCTGCACATGTGTCAAGGCGATAGGCATCCCGCACCGCATCTAGATAGTCGGATCTGTACAAGCGATAATCCATGCTCGTTACATTTGTTTCAAAAACCGAGTCACAGAGATGGTTCCAAGAAACCGTGTCCAGGCCACGTGGAAGACTATATGCTGTGATGTTGATAGGCCGATGGAGATATTGGGCCGCTTGCTCCTTGACTTGATGAAGAAGAGCAGCGATCATCTCGGACTTGTCTGACGAGTAGCTAGGCGTGCTATGATCATTACTCAGAATATGTATTTCATCATCATAGCTACTATCATCCGCCTTTTTGTCAGTTGTCCTACGCTGCGCTACTCCATGGTCCTGTTGCTTACCGTCTGATCTTAGAATCAGCAAGTAGCTGTTTCATATGCTCCTGGTATTCTGGGGGCCCTTCTATCTTGACCAGAGGTATTGCTTCATCATCTCCGTTGACATAGGCTGCTGTGCTATCCATGACTATCAGTGTTGCAGTACGTGGCCGTAATTGGACATCGAACGTACATGTATGTCGGCCCAAGATTAATTCCTAGAGCTGTAATGTCACGAATTATTAAAAAAGCAGAGAGAGAATTGAATACGTGGCCGCTCTTACGATATTTATCTGAGGACACGACACAGACAACCAACTGCAAAACAATGCATAGCACAATGACTAGTCTCGCACGATCCAACATCGTTGTCTATTCAGAGACATGTCAATTTGAGGAGTGAGTTCGTCAATGAGACAACATAAGAAGGTATGATGATCGAAGAAGAGACGGTTGAGGTAGGGATGTCTAAAAGGTAGACGGAATTTGTGGTGGTACAACAAAGCTGGCCGGATGCTTCCAAATCATTCACGTCCCAACGGGCTCAGGCCTATCTCTTGCTTTGTTACCACCTGGCCCCTGTTAGCAATCATACAGGGAATGCAGCCATCTCTCTGATCTGTGCCTTTGGTTCAAAATCTCGATAATTCGACCCCTGGAAAGAAAAAACCGTCTCCAACTTAGATGTACTGAGATACTGAAGCACATGAACTGTATGGTATTTGCATTACTAACTTCATCTAACTGAAGCCAAAGAAGACTGCATTTCGAAGCTACCCATATCTAGTAATACGCACCAATGGCCCATAGGCTTATTTTTTAACTGGTCAGCGATGGCAGCCTAGTGGCACTAAGGCAGCCAACATGCACCTTCTCTCCCACTCCCATCCTGACGCTTCAATTATCGTACAACCCTCTAACCTTCTCGACTCTAAACGCATTGGTATTATCGTCCGACTTCCAGTTTTTTGCTTGGGTCTATCTATCAATTGCCCTTTTATCTTTCGTTCCCAAATCCCACTCATCAGCTCCCTTGCCATGTCTAACCAAATGGCAGTGCTACTATGAACGCGCGAACAGAGCCATGCGCGCCTTCAACAAGGCCCACGAACCTATCCTCAGGATCAGATAGTTCGACCTCTACATCAACATCAACAGCGTTGGCTCACTGAAAATTGTACCCAGCGATGCGTATGAACAGAATGAGTGGTACAGGTGGGTGTTCCAGATCCCGGGGTCCTCCCATTTCCGAGACAAAGGAAGCTTGGAAGCTAGCTACTGAAGGTAGAAAAAGCAAAACGTGTTCCGACGCGAAACTCACCACAAGCAGTCTGACCCATGTCCTCGATAGATTCTATAGCAAATCCACCACATGTACATTACTGACTCCAATCTATCATGTCTGACCCGGAATAAATGAATTCGACTTGTGTTTGAGCCTGCTACGGAGACACATATTGGATGACGGAGAGTTGAGCAAGTTATGGGTATTGTGTTGGGCCTACAAAGGTTTGCCTACGATACAGTGGGTTGAAGTCACAGTAAGGGGTATAACAATGCTTTTATGTATATCTTTACTAACACTAAACAATACCATTAGGGCAGGCTATTACATTACCGCCATATACTTTGAAGATCACCTATTCAGCCAAGGACATTACATGGCATCCTTCGCCAATGCATCACTATCAGGCTCGATTTCCTTGGGCCCGGTGTAGCTGCCCTGACGGATGAACCAGAATAGCGTGATAAAGATGGTGAATCCACCCGTGATCAGACAGGTGTAGTTCATCGTTTCGGCATCCACGGGCATCGAGAAGGGGAAAACGAAGATCACGATGAACACGATCATGTATAGGCAGGTGATGATGTTGACAATGTACCCCGTGATTCCACCCATCCAGAACCAGCCCCGGCGGACGCCCTGTCGGCCACGGAGCAAGTGCGGGAGAACGGCAGTGAGGTAGGAGAGGGTGGTCAGGACGACGAACGAGCTGACAAATGCACTGAATGCAGTCGAGTTTCCGACATAAATGCAGCCAAGGATGATGGCGATAACGCCGCAGACAAGGACAGAGTTGAGGGGGTTCTTGAACGTATGGTTGACCCGACCCAGGTAGCCGCTGAACGGCGTGGCACCGTCACGGGCCAGAGTCCAGAGCACACGACTCGATGTGAGATAGCAGCCAACAATGGCAACAAAGAGTGGCAGCATGGAGACGATGATCAGGCCGAGAGAGCCACCCCGAGAGCCGGTGATCTGGACGTAGATCTCGGTGAGGGGAAAGAGGTAAGGGGCATCGAGAACGGCATTCAGGTCGGTGATGCCGTAGAAGATAACAATGCAATAGAGGAGAGCAGTGAAGAAACCCATGACGTATTGAGCCAGCATGCCCAGGGGAATGTTCTTCCCCGGGTTGGGCACCTCCTCGGCCAGATGGGAGATGACATCAGGCGTTCCGACAGCGAAGGCGCCGTTGAGCATTCCCAGACAGAAGACGAAGCCGTCGCTACTATATCCAGCCTCGTTGAGCCAGTCGCGCCAGACAAAGTCGTTGGAGGCATAGGGCTGCCCGTTGACATGGGGCATCACGGCACAAACAATAACGGTGACAAGAAAGCCGCCGACGACCAGGAACCCGCCCAGCGATTCCACCATGGGCAGGGCGCGGTTAGCGAATGCGACCATGAAACAACAGGCTATGGAGCAAATCAGGTAGGCAATGAAGACATGCCAGCGCTGAATGACATATTCGGGATGAAACAAAGCGTATGCGGACACGACCTGGGTGCCGAGTATCTGAGTCGTCGAGGCAGCACCGAAGATCCAGGCTAGGAAGTTCCACCAGCCGGCGAAGAAACCGCAGACGCGACCATATTTTCCTGCCGTGATAGAGGCCCAGTGATACACTGCCGGTGTGAATCAGTTTCAGATTCCAGAGGTTATGAAGGGCAGGACGAACCTCCACCAGATGATGGCATGGACGAGGCCAGCTCAGCGAGGGATGCAGCGATGAACCAGTAAAAGACCGAGGCAGCGATCCTGTGAAACGATCAGCATCGATACTTGCACACAAGGCATTAGACGTACATCTCATAGATGACACCGGGTGGACCTCCATCATAGATGGCCGTGACCTAGAAACTGTCAGCGATCGGACGTCGGAAGAGGCAAATACTACATGACTCACGATACTTCCACCCAAAGCGATCCAGGTGTTCCCGCTGGTCAGGGCCAGCCCACAGATATTGATAAAGCCAAAATTGCGATCAAGTTCCTGCTTGTGACCGGAGGCGTTGATAGGTGCCGTCACTGATGACGGGCTGTCCGAATGTGATTCGGCCACGAGGGGATCGACATGTTGCTTGGGCTCGTGCTGGAACTCCATCGTGCTTGTCTTTCCAACCTTGGTGGACTCGCATAGATCGATAGCAGCGAGGGGTGGAAGGACTATTAAAGATCGGCCAGGAGCGCCGGTTCAGAATTTTCCGAGCTAAGGCACGATTAAATCCTCGCCTCAGAACCTAAATCATCAATTAAATGAGTTCAGGGATTCTGGCGGTTTATTGGCGACTCTGTCTCGATCGTACGACGGAGGAGCAAGGACGGCGTGTCCGTCTTGTCGCTAACACCGCGCGATCGGAAGCCAAGAGGACCGGTGCAAGCGACGGGTGAAGACATCAGATTGTGGATGGGTCGGCTTTTTAGTCCCTGCTTAGCTCTTGTCTAGTCGTCGGAGCTGAAAGTTTATTCGTGCGTTGGAGATTGCTTGGATATGGACTTTGCCCGAAGTCGAGCAGAGCAGGGATCGACAGCGTCCCATCCCCATCGTTCCATCGTTCTCCGTAGTATCGGGGAACGATGCATTATCGCCTAGGAGGAATGCACCAGGGATCTATCTATCTTGCTTGCATGAAGAACTGATATCTTCACGATAACCACCCCGCAACTTTTAAACAGACGTCAGCCCATTGTCCTTGTGGGATGCGATCGTTTCGTGGACCTCTACGGAGGACTCCAACCTTCACTTCGACCCCGGATTGAACCGTGGAAGCTGAACCAGAAAATGGGCATCACTTATTTGAGCATGCAAGGAACCATAGCCTGTCCACATTCAGTCACCATTCAGACAGCGAACCCTCTTGAATGATCTTCTGTTGGGTGTCTCCATCATGTCATCTCCAGCAAACAACATTCCTTAACCCCGAGACAGCAAGCGTTCTTGGTCAACATTCCGAGATGGACGCGGAAATGCTAACCGCATGACCGAGTGGTTCTATTTCTACTGCCGAATGATCGTCTATGTTGCCATCGTCCGTCACGCCGTCATGTTCTTGGCCCGGATCCTGCGTTCTGGCCTGTTAGTTCTGGCAGTTCCAGACACTGCACGCTTGCCACCGCGTCCTTGTCATGGCTTGAGGGGCGAAGGTGGCCGGCCCCCTCTCAGCGACAGGTTAAAGATTCACTCATGAGGCACTCTCAGAGCTGCTCTTCCTGCTCTTAATCTTCCGAGGTTGAACCGACGCCCGACAGAACAATCACTTTCATCTCCAATGTATGGTATATGACCACCCTCTGATTGCCAAGTAAATCAATCAAGCTTATAGTGAACCTAATTAATTTGACACAAAGCTAACTATAAAGCTAGAGGCAAAGAGTCTGTCCATCCGTTCCCACGGTTAACTCAAACTACGTAACCGGAAGTTCCGCCCGCAACATGTCTCAACTCAGCTCATCCTGAGTCGGTCAGCTTTCCCAATAATGTTCCAACACCGCGCATCCAGCTGAGGGGGGATGGAGTTTGGTCCCATTTAGCCTGCCATGGACCACGCCAGTTAAGCAACGAGGGCCGCATCCGGACCGGACCCCTGGAGCACAGATCACTCGGGAAGCCCCAGCCTCCGGTTAGACAAAGCAATTTGTCACAGCTATCGGCCATCATCCGTGATAAACACGCCTTGACTCCACTTCAACAGGCAGCTTCATCATGTTCGAACGTGATTCGCCCTGTCTTGATGCATAAATTGAGCTTGCAAACGTTGCGTAAGACAGAACTGCGCTAGTGAACTTCAATCCCCCGGGGTGGAGTTTGTAGCGCCTTCGGCACGCTTAGATTGAGACAGGTCGAAGTTTAATTCATTGCATTTGCTTCTGGACCTGTCTGTACCTGAGCCCGCACCGGGCTGGCCGGAAGTTAGCGGGTTGAGACCACAGGGCTGCAGTTTTTGCCTTGTGCTGACTGCTGTCGGCTCGTAAATTGCACGAGCAGGACCTGGTTCTGCAATCGCGGAATTATGGAAAGTTCCGATCTCTGTAGGTCATCTCGTCGGCTAAATTTGAGCCACCGTGTAGGAGTATCCCCGAGGATGCGATCTGCAGCTAATGAGACGAAGGGTGTTGAAACCAGCAGGATTTGTCAAGTTTCATAAAGTGTTTCGATCCTGGCTGCTGTTCCCGCCATGTAGCAACGGAAGGGATAAGTGCCGATCTATTTCCTCGTGCCTTTGCCCAGTGCTCGGCCGATACCTGCCCTGCTTGGACCCAAGGGGAAAAGTCTCCGATTCAAGCGCGAAGGCAAAGAGAATGACCAATCAGGAAGGCTTGATCGATACGCAACATTGCATGCTTTGCGACATGATATCGGTGACGAACAATAACCCTGCATAGCCAGCCATTTTTACTGGCCAAAAGTGCCAGAGGATCTGCCACCAACTTCATGTCCCATGAAGCCTTTCTACCAGGTTAACGGGGCAGAATGGACATTTCCGACACAGCTCTCTCCAAAACAGTTCTGATATGGGGCCTAACGTCGTCTGGGTGGCATCAAAAGTGCAGCCAAAGATCCTCGTTTAATTGACACTCTATGGTCAAGCTCATGGTAGGCTTGATGGATAGCAATCTAGAGCAATCTCAACGGGCAGATCTTGAATTCCGACAGATCAGTTCACTTGTCCTTCTCAATGAGATGCAGCCAAAACAAGCTTGCCATTCTTGAATGGTGGCAGCAGTCGCTCTTGATGCTACCCAGTTGAGTGTTTTCTGCGAAGCATGTTACTTCTCCGTTGGACCATACTGCCGGTTATGCACTTGACCATGTCTCCAGCTTTCTAGAACCAGTCTGGAGCACTTTGTCAAACTTCCCAGAACTGGGGCCTTGGCTTCAGAGACATTTTGTTCATGCTGCTGACCATCGAGACACGGGCGAGCTCAAGCCCATCTTTTCCTGACTGGAAGTACCCTTGCACCTAGGTCAAATGTTACCTCCGTTCAAGAGTTCCTGTATGACCTGATGGGGCCAAGCTTACATGACACACAGCCAGGATGCCTCTAATAGTGTGTATAGGCAATTCTGTTCATCTAGAGGGTATGGACGTACTTGAACTTGATGGTTCCCTGCCTCGGTTACTCTACTAGGCTTCTGTGTGGCATATCGCGTCGTCTGTACTCTCACATGCCAAACTGGTCCAAATTCTCCAATCTCTAGAGAGGGATGGTGTTGTTTGGATTTTCTTCCGAGATTGCAGAGCTTACGCATAATTCAGGTGAACACTAGATAAGCTGAGAGGCTTGACATGCGAGCCGCCTTTCCTACCAATCATCACAGTCGGCCGTATCTGTGTCACCGCATCCATTCAGAGGAGCACATGCTTTATTGGCCATACGTTAACGGTTTTCGTCATATCTGGATGTGGCTTGAGTGGACAATGGACAGATCTGGGGAGGGGTGCAGTCATTCGACTTGATTACCCAGGTCAAGGCGTCCCAGCGCCTTGGGGCCCGTCAGGCAAGCGATCGACTGTGAAGCAGAGCCTCTTGGTGTGGACATTCCGGTAAACTACAATGGGCCAGTCGAGGCTATTGTGCCATGGAGCTGTCATTCAAAGGACATGCCAGTGGCAGACGGACGCCATGCCTAGACCACCTGAAGGTCGGTCTTTCATTCCGGAACAAAGACCAGGCCGAGAATGAAGACTTCCAGATACGAGTACTAGGTCGGTCTAGCGATAACCTGCAATGCCCAACGACACCGTGCATGATCCTGGACAGTCACGATCCCTATCCGCTGCACTGTGCATCCTAGCACAGTGTGACCCCTCGCATACTCTGGATGACCTGTCGCAGGTTATCGCGAAGGCATAGGCGCGATAGCCCAGATTCACACGTGTCAAAGGCTAGGGATGAGTCGGAAGTGCGACCTACAAGTCCGACATGGTCGGACGAGTGAGATTTCCTGCGGAGTGGCAGATAGCATGTGGCCGAGCAGGTCCGCAGCAGGCTAAAGGCGGGGTATCCGCATCCATTAACTGGTAACCGCCATGAAGCTTATAGCGGTGACAGCTGGATGCAAGGCATGGGCCTTGGACGAAAACGGTCAATGCTCTATCTGACCTGTGCATACCCGGTGCGATGTTGGCATGATTCCGTTCAACGGGCGTAGTCTGCCTTGATCCCGAGCCCATCACCATTCTCACTTCTCAGATGACGCATGAATTGCATGAAGGGCAGACACGTGTCTGTCCATTTGGGTGCAGATCATGCTAGTGGACGGCCAGGCTCGGGACGTCCGCGATGCTCTCGTATCGAATCTGATCGGAACAAAAGAGGGGCAGCCGCATGTGACTCTGAATGCTGCAGACCCTGGTTGGCGTCGCCGAGTGCTGTGTCTCTTTGTCAGGCTGACCTGCCTGCCTACTCGGCCCGATCGTTGCACTTGTGGCTGATGCCCCCCCCCGCTTACGAGAGATGAAATATCAGAACTGGACAACGAGGGGGGAGCGCGGGGTTCTCCCGATCTTATCTCCAGCTACCAGGTTCTGCCAGCCATGTCGAGGGCATTCGAGACCGTCAATTCGGCCGATAAGCACTCCACCGAGAGGGATCACCGCGGCCAACTCACTCCCGGGTTAGATGCAGCAAATCCTCGACGCCAAATGCACCCGATCGATACTCGTGATGTCATGGCAGTTGAACTAGCGGGCATCACGGACAAACGCGGCTGCGCGAGGGGCTGAAAAAAAAAGTATAGAGGGGAGGGGTTATAGTGACTGGAGAGAAGAGAGGAAGGGAGAAAGAGAGGGGTAATCCAACCACCCCGCCATGGCGCTTTGGGCACCAACCCGCGCAGTAAACATTTCCATCCCTTTCAGTTTCAGCCCGTACAGAGTAGATACTATGAGAATCTAGCCAGAATCCAAACAAAGCCCCTCCTTCTCCCTTTGCTTCCAGGAATAAATATTCAATCCGATCGCTTACAAGCCCCCCTTTCCGCCATCCTAATGATGACCCGCTACAATACCTGCCTCTACCTACCACCGCCACAACAAAGACTACTACCAGCAGTCCACTAGCCAATTCGACGGGCTAGACGGGGCTAGAGCCCCGAACCCTGACAAATTCAATGGCATAATCCCCCGCTAAATATATTCCGCGTATCGATGCGCAAATTTTTCCGTCGGGATCTAGATCCATCCCATCCATCTTAAGTGCGGGAATTTACTGTGTCTTGTTTTTTTGTTGGACGGGGAGCCGACGGTAGTGGACTGTCAGGAATCAGGAATTAGGTAGTAGGGAAGTGGGAGTAGCGGGGTTTACTTCCTTGTTCTTCTTCCTTTGTAACCCTTGTTAGTGTTGGGGTCTAGGGTCTAGGGTCTAGTGTCTAGTGTCGGATGAGACGGAGAACTGAG